TCCATGACTTGAAAAAGGCTTACCGAAATGCTTCAGACTTCTCATGTTCTAAATGGGATAAGTCACACTACGTTGTCCAAGGTGAGTTTGCCCTTATTGGACTATTTCTTCTCCGAAGTGTACACAAATCAAATACATTTAATTTAACATGAATACATTAAATATATATGTATGTTTGTATATATACACAGACACATGTATGTAATTTCTGGTAATCTAAGTTGCTGAAGGCAACATACAACTAAATTTAAAAAGTACATTACGTGTCACTATAAAAGTCAATTGTGTTAATTGTCATGGCAACAAATCAAACTGCAGCAAATAATTAGACATAATAATGTTGACACATAAAGAGGACCATACAAAGAAATGTTTGGGAAAGCTTAAATCTGCACAGCTCTCATAGTTTCTGGCTGAGTGGCTCAAGATGCTCTGAAGCTCTGAAAGGTGCCGTTCACTGCTAATATTCCGGGGATTTAAAATATACACACAGATGCCCGAGCTTACATATTTGCCACACAGCCATCAGCGATTGAATAATCAAAATTCAAAAGAGAAAAGACAGGTTTCCTCTTGTTTACATCGACTAGCAGGGAGCCCTGCAGAACAGCCTCAAATGCAAAGGCTGTGGAATGCAACGTGGCACTGCTGTTTACTTTCACAAATACATTTTAAAGCTCTATTCTGAAAAGAAGGGAAATAATACTCTGAAGTGAATGAAATGGGAAAGTCCATTTCATATGTATGACTATTCTGTGAGATTTATTACTTCACAGCCTGTCAAACCCTCTTGCAGTAGAGCTATACGAGAGGAGAAAAGCAGAATGCAAATACATTCAGAGTGGTTGCTTTGCTCCATTTGATCTGAGCTGAAACCACAAGGCTGCTGGTAAAAGCCGATTGAAAGTGATCTGACTGCTCTCAGTCTGAGCAGCTGTGCTATGTTACAGCCCTGGTGAAACACAAGCAAATCGCTTTAGGAGCAGAAACCTACAGAAATATTTAAGCTGTTTCTCCCATCTTTGGTCTTTGGCTCACTTGTGAAACAAAAGCCACATCCCATCTCCTGTCCAGACAAATCCATCCAAATTAATTCAATTTTAGATGACTGATGCACAGGCAATTGCATAAAACCCCACCACTGCAACATTTCACTCCAGTAAGAGCACACAACAGGACTTTTCCAGTGAAGGCCAGCAGAAGCACATCAATAAAAACTAATAGCTGTGTTTGCGTTAATTTAGTCATTTACTGGATCTGGAACAATCAATGAAATGTTTTCTATCATGAAACATCTTTAAAAACTACAGAGTTTTTTCCTCAGTCCTCTCTGATTCTTTTTTCTTTACCTTATGATGTATTCCAGTAGAAAAGAGCCTAGAAAAAGAACACTTTTGTATTATTAACTTGGAAAGCAGTGAAATTAAAACCGTAAATCAGTTTGACTGTTTGCCCAAATCTATCCTGCAGACGGTCCAGATTTTGTTACTCTGATGCAAATTGCATTCTAATGTTTTTTTTCTCAAACACATCATTAACTCATTTAAGGTGTTTTTCCATTCCATGCTAGGATGCGGCTCGGATCACCACAGCACAGAGATACTTCATTTCCTGCTCCAGACGCTGTGCCCTAACATGGACAGAACCAGCTGTTTATCACTTCAGCATCTGTGAAGCTACCGCAACACAAAGCCAGAGTCAGCATTCACTATAACAGGCGTTTTTGTTTGCTGTCTTACAGTTTCACCCTGAAACTTGAATAAAGAATTATTTAAAAACGTGATTTTCGTTCTGACTGGCTTATTCCGTCCATTTTGCTGGTGCCACTATCAACATTTCCTTGTTACAACTGACCCCTGAAAACTAAACTTCAATTTGCCTTATGCACATTCATCACTCAAAGCAGTGACCTTTAATTTTGTGAGTTTCAGGGGCAAATGCCTTTATGGAGCCCGAGGCTCTGCGTAATATACAAGTTCATATGCCTTACCTGAAAATAAATGCCAGACTCTCAAGGAGAGATTTATGTTTTCTCCTAAACACCTGAAGTGCACTGAGCACACGGGGACGAGTCTAAAAGGCTGCTGCTCTCCTCCTCTTGCTCTGTCCCCTGCATTGACTTTTTTTCCAACACAGAATCTTCTGCAGACACGGCAGCAGTGACAGCGCTGGGAACCTGCAAACATCGCCGTAGCCCGTCCGCACACACACACACACAGATCACATCAAATCAACATCAAAAACGCGGCGCGCTGATGAGGAGGAATCTAAAAGAGGGGAGGGAGGCGGCTTAAACAAACTGGATTGATTTGTTTGTACTTTCCACTTATGAAAGTGATCCCAGTCTTTCTGACAGGAAGCCGATTGTTCAGTGACACCTTTTATCTCGATGGTTTAATGCTCCACCACATCCAATCAGCTTTCATTGTAACACACAGAAGTTTAGAAGCAAGTATTGAAGGTGGCTTCATTTAAAGAAAAAATCCAATTAAATTAAAGCATATGTGTGACATTTACGAGCAATTGACATTTTACAATTTCAACTAACACATGAGGGCTTGTATAATTTGATTCAGGGTCAAATATACCCTCCGGGAGAGCTTGGACTTACTTTGACCGAGTTGTTTGCGATCATGCTCACTTCCTGATGTCGAGGCTTAATAGCGCGGTTGAAGCAGAGCTCAGACTGGCTTTGATGTCAAGTTTCACCCATGAATTTGCATTTTTCATCAATAACCGTCTTGCAGCCTCTTTGCTGTGTTACGGCACTTTGGCGATCATATAAGAACATTAGATTCTTCACAAGGGACACACTGATTGCATGTAATGTTTAGCAGTGATGTGCAAAAGTCTGCAAGAACAAACTGAAACATTAACTGAGCAGTTTCTCATAATTTTCATTCTAAACATTAAATTTAGTGCTAATCTGTAACACAAAGTCAACTCAAACAGATGCAAAAACTCACACTGGGGCCCACATATGTGTCCATTTTTGAGGGTTTTTACATATTAGGATTACAACATCAAACATCTCAAATCAAAATTAGCTTTGGCCACTTTCTGATGTTTTCATTTAATTTTTACAACACTTAAAGACGTTTCGGAGCTGGAGCACTGAGAATACAAAGACATTACATGTTTTAGATGGTACTTTGTTCTCTGATCAGAGATTAATTCAAACCTTTTGGAAGTGAGATTACACACTGTAACAGCTATGGAAAAATCATGAGAAAAACTAATAACATACATCCTGAAATAACCACAATAGCTTTACCTTTTCTGTTTTTTTTTAACTGGCATTGAAGTAGTAGGATGTAAAATTCCACTTCCATTAACAGAGCCAGTGCCCAAAGCCGCAAAGATGAGGGTTATGGTGATAAAAGCACTTTTCTCTCAAGACGCATCCTCATCCGCATCCAAGGCAACAGATTCCTGACTGATGTCACTGCTCATAAAAACATCTCTTCACCTTACCTCATTGATATTCTACTGTAGTATGGTGGTAGTATTCATTCTTACAGTACGTCCGTGTGCTAACGGTAATGATCACCATATAAATCCTTCTTCATACTAATGCAGCATAATCCCCACACTACCATCACACAGACAGGGAACATCTAAAAACATTGGTTGGACCAGAGAGCTGCACATTTTGATGACAGCTTAGAGTTTAATAAAATAAATTAGGAGAGTCACAGGTTTGTCCCCTCTCTGCATCTCCTCTTACTTCTTACTTTAACATAAGAATTTAGGGCCTATGAGCTGACCAATGAGTGTCGATTTGAGATTTCCTGCTGGATATAGCATTTTCATTTAATTAAATCCTCAATGTTTCCCAATGGTAGCCAGGTTCTTCGGCACAATCACAGTATCCATGTTCAGTACCCAAACTCTCAGTCTATGTGTACATTAACACGTTGAATGTTATCCGATTCCCTTGGAATGATTTTATGTACTGTAGATGATAAAATCCACATTATCTTCCCATTTTTAAATTGAGAAAGAAAGTGTAACTTCAAAATGCTAAACTATGAATGCTTTCAAATGGTTATGTGGTCATTTGATAGATATTTTCCCTCAATAAAATCATGCGCCACAAATCACAGTCTCTTAAACTATATGTGAAATTAAATGTTCACTGAGGTAATAAACTGGATTAATTATATTTCCACAGAGGTATTTACAAAAAAAGTCCCCACTGGCTTTTTGTCTGGTCTTCAATTGCAATCTTTCAGACTTCTCTTAAGATAACAATCCTTCAGTCTATATAAAAATCCATACAGAAAGCAGTTAGTATAACACACAAACCTGTATTTTAATTACTGGCAATCATTGTGTTGTGGTATCAATTCTTAATCTGAAAAAAATAGCAACTGATGGTAGCAATGAGCAGAAATTGTGGATGAAGCAATATGGTGATCTACCAGATGATGCACGTCTGACACAGGATACCTAAGGATCGAAACTCATTTAGGGATGTTAATGAAAAGCCTGAGAGTAAGTGGGTTTACCTTTACAGCCTATCAACATGCAGAAAGCAGGCTTGTGCGTGACAGACACCAACTTCTACACCGATGTTCTTTACTACAATAACAAGTTTGACTGTTTAACTGCTGCTAGACGGGGAAGCAGCTGAACTTTGAATTCGACCTGAAAACAAATTGTTCAGGAAGCATCTTGCTGTGAGAAAAATCAGCCGCATGAGTACATTGAAGACCTCTGCTGAGACATTATTATTTTTTAACTTGCTCTATAGTGCGGCGGCTCATTCAAGTGGAAATTACAACAGGGGACAGGAGATCAATGCAGAGAGGAACACAAAAGGGTGAGTAGCTGAAGAACTCTCCCCCATAAATTTCCAATTTCCACTAACATTTTGGACTAATGTAAGTCTGGAGGAGTTACAAGCGGTGCACAGTTTGGATAATTTCTTGTTGTCAGAGATAACATAAATAAAAGCAACAGATGTTACTCTAAGGCATGTAGTCACAAAAGAGGAGAAACATCTTTCTTTTAAGTTTTATTTCATGTTCACACAGGTAAATGCCCCAGCATGCCAAAACAGCTATCCAAAACAAAATGTTAAGAACAACCTGTGCTTTCCTCCGTGCTTTGAGAGACATGTAAGCTCTCTTCCTATTCTATGCAACTATTTTTATTTCTTGCTCTCAAAATGCATTTATATCATGCAGGCTGCATAACATCAGATCTGTAACAGCCTTTTTACGACATTGAACAGTGCCGTCATTCCGGCCTCTCGCATCTGGCGAACTCTCCGCCTGAAGTTTCAGCGAGCAAACAAATCAATAAAAGGACATTACTTTAAAAAACATTAACATTATGGCCTCCTACATGCATCGTTGCAGATTTCTCAAGCAGAAAATGGGCTTTCAAACCTCCAAGCAAGGTTCAGATTATTCCCCATAGATTTCCTGGTTTTAGCAACACTGTATATTTCATAAGTAGGGAAAAAAAAAAAACAGACCTTCACGGCCAGCATAGATCTCTGTCAAACCGCGGGAGGAGGAGAGTGCAGGAAGGCAAGGCCGGTGATGGAGCTCTCTGCCCTCTGAGGCACGGGGTGATTTGCTGTCATTAAGGGGGCTGGAAGTGCCCAGAGAAATGGCACGAGTCTCATTTGGCTGACCCATTTTCACACGTGTCATTATCATACACCTCAATGTCCTGGAGGCTGGAGGCGTCTGTAACATCCCCTCCACTGCTCACACTGTTCCTGAAGGCAATGCTTCCTATAAAGGGATAAACGCTGCCTGTGAACAAGTCTCTGATGTTATAATGTGGGAGCTCCGGGTCTTGCCTCTCAGGCTTTGTGATACCCTGTCCCTCCATGGCTTTGTTTCTCTGATAGTATTTTGAAAACTTATTAAAGATGATAGTGATAGGCAGAGCTACCACTAACAGGCCACAGATGATGCATAAGGTGGCCACTATCTTTCCTGCCAGCGTCACGGGGCATGTGTCGCCATAGCCGACCGTGGTCATGGTGATCATGGCCCACCACCAACCAGAGGGGATGGTCCCCAGGTCCGTGTCCTTCTCTTCTTTTTCCGCGAAGTAGATAAGAGCAGAAAAGATGGAGATTCCTACTGAGAGGAAGAGGATGATCAGACCCACCTCGTGGTAGCTGTGGCGCACCGTGGCGCCCAGCGCTCGCAGGCCGATGGAGTGGCGAGCCAGTTTGAGGATTCTGAGGACCCTCATGAGACGCATAACCTGCACCACCCTGCCCACGTTTTCTAGGTCTTCGCTCTCCTCTTTGGCGTCCTCATCCGCTGTCTCCAGGGCCAAAGTCGCGTAAAACGGCAAAATGGAAGCAACATCAATCAGGTTCAACGGGTTTCCGAGGAACTTCCTTCGGGACGGTGCTACTATCAGCCTGATCATGAACTCTGCGGAGAAGCAGGCGATGCATATCTCCTCCAGGATGGCGAAGGCGGGATCCTCGGTGGACTTCTCGTCTTCCATGTGGTGAAATTCAGGCATGCTGTGGACGCACATGGCAACAATGGAGGTTAACACCACGCTGAGGGAAGCCACGGCGATTATCTTCGAGGCGGTGGAGTGAGCTGGATCCTCCAGCCTGAGCCAGATGTAACTCCTCACTTCTGCACACCAGGCGCCTTTGAACTTGGCGAGGTCTTTGTCAAGAGCAGAGAGCTCCTCAAAGGAGGAATCCAAGCTGGGCTGCTGGTCATCACTTCGGATGTCCCAGTCCCTGTCCTCGATGTACTCCTTCCTCTCGTGGTACCAGTTGTTGCAGCAGGAGCTGAGGTGCAGCTCTTGGATGCCCCAGTACTCAATTTCCTGGCTGAAAGAGAAGACGCAGAACTCCTCCATCATGTGGATGCGGCCCGTGTGGTAGAAATTGAGCACGCAGAGGAAAATCCGGGGATTCCTGTCAAAGTAGTACTCCTTCTCGGCCGGGACGTAGTCATCGCACAGCTCCAGGATGGCCGCCTCGCTCTGGCAGCGCAGCAGGCGAGCCAGGCGTGTGTGGGGGAAGCGGAGCAACATGTCCGGAGCCACCTCATGTCGCACCCCTCCCACGTTGAGGTGGACCTGGTCCTCCTCATTCCCATGCCGGTGGAGGATTTGCCCATATCCCATGGTCCTAACGAGAGACATGAAACGGGAAAAAAGTCAGGATTGTGAGTCGTGCATTTACACAGACGGATGTCTTTTGGACCACGCTGATCCTCTGTAGGGGAGAGAGATCAATACAGAACACAGAGGAAATGGCTTGCTGGAGCAAGAAAAGGCGTCAGGGACTGTAACTTCTCTGAGGACTGAAATGGAGGATTATCACTACTAGAATCAAATTACAGAGTAAACTTGATTCAACAAGTTGAAACAAAACCCCCACTGCATTTCACACATTAACCAAACCATTGCTGGCGCAGATTTCTAGCCCGTGTATTTTCTGATTGTTTACGTTCGTATCAAAGTCTGTCATCCATTCGTTCCCCCCCACTATCCTGCGAAGCGAGTTATATAAAAAAAAAAACAAGGTTTTTCTTCAGATGCTTACTTATCAACATTTTTTTATGTAATAAATTACAAAAAACGAGGTCAAAATGTAAAGCACACCTTAAACATACCTGTTTTTGGAGCCGTTCTTTCCATGAAAATAACTTTTATCCGGCTTGCTTGGCGTTCCTAATGTTCTGAGGCGCTGCGCGGAGTGGGTGCTGTAGGAAGCGCGGTGCCGCAGCTCCACTGACGGGACAGGAGAGGCTGGGGGCGGGACGGCTTGGTCCAGTCCACGGGGAACAGGGAGGGGCGAGGGGGGAGGAGAGGAGAGGAGAGGGGAGGGGAGAAGGGAGGAGAGGAAAGGAGGGCAGAAGAGTGGTTGCAAAGATGCGAAGACACCCCTCATCCTAGCAATGATCCCAGTTCGTGTGGGCATTCTGTGCCTCTGAAAATCCTGCACCTGCAAGCACTTGAGGAATAAAGTGCATCCCGGCTCGTGTTTGAGCAAAGGAGATGCAGCTTGTCTGCACATCAGAGAGAAGAGCAAGACCTCTGACATTTTTCTGTGTTCTCAGATAGTACAACTGGCATGTTTAAAGGCCCATGCCAATGAGAGTATAGATTTGGGCCATATGTAGCAGCTACCTGGACTCTAAAAAACGCAGAACTGACACATGTTTAGGGAAAATATTTCCGGCAGGCTTCGTTAAGTGCAACGCTCTTCTCAGTGGCTTAACTCTTACTGAGAGTTGGTAAAGAAGGGCTAATGAAGCATGGGAGTAACATACTCCTGTCCCAACACTTTTGAAACATTTGTATGGCATTAAAATTTAAACAACATATTAAAACAAGAAAAGACAATTCTGCATTATGATTACAGAGATACCTTTATTTGTTGCAAAAGGGTTTTATTTATTTAGCTTAGGATATTAAATGTCTGTGCATGCATTCATATTGCCTTCAATAACTTTTGTGAGCCAATCTTAACCTGTGTATGTTCCATGTGCAGACTCAACTTAGACTTAGACTCAACTTTATTTAGCCCTTGGTTTTACTCCTTCAGGGAACAGTACAGTACAAATTGCATCAACTCATTTGTATGTACTGTTACAGTTTTCTTGCCTTCTCCACTCGTATGACAGGCGAGAGGTACAAGAACTTTTAATCAATTAATTTAACGTTTATCTAAAATGGAATCCTAAATCACCAGCTGGCATTGAATGCAACATAAAGTGCAATCATCCAATTATCCCCAGCAGGCAGTCATTGGAGACACCTGTTTGTGGTGGTATATCTAAGTGTCGGCGCCCCCCTGCTTAAAGCCAAAGTTTGGATCTGCAGAGTTTAGGGTCACTGCTAACTTAATCAGAAGCTTGTGAATACAAACACAAAAGAAGAGAAAATAACGAAAAGAAGGGAACTGAACCTTTGATGTTGCAGTCACCTTCCTCCTGTGCCATGGGTCCCTTATTTAGATTATGGTTTGTATTTAATTTTGTATAACTTTCCTTGTTCACTCTTATGTTTTGCTATCTTTATACTTTCGTCTTTTTCAGGTGGTTTATTCCCTTGATGTTGGCTGTAAATATTGAAGCTCAACAGAAAACTTCTTTAAGTATGTCTTTTTTTTTTTTTTTTTAGGGGAGTGGGGGTTCCTTAAACATTTACCTTCAACTGTAATGACTGACTGCACTGGTAATGGTATCTGTCTTTAATCCCAGAAATCAACACAATTTGTCTGGGGAATGTCATGCGTGTGGATGTTGGCCCACTTGGAGGAAAACTTTTGGAAGTAGCTGTTGCCACTAGTAAGTTGACGCCTGTCTTTTGCTTCTTCTGAAGCGGAAAGGATTAAACTTGCCGTTCTCTTCCACTTCAGATAACTCTGTTGTTGTTCTGACTCCGAGCTTGGCCTCTCAGTGTGGCTTCAGTGTGAAGAAGGAAACACCTGGAAACGCCTTGATTTATGTCTCCCTGCCGAACTGTTTTGCTCAAAATGTGGTAATGCTAGATTCTTAACTGGTGTAGAATGTAACTTTTTGACATGGGGGCAACTATAGATGACTATCTTCACAGGATGATAAAATATTCACGACCACACTTCATCTCCGGGTCCACGGGAACCGCTATGCTGAAGATGAGCTATATCAGGTGACTGAGGCCTGCCACTACACTGCCTGGGCTTCCAGGGAAATTGTCTGTAACCACAACTATATGGAGGTAGGTGACTGCAGGAAGGCCAATCTCCATAAATGGCTCCTGAGCCTGTTTTTAATTTCAAGGCTTGCATGCTTGACTAAGTAGAACTGGGTTGTTACTGACAGCATGGCCTCATCCTCTCCAGGTGTCGGTGAATAGGGCATTGCCACATGACTACACTCTGCCTAAACATCCCGTCCCACAATCCAACTCGAAGGCAGTTAATTCTCGCCGTGCTGCTGAGGTTGACTTTAATTAGACTTTCTGGAACTCTCCTGGGCTATAGTTGAGCTCTATATATTTCAATGCTGTCTACCTTACAGAAACAGCCCGTTGATGCAGGATTTAGGATGACGACTATCGTGTTCTTCACACCTGAGGGAGAGAAACCTATGAGCGTGGCTAATGCCCAGGAAAGTGGGTATGGGATTGGAAATACTCCTTCAAGACTGGTTCTCCGAAGCCCAATGATGGCACCAGAAACGTATCATCAGAATGTGAGTCTGTGGCTTTTCGCTGAACGTCATGGAGCAACCAAAATTTTCAAAGCCTTAAACTGCACATTTCCCCACAGGTTGCAGGAGTAACCATGAGGGTTTTCAAAACTTCTATCATCTTTGAAAAGAAATGGTTGGCGACTCAAATCGATGCAGCTGCTGCTTGCCCTGTTCAAGAAGGTAGAATTTATGGCTTTGGCCTTGTGGGAATACGTTGTATAGAACCTGAGTCATTTGAAATTTGATTTAATAATCAACTCTGATGCGTATCGTCTGAAAATTCCATGTAAGATTCAGACCCTCTAGTCTGAATGCATTCTTATTTTCAGGTAGCGTGTTCTTTAACTCTGGCATAATCACCTGGTATTTGCCCCGGCAAATTGACCCAATGATTACCTCTGGCCACTACAATCTAATGGAGGTGCACTTTGGAATCAATGGTCAAAGGCTTGACGGTGCTGAGATGCAGGCTCGGCAATACTCATTATCCTTAAACGACCTCTACATTGTCACTCAAATTCCTATTGGTGCTGTTGGTGGCTATTACAAGGTAAAAGGAAGTATGCTAGAGTATTCTAGCATACTCTTAATTTGTTGCTGGGTCTATGTGTTTTTGTAAACTTGAAGCTTAAACCATAACCACCACTACACCGTTACACCAGTAAACTACTTCAAAAATGGTAATCCCAACTATTACAAACTTCAATTCTGAATCTTGCTTGTTTTTGTTTCTCCCCCAGAGTCATATTCAGCACAATCAGTATTATGTTTCCTATATGATTGAGCCAATGCTTGAAATGCTCTGGACTGAAGACTCATCTCATGAGCACACAAGATACAAAGTTCTATTTCACATTGCAACACATTTATTGCCTAGACATCTCCAACTTGTTGACAGTAAGTCAAGATTTTAAGTTGTGACAACTTGAGGTCTGTGCTGCTCTGGTTCCAATTCCTCAACCACTCTATCTACAGATACAGTTCCAGCAGAGCAAACCTTTAAGATGGTGCTGGGGCATTTTGCCCTTGATGTGGTTCTTCTAAACGTCACATTCCCCTCGGAAGTATTGTCCATGGCTGACTGCAATGCAAGAGGCTTTCACATAATGGAGCACATGGCTGTTAACGGCAGCATGAAGGTTTTTGTACTGCAGGTGCCCTTCACAGACCCTGTTGTCTCAAAACAGGTAAGATTTTAATTTTAGCATGAGAAATTTGCCTTGTGAATTCTTTAACCTTGTTTTGTCCTTCTCCAGAATGGAGATGGTGTCGTCATCTACTCTCTTCACATGACATTTGGCTTGCTGGTGCTGGATAGTTTTGTTCCTTTTTCTCACACAGCTCAGGTTGAAGCTGTATTACAGAACTCAGGTTGGTTCTCTGAACTCCTGTCTCAACTGAGGAATTCCCAAATGATTCTTTAAAGAAATCAAAGCACTATTAACATTCTGAACTTCTACCCAAACAGTCTCACCCTCCGTCTCTGGTGGCTGTGATCACCACAACTTCCATATCATTGTGAAATATGGAACTCAAGGCTTCAGCTTCCAGACCACCGTGGGAAAACGGCTAATGACGCCCAGTTTAGCTCAGCATTATAACTACTTGGAGAATGGGACGCACTTCAGTTTTACAGTGCCATTTTCATCCCCAGATGTTGCAATTGAGGTGACTCCAGTTTCTAGATTTAAAAAAAAAAAGTGTATCTTCTTCCTAAATCCCCATCTTTAACACTGTCTCAGGCTATCGAGGAATCTTCAATTAGGAACAGGCTTGATGTAGTTTTGAGCAGTCCAGAAACAAATGCTCAAATCCAAGACTTCTCTTTGGTTTGCAACTTTCCCTCAGGACTGACAGGTTTGTTTGGAACTTATTTATTTTTTGTATTCTCAAATGGCATGAAACTGGATGCTTGTTTCCTCTTCAGTGTGTTTTCCAAATGGAACAATGACTGCCCTGGCTGTCAAAGTGGAATCTGTTCCTACTCTGAATCCACGTCAGCTCACCCTCAAAGACCCCAGCTGTGGCCCAGTCTACAGCAATGACCACTATGCTTACTTTGTCTTTGCTGTAAACTCGTGCGGGACCACAAGAAAGGTATGGTGCTTCTGAACTTCATTATGTCTGCTATGACTACTATAAGTGAATCTTTTTTCCCCCAGTTTCTGCCTGATGCCATGGTGTATGAAAATGAAATCTCACTGCCAGATGAACTGGAAATGCAAATGGCACCAGAGCTCCCAGAGTATGAGTAAGTGTTTTAAATAAAAGCTTGTTTAGGGTGACACTTGAGACCATAAGAAGCTTCCAACTTGTTAAGCTACAAGTACTTGGTTTTTATGGAAATTTGCTCGTCAAACTGAAAGTAACTACTCTTTACAATGCAGGCTACAGGTGTCATGTTCCTATGACATCAGTAAAAGCCATGCTGTGGCCTTCAACACCAGACAGCGCAGGAGTGAACCATTTGCTGAGAACTCAAAAGGCCAGCTACAAATTGAAATGAGACTTGCTTCAGGTTGGTTAGCTGTCCCAATTATGTAAACCTCTAGAAATCAAAACTTGACAACCATATTGTCTAACTAAATTTTAGAATGAAACTAGAAACGTGTCATGATTGGTTGCTATTCACACTTGATTTGACAACCTGGCTCAATCTATGCTTTCTCTCAGATGACTCCTACAGCAAGTTCCAGAAGATTGAGGAGTATCCCATAGCAAAATATCTACAGCAGCCCCTGTACTTTGAAGTCCAGTTGATGAAGTCCACAAACCCTCAAGTTTCACTCCAGCTAGAGAATTGTTGGGCAACACAGGACAAGGACAGGAATTCTCAACCCAGATGGAATCTGATCATTAACAGGTAAATATGCAACACTTTAAATTGAGCTTTATTTATTTTAAGTGTGTCAAAGACTTTTTGGGTTTGATATCTTTTCTCCAAACTGTTAAAAATCCCCTAGCTGTCCAAACCCAGTGGACCCATACCAGGTAGTCTTCCACCCAGTTCAGACTGATGCCAGAGTTCACTATCCCTCTCACTTCAAACGCTTTGAGGTCCAGATGTTTGCCTTTGCAGAGGGCCAAGATGACTTGAGCAGCCAGGTAACTTGAATGGGGGGGAAACTACTAGTCTTCTGCACTTATACCAGACTAATGTTACCTGTATCTTGCAGGTTTTTGTCCACTGTGATATTGTGATCTGTCACACTAAAATGCAACTTAGCGGAGTCTGTGGTGTGGAGTGCTCAGACCCCAAAAATGGGCCCAAAGGTATGAGACTGCACAAAACTTGCATGCTAGTTTAACTGTCATCTTCAATCTTGTTGGATTTCAAACTGAATACTTGCTCATTTGTCTCTTCAGGTCAAAGACGAGATGCTCATGACTCCAGTCATGTGTATGTTGGACCACTCATCATTAATAAATAAACATTTTTATATCACTTCAGATGTATTGTATTTGTGCTGAGTTCGAACTTACCTGCATGAGAGAAATCCTGTGTAATGCAGCCTCAAGGGAACTGGTCTTGTACAGAAACCTGTGGCCAGTGAAATGGTCTGAATTGAAAACTGAGGTGTTAAAGTTCAGTTTTTCAATTGAAATGCAGTTTAAACAAAGGCCTTAATTTTTAATAAGGGTCCATGATCAAGGCCTTTGGAAGAGCCCCAGATGTTAAATCAAAGTGTGAATACCAACTATTTGAAGTGTCATTGCTACCCAAAATGTCCCTCAACACTGGCTGTCACTACTTTTTTTTTTTTTTTTTTTTTTGACAGGTCTGAGTTACACATGAAACGTCTAATAGCCTGTAAATGTCTGGACAGACTAGGTATTGTACTTAATATCTGGACTCTAACTTCAGAAATCCCGGGTTTCCAAGCATTTATAAGATGCTTTATCCAAAGCATCCAGATTGGTTTTGGAAAGAATTCACTAATCTGGAGGTGCAGGGTAGGATATGGTCTCTTAAGACTTTGGGTCTTCCAGAGTTGTTGGACAGGGGTGCCACTGTTGTGCTTGAGTAAGTCATTCCACCATTGTGGAACAATACATGAATAGTTTATAAATAAGACATGGACAGTAGACCCAACACTGTGTGGTTTTGATGGGAACTTATTTAGCTAAAGTGCATACCTTCCAGAATCAACAGCTTTCCAAATGCACTTTCATACCATTTGAGATGCAGGTTTCCAAAGTGAGCACTAAAAAGCTCTATAGTGCCTCCTCAGGGCTGGGCAGCTCCAGGCCTCAAGGGTCACTGCCCTTTGGTTTCCTTCCACACACCTGATATAATTGATCTCTAAAGATGGCTCTGCACAAGACTGATGTGATTCAGGTGTGTAGAAGCAGGGAAAACTTAAACCTGCATGAACAGCCTTTATGGCCTGGATCTGCCACCCCCGGTTTAGAGGATGTGGTCTTCAATATAATTTAATTTTAAATAATGAATATGCCTATAGATACTTTGAGATGCAATCTCACATATTTGCGTGAAAGAACATTTACATGTATGCAGCTAACCGATTTCTGAAGGTGAAATCAATGGAAATGAATTTCAGCTGGGGACTTATCTGACAAAGCTCTATTTTCAAAAGGGAAAGTGCCCAACAAGAACAAATTTATGCCAGCCAGACATCTTTGCACTCCTTAAGCCAGTGGTGGGCCGTCAGGGCCTGCAAGGCCTTCTCTGCAGGCCTAAGAAAATATCTGAATCAAAGACTGATGTTAATTGTTTTGTCCATGGAAACTTATTAAATATCTCTAAATAGTCTGTCCACTTCCTTTCATAGCTTTTTCCCTGGTTGCGCTGCTTCCAGACATGCATTTTCATATAAAAGCATTTAACCAATCACATTTCAGCCATCATTTGTCGCTAAGCAGGGTCAAAGTCAAAGATGTCTGCCTGGAGGCCTTCACAATCCGTTCTGCAGGCCCCCCCCAACAGAAAATACATGTTGAGTACACTGTTGCTTTAACCTATCAGATTTTAAGTTGGTGACACTGGGGCCTTCTAGAAGGCCTTAGTAGGCCATAGGCTGAAGCCTGTATCGTTCAAGTTCACTCCACCTATTTAGGGACTACTAAATGACACCTGCAAAAAAATCCTTAGTGCATTTTGAGCTCATAACCAAAAGTTCTCCAATCGCTTTGCGCCAGTATTTTTACAATAATTACTTAAAAATGTAACTATATCGGTAGCCTGATCACACCGGTAAAGTACGCTCGAATCAAGCCGCCTAGCCGTTAGCCAATCAGAGCGCGTTCTTCAGGTGCGCTCTCCCATTCAGATGGCGAGAACAGAAGAACAACAACAAACATGGCTGCTCCCGTGGAGCAGCGTGTTCCCGTTGATCAGACAAAAAACGCAAGAGAAATTAGGATTATATATGCATCACACACATATAATCGGTAGACAAAGAACGGACACAGCCACTAACAGTTGTTCGTGGAAGAAGCTGGTCGTATGTGCACGTAAGTGTATTGACGGAATTGACCGCACGTTGGCGGAGGGACACAAGACAAAGAAAGGTAAATTGGTCCAAGCAGAAACTATGAATACTGGTGATTAGATAATTTGCAGACAGCATCTTTGTTTGTGGCTTATAATCAAAAGCTAAAGTAATACATTTGTTGATAAAAAAAAATGCATGTGTAATTGGTGCCAGCCCTAGCCTGCTCACATCATTATGAAGTAGGTGTATGAAGGCTATGTGTAGGGCCTCAATAATAATAAAAGGCATTATGAATTTGAAGTGATGATAGGTGTTAGGATTTGGTTATAAATACACACTTTAGCATAGTATGCTATCACATGATCTATGTAGATTTCTAATTGTTTTATTTCTTTCATAACTATATGAAGTGTCTGGCTGTAACCACAGATTCTCTTTGCTCTCTCTTTTCTTTCTCTCTTTTCTTTCTCCGTTGCATTAGATCCACGTCTTTAAGTTAACACACACACACACACATCATTTGGTACCACATTCCAATGTCATCAACATGAATTTACGATCCGGCTTGTTAGTCTTAGAGGTAACTAACCAATAGGACTTGGTTGTGTCCAGTCCTCCTTTTGAGGGGTGTGCCCAGTTTAGGAGACAAAGACCCATCACACCCAGATCTCAGAGCTCTTTGCCGACTGAGACCCTGAGAGAGAGGTTTCCTCTGTGAAGAGCCCAGCGCTGAAATACTTTACCTGTGACCCAATAAATGTCAACTTTTTACTCTTGATCGACTCTGGTTTATTCTCAGGTTTCCAACTAAAGAATCGGGCTAACATAGGCAATTAATTGATTTGTCAAATAATGGTTAGATTTTAAATTTGTCACCCAACTACCAGTTCAGTCTGGTAAAACAGAGAAAAGGTATTTGATATTATTTGTTGGCAGCTGGTTTATGATTGAACTTTAACTCTCTCTTTGCTAGGGAGTTTGGTTAAAGCAGCTGAAGTGAAAATGGACGAATCCATCCTCAAGGATGTACGTGGAAAAGATTGTGTCGCAATTGAAGTCCGGTACCACAAACAGTGCTACAAAGAAAGTTCAATTCAATTCAATTTTATGTATATTGATACTAATGATAATGATAGGAGTTATGACAGAAATAACACTATGCAAAGTAGTAGCAGAGCAGGAACACGGAGCAGCAGGAAACTCCCAATCACAGATCCAGACTCCACAGCTCTAGGAACACCTGCAGGAAGTGATAGGAGGAGACTCCTATCACTCCTATGATTTAGATGATTCATAGTTTCTTTGTGTTTTCTATTGTAATTCTCAAGTCGTAACAACCCGAAGTGATCCTAAAAAGTTTAACATCTCAAGGCTTGCTGGGTCCAACAAAAGTAATTGTTTAAAAACAGAAATGTCTTTGTGCCTTCTTTAATTCCCTGTACATTTCCATATTATGTCTTGCCTCAGAAGAGTGAATTCACAACCCTCGGGTTAGCTGATTGAAACCATTTCATTTCTGAAAACCAATTTGAAAACCATTTGTCAATAGTTACTGAGTGGAGATTTATAAATGGTTAGAATCGGTCTTTATAATTATATATGTACATGTATAAAATTTGGGAGATATAAACTTTGGCATGCTTATAGTGCTTGGTATAATTGTTCAAAAGTAATTGAAAAATTATATGTAGGCCTCTTATTCTCTCTCAGTTTTTCTGAAGATGATTAATTCTCTCTGTAAATATTAATAAATGTTGCAACAAACAGAAGAAGTGACTCTTGTTGGTGTGGGGATGGAGTGGTGGTGGTGGTGGGGGGGGTTGTTACTATTATTTTTGTTATTATTTGTTCATTAATTCCATGATTGCTTAAGTTGATATCAGATCCATTGAATAAACAGTATGAATTTACTTGAAGATTCTTCTAGTTTTTATTGTTATTTCCGAAAATTTTGCTTCCAATATTGTAACTGGTCTGCTAGGTGATAAAATTCACACCACTTTAAATATTATTAATTAACCAGACACAAAGGGATATCTTTCTATTAGAGTTTTTCCAATTTAAAATTAAAAGAATTGCAGTTTTCATGTGCAATAAATATATATTTTGGGAGATTTTGAAATTGTTAAAAAGTGTATGTTTTCATTTAGAATAACTCCTTACTTAAAGCACGCAGAACATTGCCGCTTTAGAAGCTCAGAGTAAGTATGAATGTCTGTGGGAATAAAAAATGTTTGTCCGATCGGCTTAATAATAAAAAAGTTACAAGGGTTTGAAAATGGTAGGAGACCCAAAATCATTTTTGGGTAAACTGTCACCTTTGGCACCCATTTTCTCAAATACTGGCAGGAATCCCATGGAGAACTTTTTTTCCCAGCTCCAGTACATATTCAAGATTGGAAAAGTGCTATCGAAAAGTAGTCCCCAGGATAGTGGAGCGAAATCCTATTTCTAGCCACATTTTGAGCTTCAGCCTATGGCCTATAGGCAACGTCACCGTATTCACACCGCTAGCAAACAAACCGAAATATAGTTGTTTTGGTGTAATAGCTGTTTTATGATTTGGTGGGGGATTTACTGTCAAGACCATTTTCAGTAAATTGTTGCTTTTTTCCTAAATAATGTCACGAGTTTGAGGATATTGTTTTGTTGGGGGGGGGGGGGGGGGGGGCGGTTGTGGGGGGGTAGAAGACTTGTGCACCCCTGATCTTTATACTGTATTTTAAATTGGTCCCGATCCGATATTTGGATCGTATCGGCCGGCAGGAGAAAATGCCGATCCAGACTCTAAGTCCGATCCCACACGAACATTAGCATCTCCTAACCCACAAGTCTGTGTCATAAACATTAAGTTAATGAGTAAATCCCTGTTCAACATGAGTCTTAGAACTAAAGTAGATAACTTTGATACAAAAAGCTGGATAGGGACATCCCTACTGCATTTCTACATATGATTTCTATAACCATAAAATAGTTAGAGGGGTGAATTGATTCAGATAGCGCACTACTGAAGGCCTAGCTGTGAAATGCATGTTCCGCCACTGCCTTAAGCATACTTGGGATCTGGCCTAAAAAAAAAAAAAAAAAATCTTTACCAAGTTCAGCAGTTGTGGTAACCGTTGCAAATTACAACCCTCCAAATGGCACAGCACTAAACTGCCTGACACTTTCAGACAGCAGAGATCAAACTGAAGTCTCCCATTATCTAACACTGAAACTGAGCCCTTTCATACATTTAAGCATTTTAAACCCAACTCTAAATTTAGACACAATCAAATATACTATAACCATCTACAGGGTATGCAAGTCTGCCCTATTGAGGTGTATTGATACAGAACAGTAGAGTCGCCCGTTACACAATCCACAGCTACTTTCCATTAAAAGTTTATAAATTAGAGATAAAATTGGCCCATTACTTCTCAGTTCCAAGCCTTCCCAAACCTTGGCATTGCATTTTTTGAGTGCACAGCTTCTGTTCACTGGCTGTCTTGGCTTAAACTGACACGTGCATGTCAAATGCAGCGTTACAGCCAAGGCACAATATGCAATTGATGCACATTAACAAAATGGCCTTTAGTCACCAGCAAAAATGCAACAGTCAACAGAATACATTTAAGATAGTTTATTTATGAATTTGGATCGGTCCAGAGGAGATCTCTCGTTTGTGTGTTGAAGCTGTACCTTTTCCTGCAATAGAAAAACAAATTAAATATCTAGTAGCAGTTGGCTCAATTTTGAATTCTTACCCTTTTTCATGCCTTGGTATGAGGGCTTTAAGCCCTGACACTGGCCTTGGCAGATGCCTTCTGGAGGGCTGGTTGTATCACAAATCACTACATCACAGTGGACATAGATCTGGAGGGCGTCAAATACATAGTTAGGAATTCTACAGACAAGGTGGCTGTATTGCCAATAGAGAAATTTACCTCATCTTGCAGAACCTCCTCATCTTTAATGAAAGTAAACATTTTCACTGAAAAGCGCTTGATGTGAGCTGGGGTTGAAACTTGGTTGTCCATGGCAACAGGATGGAAGATTGTGGCATAGCCATCATCAGGGTTCTCACAGCTGGATGAGAGAAACAAACTCTTAGAGACAGCTTATTTAAGACTTTTGCTGGACCTGGCAAGTCACTGCATTACCCATTCACAATGATGTCCCAACTGGGAACAGAGTTTCTATCCTCTTGATTAGTAGCCACACAGTTTTCCAAGATCAGTTCCAAGTGAGGGTCAGATGACTGCATCAGATCCACTTCAAAGTACAAAGGTTGCCTTAGATATTTCTGCACTGGATAGTCTTCTGCTTTGTAAAAGTAGTCGTATGAGGGATCTGGAGGAAGATCAGTATTAATACAATGACAAGTTGGGTGGCACAAATGTGGGAAGTGAATTAGTGGTCAAAAGTTATGGAAACCTTACCCTGGGCCAGTCTCATTTGCACCATGAACTGCCCTGACCCTATCTCTGCTCTGGGATCAGAGTGTCTGGGGGAGGAGCTGAAGCCTATGGTCTGCGTGTCATTGACTGTGTAGTAGCAAGAGATCTTTTGCCTAGGGGACAGATGTCCGTTAATCTATATAACTGATTCAAGTAAATTTTAAAGTCTTACCTGTAGTCAGGATCAACTGGTGACGTGTAGGCCAAATTATCTTTGGTGTTGTGATATAAGCCAATCTCATTTTCATACAGCATGTATTGGTTGAAGAACTAGACCAAAGTGATGCATTAGAACCTTAAAAACAAAGCAGTGTGCCAATAAAGTCAGACTTACTGTTCTGGTTGTTCCACAGGAGTCAGCTCTAAAGGTAAATCTGGCAAAACGATCGTCACTGAACACTGGTGTGCAGGACTTGTCCTGCAAAGTAAGCCAGCTTGGCTGAAGATTTGGCACAGATTCCACCTTCACAGCCAGGGCAGTAATGGTTCCATTGGGGTAGCATGCTAAAGAGGATAAGGTTTAAGGAAGTCTCACTGAAGGAAGCATCAAAATATACAATACCATGATAAGAGATCTTACTGGTGGTTGTCAGAGGGAAGTTGCAAGTCAGGTAGAGATCACCAAGCACCCACTGGTTGACTGGATCCCACAGCAGCACATCAAGTCTGGCTCTGACTGAATCCATTGCCATCACCTACAAGAGCAAGATGATTTAGTTCAGATTCACAGGGAGAAAAAAAAAAACAAAAAAAAAACAGAACATTCAGGAGAATTTGCTTACCTCAAAGGCAGTAACTGCATTATAATATGGAACATCAATGCTGTAGTGTGTACCATTGTCATAAAACTTGAAGTAGTCAGCCAGTTCTGGTGTCAGGTCTTGAGTGCCAACCAAGGTCTTGAAGTTGTGTCCCCGATTGCCATATTTAACACCAATGTAGAAATACTCCAGGTCGCAGATCCCAAATAGTGTTGGTAGAACTAGCAAGATAGAAGCATTTAATTTCTTGCCCCCTTTGGAAGGGTTGAAGGGTGCATTTATATATTAAGAAGTCTTACCAACATCCTGCAGTGAAGCCTGCAATTCCACAGTGTGGGAAAATTGACTTTCCTCAGGGTGGATAACGAAGCCAAAGACCAAAGGGAGGAAGTAGGTTGTAACCAGGGGTTCAGGATTCTGATGGACAAGAATAATTTTTTTTTATTTTTTTATAAAGTCATACATGGGAACATGTATGAGGGGGCGCTTAATACTTCATAGTCATACATGCTTTAGGACAACATCAGCAGCAAAGGGCACTTGTAAAGTGAAGACAGATGTTCCATTGGGGAGGATGTATTTCTCTACAGCAAAGCCTTCTGCATTGCTTTCAGCAACAGAAAGAACTCCAGTGGAAAAAGTGATATTCCTCAGCTCCACATCATGAAGGAAGGTCCCAACATGAACATTGAACACCCTGTCCTCTGGGATGGTACCTGAGGAGAAGAGTGAGATATAGAACCATCCCAATATTTGAATGTAGCAAGTAACTTAAAGGACTTACGGTCTTCAGCATGAGGAGGAAGAGGCATTGGTGGGGTTGTAATGGGGAACAAAACTTTGTATCTGGTGTCATCTTGGTTGTCTGCCCTCCAGAGTACATCAAGCATGGGCTCAATAGTATAAGTGATATGGTACTGGTAATCTGGGGCATGACTCTGCAATTACACAATAATCAAGGTGTTGGCTGGATCATTTCTTAAAATGAAAATTCATTCAAAGTGAAAATTTAAATCAGACCTTGTAATAACCATCTGGTGAGCCTATGGGGATCTCCAGAACAATGTGGAAGTCTGTGGTAGAAAGCGAGTAACCTCTAGCAGCCATCTGAGATTTATCAAGTCTTTGGCCATTTATGCCCATGTGCATTTCCACCATTTTAACCTTGCTGTCCATTAGAGGGGTAATGCGGCGAGGCACATGCCAGGAGATGAGATCCTCAGTAAAGAGGATGCCACCTGTTGATAAACTTGTTAGAAAACTGATTTTGCACTTTTATGAAGGGGAGAAAGAAGAGGCTTTGCACCTGTTGGACAAGCAGCTGCCAAGTTCACAACATTTAAACCATGTTGGTCCTTGTGGTAGACACTAACCCTGAAGACCTCCATAGGGACTCCAGCAACCTTTGGAAAGGAGGAAAAAAAAAAAGCCATGTCAAAAACACCAGTTTCCCCCTTTTCTCTAGAGAAAAAGGAGACTTACTTCCTCCGAATAGGTTTCAGCAGTACTGTATGGACTGCGCATAACCAGACGTGTTGAAGTTGTCATGGCAGCATAACCAGCTTGTTCAGCTTCTTCAAGTACCATAGCAGTTGGCTCAGGAGTGAAGAATGTCATTTTCCAGATTCCATGCCCCTCACCTGTAGCCTGCAAAGAACAGTTTATTCCTTATATTGCCATCCAAAGAAAGATGAACTCTTTAACATACCTCAGGAATGGCATTCATTTGAGGGTCCTCCTTTGCTGGACCCCTTCCTTTAGCATCAACCTGTGGAAGACTCTGACCCATGTATGTTGACACCTAATTTGGGGGGGGGGTTGAAATAAGTTCAGAGTTGGCCACCTCCCATGCAAAACAAATCCACAAAAAAAAAATCAGACTACTCACTTCCATGTAGTTCCTGTCACAGAGAATCTCTTTGGAAGCCCAGCGAGTGTAGCTACATGTCTGTGTCACATCATGACCAACCACATCAGATGGACTGTTCTTGTAAAGTTTCAGTTTCAAGCCAAATGTGAATGTTGTGTCATCCTGACAAGGAAAGAATGGGTTTTACCATTTTAGTATAGCTCAAGCTTCCAAGAACAAACCCAGCCATATGACATACTTTGTTGTTTACATAGCAGCCCAACAGAGACGAGTAGATCCGGGTGTTACCCCATGGGTCAGACTCCATGCTGTAGCCACACTGAGCAGCCAGGCCGGGTGTTAAAGCAATGTGTTTGGTGCCATCTAAAAACATAATTGCAAGCGTCATTTCTCTTTAAGACACACACGTGCTTGCAGTTAAGAGCTCATACGTACTGATCGCTTCCACTACGAGTTGGTTCCCCACAGCCAGAGCCTTATCCAGCTGCAGCCTCATTAGATTACCTGCACAGTCTGACCTTAATCCACTGCCTGTTTAGGGGAAGAGAAAAAGGAAAAAAAAAAAAAAAGCTGGTAAAGCAGAAGTTCAGCTTGTTGTATAAATTAAGGCCAATTCAACAAAAAACTTCTTACTCGGCAAGTTGTGCTTCCCATTTGTCCATGCTTGGCCCAAGACAAGAATGGTAGCCATCCAGTTCCAAAATAAACTGGAGACAAACATTTAAGTCATTGCCAGTCGAGAAATGAAAGGAAATGAGGAACATGTACTTACATTTTCTCAGGTTTCCACATATTGCAATGTGAAAACAGCCAAACACAGGAAAAAACAAGAAGTCACCAGTCAACAACAGCACTTGGCTCAGAATCCCAGCAGACCCTGAGAGACAAAGCAGCTCTAAAGGAAAGGAGCTGATGGTGTGCCTGTGATCCACCACCTGTTTTATATGTCTGCAGAGCACTGCTCCACAGGTGAAGCCAATCAGTGGCAATCATCTCACTTTTGTGACTTGGGAGATAATCAGATGCTCAAGTCATAACATGTGGTGAAACATGAATCTTTATAGTTATTTTTGTTTTGAAGACATTAATGTGAGTGTAAAAGTTTATATTTACATATCAATTTAAACTTAGATTAAGTTACTAATTTATATAACTACTTATTATCAAGGTTAGAGTTATACATAAATATAAACTTGTATATTAAAATGGACGTATTTAATATATATTCTCTAAAGCTTGCCTGTTTTCTGTTAGTTTATGAACATAAAGATATGCTAAACAAGAACTTAGCAAAAATATAGGTGAGTGAATTTGGAAGTTACTGTTTTAAAAAAACACAAATCTTCCCTCTAGATATCAAAATGACAACTTGATTACTGCATTATTTTTGGGATTTGTCTAATTAAACTTCATCAAGCACTGTTGTAGATTGTGCGAATTGTCCTCTTTTTTTTTTTTTTTTTACCTCCAAGACAACTATGAGGAATATGACTACATGGGTTAAAGTTCAGATCAGATAGACTTATAAGGCTTATTTGTCTGGTTATGCACTAAAACAGGATATGGAAGGAGCTTTATTTTTATGTAGTTGTTTTAACACAAATGTAGCTTAAACAACAGTATTTGACTATTGCTTCTATATGCATCCAGAAATAAACTCTGCTCAACTAAACGTGAAATCTAAGCAAGAGTCCGGATGCCATTTCTATTAAAAACTGCTGTGAGAGGAGACATGCTGCCTCAGGCATTGAAAATCCCCAATCTGAAGTATTTTGGAGTTTTTATCCCAAAAATATCCAAAATACACAAAAACCTAAGAAAGATTCACACACAGGGAAGAAATAACTATTAAACCCATCTATAAAATGAAAGCACTTATGTGAGATAGTTTAATGCCAAAGAATGCAAGTTGGACACATGACGAAAATTAATATTACAAGATTATCAATTTTGTCACATACAGTATATATACAGGGATTGGACAATTAAACTGAAACATCTGGTTTTAGACCAAAATAATTTATGAGTATGGTGTAGGGCCTCCTTTTGCGGCCAATACAGCGTCAATTCGTCTTGGGAATGACATATACAAGTCCTGCACAGTGGTCAGAGGGATTTTAAGCCATTCTTCTTGCAGGATAGTGGCCAGGTCACGACGTGATGCTGGTGGAGGAATATATTTCCTGACTCGCTCCTCCAAAACACCCCAAAGTGGCTCAATAATATTGAGATCTGGTGACTGTGCAGGCCATGGGAGATGTTCAACTTCACTTTCATGTTCATCAAACCAATCTTTCACCAGTGCTGTGTGTATTGGTGCATTGTTATCCTGATACACGGCACCTCCTTCAGGATACAATGTTTGAACCATTGGATGCACATGGTCCTCCAGAATGGTTCGGTAGTCCTTGGCAGTGACGCGCCCATCTAGCACAAGTATGGGGCCAAGGGAATGCCATGATATGGCAGCCCAAACCATCACTGATCCACCCCCATGCTTAACTCTCCCGGCTGTGGGGAAAACAGTAAAGGCGGACTCATCAGAGAACAATACATGTTTCACATTGTCCACATCCCAAGATTTGCGTTCCTTGCACCATTGAAACCGACGTTCGGCATTGGCACGAGTGACCGAAGGTTTGGCTATAGCAGCCCGGCCGTATATATTGACCCTGTGGAGCTCCCGACGGACAGTTTTGGTGGAAACAGGAGAGTTGAGATGCACATTTAATTCTGCCGTGATTTGGGCAGCCGTGGTTTCATTTTTTTTGGAGACAATCTGGGTTAGCACCCGAACATCCCTTTCAGACAGCTTCCTCTTGCGTCCACAGTTAATCCTGTTGGATGTGGTTCGTCCTTCTTGGTTGTATGCTGACATTACTCTGGATACCGTGGCTCTTGATACATCACAAAGACTTGCTGCCTTGGTCACAGATGCGCCAGCAAGACGTGCACCAACAATTTGTCCTCTTTTGAACTCTGGTATGTCACCCATAATGTTGTGTGCAATGCAATATTTTGAGCAAAACTGTGCTCTTACCCTGCTAATTGGACCTTCACAGTCTGCTCTTATTGGTTCAATGTGCAATTAATGAAGATTGGCCACCAGACTGGTCCAATTTAGCCATGAAACCCCCCACACTAAAATGAGATGCTACTCAGTTTCATTGTCCAAACCCTTTATATTCATGTAATAGATTCCACTGGTCGATTCCCTCAAAAAGCCCGTTTCTCCTTGTGTTTCGGAGTGCGTCTTTGCACTTTAAGTAGATGTCAGTATCCCCTGTTTATCTTCTGCTGCTGATCCAGAAGTGTCTGTTGAAGGCTCACTTTGGCATCTTCAAAATCTGGATTGAGTTTTAGAGCTTGCTGGAAATCCCTCTTTGCATCATTGAAAAAACCTGCAAGATAATATGAAAGAAATAGCATAAATACACAGTAAGTTTAATGCTACCTCAGTTTTCCTGTTCTGCATATGACGTGTCCACGTTTCCTTTTTCAGGGCATTGTAAAAGACGCTAGGCTTGATTTCAGATACACAGCCCCATCTAGTGTTTTTCCGGAGAACACACATAAAAGAGTTGGACATTTCTACTGTGTATTCGGGCTCTATATAGGCCCAATCTTACCTAATCTATAGTGGATAAGTCCTCTGTTGTAGAAAGGGATTTCAAATTGGCTGTCAGCCTCTATAGCGGAAGTGTAGTCTTCTATTGCTTCATGAAAATCCACCCGCAGGTACTTTATCTGTCCGCGGTCGTTATAAGCTTTGGCTAACATGCCAGCTTCACACTCCCTGTGAATCAGACCACAGTTATGAGTCGCTTTTTATTCAAACAGAGTGAACTTTTCATAAAGAGAGGGAATATATAGATAACGAACGTTGCCTGTACGTTAGTCACTGAATTCGACGGGGAGCTAAATTCACCGGAACACTTAGCTTACTGCACTCAGCTAACAGGCAGCCATTAGCGGGTTTAACCTGCCAGAAAGAAGAGTAGTACCTGGACTGTAAGCAGGAGCGGATAAACTTTGTATACAGCTCCTCTGCTGGTTTAAAACTGCGTTTTATGAACTCAGAATGTGCATCTTCAAATAGCTGGGAGGTTTTCTCTTCCATAAGGGTGAAGGAAGAAGTGAGCCTTGTTTTTCTGTTTCAACTGCGGAAGTGACGTAAGAACGGAAGGCCCAACCGTATTTTACAACTTTACAAGTGGGGGTGGTTTATTACAACGCTACTTAGAGAAATAATCCACAGTTTATTAAATAATCAATTGAAGCAAAAATGTTGTATGTTTCCGGTTTCATGGACTATTATTTCCCCCAATTCTATTTCAGTCCGCCAACTCCAGCTTTTGTATATAACATTTTGATCAACTTTAACAATTTCCAGACTAAAAACAGCACACTGTCATTACACAACATAGTCCATTTGTCCATATTTTGTGGCAATTACAGTTAATTAACATTTAGCATCTACTTTTTAACCCTGATGCTAAGCTTAATTCATCATGATACTAAACAGTTACAAATATATTTATCCCAGTCTTTCTTTTCTCCTATGATTGTTATTGATTTTACTCTGTTCACAAAAATAAATAGATTCACATACACACTATGCACCTTGGCCGTATTTGAAACAACAACTGTCTTTGAAATTGAACAAAATATATTGCATGTGGTTCAATCATTTCAGCCTATAGTTATCATAGTGGCTTATCAGAATCAAATTTGCACGTCGGTTGTCCTCCTTGTCATCAACATTTGCTGTGATCAGTCTTAAATAAATCGAAATACAGATTTTACATTGCAATTTTGATGATTTGTGTTTAAAAATATACTTTGTATGTTGCACCAGCAGGTGGCATACTTGATTCAGATTTGAAACATCCAATGGTGTTGCCAAATGTAAATTTGGTTTGAATAGTAGTAATGCATTTAAATTCAATCCAAAATCAAACTAAAAGTAAAAACAAAATGTTCTCTGAAGTTTGATACATAGAATTAAAAAAGTCAGATAGATCTAATCTAATCTTGGGATCAAAGCTTTAATTGTAGAGTCTCAAACATCTGCTACCAGTTTTTGGATAAAGTGGTCACCCATGGTAATAACTGCACAACAAGGACACAAAATGTAAACAAACTGGGGAGAAATTCACATTGAATCTTCTTGGGGAAAAAGTTAACCGTGCTGGTGAAAAATGACACCTCATGGTACAAGAGGTCACTCAGCAACCGTGCACTTTCCTTTCACGGCTCATTTATCTCCAGACTGTGCGGGCGAGTTGACACAGATCTAACAGAGATGGGTATGACTGAGATGGAAAAGCCACAAGCTCCTGGCTGCTGTTGAGAAAATGGAAACAGCTTGTAACCTCTCACTGGGAAAATATATTTGAAAATATAATTGATCCAATAACTTCACAACACATGAATCATGAAGCTTCTAATTAGTAAAACACGCAGAAGGCCACAAAAGATTTAGATTATTTGAAGATGAAAAAAAAGTTGCAAAACACGGCAAACGTCTTCAATCAAAAGCTTTGTCTAATAAAAATAAATATTCTAAAAAAAAATATTTTTGTGTTAGACATCACGTTTCAAATTGTTACTTTATTCAAACCAATCAAGCTCTCATGGAAAATGTAAAGGTTTATTTTGCAACCCAAAGCACAGATTGTTATGTTCAGAGGCCTCAGAAGCTAAATGTGGCTGTTTGCTGAGAGAATTAACACACAGTATCAAAGTCTACTTTGGACAGACATCCATCCATCATGCAGCGTGGTTCAGGCTGTGGACGACTTCCACTGACAGGCCCCTGCACTGTACTTTACTACAGTTATACTACAGTTCACCTTTCACCATGGTCAAATATCTCAGCACATTATGTAATTTTTTTTATCTTGACGAAAAGATGTCTGGTGAGATTTGCCTCAGTCTAGCAGAGTACATTTTTTCACTTTAATGTGGTATTTGGAGGCCAACTATTTGAAACAATATACTGAATGTCAGAAAATATGAAGCCTCATAAAAGAGTTGACTTAAGATTCACTGGAATGTTTAAATGCTTCATTTCGAAAGATTAAGCTGATAACTGTCTTCAAGGTAACATTAATAATATATATAGTAATTGTTTTTATAACAAAAATATTTATATGTCAAATTAAAAAATCACTTTTTTAATTTCAAAATGATTGAATGATTAAGTTGCTTATATGATGATGTTGTTGTATAGTAATAAGATTTTATTAAAGCAGAGAGGCACAGAAAAAGTTTAGTCTAGATTTGTTGATTTGATGTCACAATATCTAACACATCTTGCTGTCTGAAAAAAATAGTAGATGCAAGAAGTTAGACTTTTGGAACATGTCCAAAGCATTAAGGTCCAGTTGAGTATAGTTGAGTTTTTATGTGCAGGAATCATTCAAACCCCAGTTACATTAATGGAGATGGGTTTGTCTGTATTCGAGATGTTTTAAATTTAATATAATTTCGGTTAAGAAGTTTGACATTGTCTTTTAAACTATCTGAACGCACCTTGATGATTGATTAAAGCGTCTTGGGTACTGTGGGGATGATTCCATTTTTACAGACAGAAGATGCATCGGTGCAACCGAGCAGAAACACCCACAGAGGATTCAAGTTCATCCTCAACTTCTCCCATAACTCCTGAACAGGGAAGCATTGTGCCACACTTGATGTGCCTTTTCCACTTCTCAGAGTCGTGCGAGCCCCATTCATCTTTTACCCCCGAAACACTGGTGGGCTCAGCTTTATGACTGCCCGTGTGTGTGGCAACCATGAACTGAAACAGCAAACAAACATAAAACAGCTGTCTGGTTAGAGGAAGAAGGAGAGGATCCAAGCCAGACCAGAGGTAAACGCTGGGCTGTTGACTCTCTGCCCCGCGTAGACGCCACGGACAGAGACGCTTTGTTGTCAGGACTTCTCGGGCAAATAGGCCAGCACATTCCTGGGGGATCCATGATTCTTGGCAACATGGACAGAGTGTGACAAACGATGGTGGTAACAGTGTGAAAAATGATTGAACGTGTTAATTAAACTATCAACTCAGAGCTGTCAAAGCGATAGCAGCTGGGAGTGGAAATGTACACAGTTTTACGGTAGGTTTTATTCATATTGTCTGACAGTGTGTCTCTGATTAGGAGGAAAGAAGCGATCTCCTGGTGACCTCAGGCACTAGAGCAGACGGAACTATGACACACTATTAACAGAAATGTCAGACATTTACTATCACATCGATATCCCTATGTTGAGTTCAATATTTCCATTTACAACATAATTCACTGTTGTGTTAGAGAGATAGATATAATGCTTCTTTTGTTTAAGCAGATTTATTTTTCCAGGTAACTAATGGTAGCAGGATTAAGATCTGTAACAAAGATAGGCACATTATTTGATTAAGAAGTAAGATGGTATGTATTTATTTCTCTTCCTTGATTTGCACCTAATTTGAAGAAAAAACCTGACAATTGCTGTTTCAACAAGAGGTAGTTTTCGAGAAAAAGATGTGTCCTTTATGGGGCCATTGGATTATTTTTTTTATTTTTCTTCAAATGAAAATGCTTGGTTATAGGAAATTAAAGCATTTAATGAAACTTAGTACTTTAATTAAATAGTAATTCAGCATGAACAATAACAACGAATCAAAACCAAAGGAACTCTTGAATTTCTTTAAACAAGGAGTATTGAAAGAGCGTTTATTCACATTGCTTGTTTAGAAGATAAATTATTGTTATTTCTAAGCACATTCTGCAATTATTTACCTGTAAAACATGAATCCAATCCAAACATGCCCAGCAATGTCCTTATATATTTCAGCCCCTTTCCCCTTTTTAGTCAGAGGTTTCATCAAATGCTGCACCAGGACCAGTACAAGGCGCCATTCTAGCTCAGGTCAATAATTTAACACGAGATGATGACTATCCTCACTACCACTGCACACCAAAAGTCTTATTTGTCTTTGTAATTAACAAGAAAAGTACTGAATTTAATTTATACAAATATTAAAACAACAGCAGACTTTTACATCATGTGATTTTATTGTCCTTTTTTTCTTTTGTTACATGTATAAATCTTAGCAATTCAGAGTTACAAAAGATGAACATTTCTCATCGTAAACATAGTCCATGATACAAACCTGCATAGTAAAACAGTTTTAGCAGGTTACTATATAGAAAATAAGTAAAAATCCATAATGAAAACTCATTTACTGGTTGGATGCTCTATTGCATAAAGTTTACTATATACACATCAATCTTTGTACATAAAGCATGCAAAAATAACCAAATCTTTTATCATATTTCACACTTTTGTTAGTACCATTTACAGGAGTTTCAAAAACATCACATGATAATACATTTAGTGTTTCTAAGAACTAATACTTTGTTTAAATATATTTCTTTGCTCAACAGTTGGTTGTTGAATCACAGCCTGACTTTGTGGAAGAACCCTTTACAGAGGATGTGGATGTGGAGGGGGATGGGGGGGGTGCGGACGACAATAAGCACATGCCCATGATGCAGTAGTCCGTGGAAGTCTTCCGCCTCTGCAAAAAGTAAACAGAAATTGGGCACGGTGAGTAGGAAGCTTTTCCAACCGACCACTGAGGAAAACGGCTGTTAACACTCACCGGCGTGTGAAGCTTTAAGCACGGCCCAGCACACTCTCCAGGCGCTCTATTCTCCCGGAGATGTCGGCAAGTTTGATAAGTTAAGGAGACTCATTTGACAGTTAAAACAAGTTTAAAAGACAGAGATGGACTGGGGTTGTGCACACCGTTACATCCTACCCCCGGAATGGTCACAGCAGATAGAAATGACCACCTGCCAGCTCCGTCACACCATCCCAGACCATTTACAATAAACTGTCTCCCATCTGAAACAACAGGAAGGATATGTTTGGCTGTGAGCTGCTGGACGGCCGCCTGCGTCTGCTTCTGGAAAGCCAGCCTGGCCTCACATTTACAGGGATCCTCCACCACCTCCACCTTCACCTCTTCACCAACATAAAGCATATTTCACATCAGCGTAACAGCTCATGTTGAGAGAGAAAAAAAGCACACAGAGTACCACACTTGCTACTTTTTCCAACTAGGCAAGAATAAACCACAGCTCAAAGGAATGGGGGCAGATTTTCACAGCAGGTTAATGAGAGTAAAAACTCTCAAAACAAAAGCTAAAAACATCCAATTCTATAATATTACCCGATTATTGTCCAACAAATACTACTGTGAATTATGGAGTCACGAGTTATGGACTGGTTGGTTGTGATGTTGTGAAGCCATGCTCAGAGGCATACAATTCCCTGTTTTTTTCTTCTTTTTTCTACTTTTCTACTTCTATTTTTTCAGCAGCATTAGTATCACAGCAAAAAAGCTGCATGAGTCCACACAGTAAGAGCTTACGTTTCAGGGAACATGTTTTCTTGTCCGCATTCAAGATATAACCATTCCGGCACTGGCAGTAATAGGAGGCGTTGCTGTTGACGCAAATGTGTTCGCAGTCATGTCCCATGGCACAGGGGTCCACACCTAGAATAAGCCGGGGTTAAGGGATGGTGCTGTCAAAAAGGCAGCACTGGTACATTTTCATGTGCTAACATACAGAGTAGTAAGCTGTAGATGGCTTGTGATGATTGAGGTTGTGCTCTGCAGTTGCAAAAGTGCACTCATGTTTACTTTCAAAACTGGAAATTCATTCTGATTCAGTTTTTTTTTTGGTCAAATTTAAGATAAAGGCTAAGTAATTATACATTGTCAAGCTTTCCTGTTTGTACTTGACCACCTCTATGGTGGGAAACTGTCCATTCAAACAGCTTCACCACATCTCAGCCAAGGCCAATTGCGGTGTGTTGGACAACACAGGTAAAATCACAGAACCCTGAAGCACAACACTGACAGCACAAAGACACTTCATAAATGAGGAGACAAGACTGATATCAGACATCAGTGCTGAAAAAAAAAAAATTAACTTCACAGCAGAACCTCAGCTTTTTAAACTTGGTGAATCAAAATCACTTAAGGCTTAGTGGACGACATTGAGTTCTTTCACATGTTTGTAATGTGCATGTGGACATTTTAAAATCAGGCCGAATGTTCATATCTTAATGAGTTTGTGTAATTAAGTAGATCTGATCTATTTTGAATTTGTGTTTAAACAAGGTGAGGTTTTACTGTTCATTTGAACTTAACTTAATCACACAGAGGTCAATTCAAAGCATAAAGATGCTTTGATTACAAAAACAAATGACCGAATATACAAAGTATATTCTGTTGATTAAAAAGGGCATATTGAAAGTTCGGGACAGTGCAGCTCCAAAACTTTACCCAGCTTAAAAACAGGCAATAACAATCAGGCTCTAGCGCCGACATCTGCAGTCCACTTGAGGGCTGAGAGCATCTGCTCCTGTATTTTTCCTCATCATTTCACAGGTTAAAGCTCACATTTGACATTCTAAATGATCCACGTTCACATACAACCCCCGAGTAGACTGTAGGTGCCCTTACTGAGGTACTAGAACTGGGGTTAATGGTGGGAAAGGGTCTGGAAGGCCTTTCTTTGTCCTACCGCACAGGGTCTCCCTGAACTTGGAGGTGAGCTTCTCGATAACGCCGTAGGTCTCTACATAGAAGACGTGATCGTCCAGCGGAATGCTGGCCATCAGCTGCAGCGAGCGCATGTCTGCGCGGTCCACCCCGACGGCGTAGATCTCGATGCCCGAGGCCCGGGCCGCAGCAGACACCTCCTCCACCTGGTCTTGAGGTCTCCCGTCGGTCACGATGATGGCCACCTTGGAGATGTTCCTGGAGCGAGGCCGGGCCCCCGACTGCTCGGTGAAGGCCTCGGTCACCGCGGTCTTGATGGCGAGGCCCGTCATGGTGCCGGCTGCCAGGGGCTCGATGCGGGAGATGGCCTTCTTCAGGTCCAGTTTGTTGAAATGGTCTTTGAGCAGGAACTCGATCTTCACGGTGCTGGCGTAGTTGACGACGGCCACCCGGGTGGCGTCTGAGCCCACCTCGAGGGTGTCGACCATGTCGGCCAGGAATATTCTGACCTTCTCGAACTCAGCGGGCCGCACGCTGCGAGAGCTGTCAATGATGAAGACCAGGTCCAGGGGACGGCTCCTGCATTCAGAGTCTGTCTCTGGTGATCAACCAAACCATGGCAGGAATAAGTCCAGTTCATTCTTATGAAACAGAAACATCACAGCGTGTCGTTTATACTTTAACAGGAAGAGTCACACTGTTAATAATCCAAGAGGCTTTGAAATGCACAACCCAGTTGTTCCCATAGGAACTAAATGTGTGTTGTGCATCTCTGTATGTTGTGGAGTTTTCTAAAATGATACTGCATGCTTAAGGACACGCGATGCATCATTTCAGAGCCTCAGCCGTTCATCTCATTTTCCGTAACGGAAAAGATGCTTGATGGCAAACACATGAAATATGACATCATACCCGAACATGGAGACGGTGTTAGAAGACCTGCCTGTTGCATCCAATGCACACATACCAAAATCCAAAATCCATCTCTGTCGTTTAGCAATTTAAGGTAATATCTTTACTTTATTTTAATGAAATGTGCCATCTTCCTTGCATTAATACATCTTTAAGCTACTTAACAGATGTGAGGATGGCACCAGTGTCCCATCTTACTCTGTATAAATAACTGGCTTTTGCTGAGTTTCCCACTGCTGACATCTGTCCCGTAAAACAAAGGGGTTTGGGGTGGAAAGCAAACCTGACTGGTAATATTCTACCTGTCTCCACAGGACTGACGGTGGTGATGAAGCCGCTTTGGGTACTGACCGGTAGCGTCCATTGAGCGGTGGTCTCCACTGGCGGCACAGTGGTCATGGCTTTTGTCACCAGTGCCACCGTGGTTGCCGGCGGGGTTGGCTGCATTGTTGGCTCTGACGGGGTGGGAGGGACGGTAGGAGGGGGGAGTACTACAGGTGTCGCTGCCACTGTTGGGTTGGACTTTTGTGGGCACGGGCCTTTTTGTTTGTAATGGAATGGACCCTTGACCCTGTGATGGGGCTGGGGGTGAACAACGGGTGGAGATAGACCTTTGTAGATGTGATGCATGTGAGGATTTGGTACCACTGGCCCACTGAACCCATGCTGGTAGTGCGGAATAGGGACCTGGGGTCTGTGGTAAGTCACAGGTGGAGATAGAGGATTGGGCCGATACACTACCGGTGGAGGGATCCTTGGTGGCTGGTAGTGGTAGTGATACCTTCCTCTATACGTGTAATCACTTCTGTGATCTACAGGCCCACCAGAAAGAAGAAGTGATAGAGAACATTAGTAGGTTGGTAGGCGTAAACAGGAAAGTTGTGTAAGTTGACATTGTGTAATAAGTGCATGTGAATGAGACAACAATCACATTTATATTACCAGAAGCACATAGACACATCATTAGTGGAAGCATGACGGGACATTTAGACAAGTGGGATGTTTCAGACAAGCTGAGATTACACAACAAATTGCTTGTGAAACTCCCAGTTGTCATGCATGCGTGTTCTTTTTTGAGAAAAAAGTAAAATCATGTTAGAATGAGACTTCAGAGGGTAAATAGGGTATTGTCTTGATTGCCTTTGATATGTTAATTTCCTGTCAAAATGAACGATTAACATGTAAAAGAAATGCATTTTCTAGAAAGAAATTATTAACGTTATGATTAAGATTGGTGAAAAAATTACAACCTGAAAACAAAAAGGTATATGTGGTCCAAATTTCTGCTAATCAAACAACCAGTAAAGAAACCAATCTTAAAATATTAAAATACCCTTTTTAAAATTATTATTTATGGTAGAACCGCTGTACATTAATCAAATTAAAACCGAACTCAACAGACTCTAAAGTTACATATATCATATAGTAATATACCTAACTGTGCACTTGTTATAGTGCCCACTTTACATTATAGGTAAAGACCAAATATTTGGTAAACTGCAGTCTTTAGGGGTGGATGGTGTAAATTAGAGTATGCAGCATACTTTTCCGAACTCGTGTTGCAGTAAAGTGAAGGAGAAAGGATAACTTTTGTCTCTCTGTAGAGGATCAAATTGAAGAAGACAACTCAGATACAGTATAAGTACGTAGGCAACACATCTGAGAGCCGTCTTCCACCGGATGATAAATAGAGTATGTGGTGGGGGAAATAAAGAAGAAAGCAGGGCTATGAGGGAACTTACTGGCTGGATTCAAGGTCCTGAGCGGTGGCCGGCCGTTATGTCTGATCTGAGCGTAACTCTGGGCGGCCATCAGCTGGGCATCTCCCGGCCGGACGTTGTAGGTGGCCTGGACCACGTCGGACAGCAGCAGCGCGGCGCTGAACAGGAGGCTCCAGAGAAAAGGCTTCATCATCCTCATGCCAGCATGTGAGCTCCCAGCGGTCTCCTATCCGGGCCTGAGGGTTCAGGGGGATCCTGCGGCATATGAGCAGATCCGTGACACACACGTCAGACTGCCCACCCAATCCAAAGCTGGAACACGACCTGTGGGAACGCGGTGAGCCAGTCCGCTTTACGCACCACGCGCTTAGTTTATTTGGTTTTCATGCCAATGATTGTACGTGGTACTTCACATCCATCGCCTGTTTTTTTTTAAGGAACATGTCCCACCTCCTGACAAAATGATCTAAAGCTGTTATTCAGATCACATGGCCTTTAAGAACACTCTTTAAAGTAGCAGGATTAAATGCAAAACTGTCCCACTCGCAAAGATCTGCATTCCCAATCCTCCATGACCACATATTTAGTCAAGTGAAACTCATGCCAGAGATTTTCAGGTAAAAAATGTTAAATAAGAGGCAGGAAAACAAAATTTTTCTTAGACGTTTATTGAATTCAAATGTAATTCCACTAGGAAGAAATGATATCACTATTAAAGTAATGGTGAAGTGGCTGCTGATAAGCATGCAAAAAAACAACAACCCAATGTTCACAAGACTCCAGATGTCAGGTGTAACAGGGGCTGAGGGAAGGATCCGTCACCGAGGCCCTTTGCTCTCTCAGTCCCAGCTGGAAAAACCGTTCACTAGCAGGTTTTGCTCAGACATCAGGGCAGCAGAACGGCGAGGACTTCTGGGGTGGTGGTGAGCTGAACCACGACAAAGCTAAATAAATAACAGACAAAAAGTGCTACAGGCTCAATTCAAGACTGAGGTGGAATAGTCTAGGTCTCAACAATTTGGGGAATCTTTACACAACTCAACAATATGGGCTATAATGAGTGGATTGTCATAGTTTTTTTTCTTCTTTATAATTTAAAACACTTTATACAGTATATTAATCTATTGATAGGATGGTGCTGGATTGATGAGAGCATTTCAAGCTATTTTAATTTTCACATATCCCTTTGACTAAGACATAAAAAAGGCTGGGGCTTGTCGGCAGGAAAGGATGGAGGGGGGTCCTTCTGGCACTTTTCAAGCATCACATTCATTCATTCTTATTCACACAGATTTAAGCTTCCCACCTTCTTCCTCTCACATCCCTGGGATGGTCTACAGACATTCTAAAGAAATACAGGGGAAAGGTGAAACAAAGACATCTTCAGAAGCCTTGCACAGACACAGAGGATGAGAGAGGGGGATAAGGGCATAATGGTGTTCAGAGAGGGCTGGAAGTGAGGGAATGTAGAAATGCATATGATGGCTGTGTTGTTTTGACAACAGGGCTGGTGCTTAGGCTGGCATGTAGGGGGGAGGCGGGTCCTTCTCTGGCATCTTCATTGCCATCTCATAGGTGGGTAGGATGTACTAGAACGGAAAAGCAGAAACATATTGTTAGATTTAACCGAATCGTGGTCCAAAAGCTTCAACTGATAGACTTAATACTTTGCTTTGACCCTTCTGTGTGAGAAGCAAGTTAAATGAAACAGACTCAGGCAAGAAAGACTAACACTGGTTCTTCAAATGATATTTGAACTGCTTTTGTTTGCCGTCTTTTCTACTCAATTTGTTTAAATAATGGCTTGGGTTAACAGTTGTTAATATGTAGAGTGTATATATTTCCACAACAACTGCACCTTCTTTTTTTCCAGAAAATATTCCTCTCCTGACACTTCGGTATAGGTAAACTCAGAATTCCCCACTGTGATCAGAGTGCCATCTGTTGGCTTCTCTTCAACATTACACACACACTCTTCGAGGGTGCCGGGGTCTCCTGCCAAATACCTGGGGAGGCGTCTCAAAGGCGGGGTACACAGCAATCTCTGGCATGTTCCTGTTGTTGATGTACTTGTAGCAGTTCCACACACAGTTGATCAAGTAAGCCTGGAAGGCAGCGGGGGAAAAAAAAGAGATTGATTTAATCATGTAAAAAATACAGATGAACAGAAACAGCTTTTCAAGAACAGAGCGTGGGCCGAACAAACTGCACGGAAACCGTAAATAAACTGAGAGCTTCACCTTGAGGATGATGAGGAATGCGAAGAACACCAGCACGAAGAGCAGCAGGCAGCTGGAGTTCATTGAGAGGAGATTATCTTTGTACGGGAAATCCGGCTGAGGACGGAGAGCACAGGAAGAGGGGGACAGCCGAATTCAGACAAGCTTTAAGTTCACAAAGAAAAGCCCTGGAACATAATGGAAATCTGTGGGGACTTGGAGACAATGTAAAAGATAAATAAAATCTAAATGAAAACAAATACTTCACTAACTTTCTGGATTTATGTTATGCAGAATGCTACATTATTAATAAGTGAAAAGGAAACTGGAAACTAATGAATCAGACAATTAATTATTGTCTTCAGATTCATGTGGCTTTATAGGGTTAAAGAGCCGTGACGGAGTATCACTTCAGAAACATTCCCAGTCAAAGTCAACAGGGGTGCGGTCTGACGTTAATCGCCGTGTTCCAATGGGAGAACTAACCAGCTGGTCCAGGTAGTCCCTGATCCTGGGCAGGTAGGTGAGAGAACTGATGGCCACCAGGCAGCTCAGAGCAAAGTCAAACAGCTGGTAGCAGAAAAAGGGAATGAGCCAGCCGTCGCGGTGCTGAGAAAAGGAAACAGACAGAACTTACCGACAGGCTCGTCTTTATTGGTTTTGGAAGGACCACACTGCACATTTCTACCATACCTCTCGGTACTTGATGAACCAGTATCAACAAACCTTACATCTAAAATAGCACTCCTTAACAGAGAGACAAAAAAATGGTTTCAGATCTTTTTCTTTCGACTTTTGCTTGTAGGACTTATTTCTCCAGAGATGTTTAGATGCTTGGATTAGGCAGACACTAAAATCAGCTTTCTGCCATGAACTGGCATCGCATGTACTCAGAGAAGGTTTAAAATAAGCAGCGTGGTCCTTTTCTTTGGGAACAACAAGGCTCCAGAATGCTCTCTCTACCAAAGCACAGGACACTCCTTTTCTACATCAAATGGTGAATATTTCTGCACATGGTTCTAACGTTTAGGGACGTCTGCCATAGGGGGAGTAGGCTAGCACCTACGGGGCCTGGAATGCTGCCTTTGCGCAGCTAAAGCATGACTCACGCAGAGACTGTCTACATGCTCCCGGTTTACAGATGCGTCATGCTTTATCTGCACAATCATCCTAACTAACTTAAGACAGGTCCATGTCAAAAGGGTATCAAACCTGTCAGTCTTGATGCCATCAGGCAGGCCTGCGGGTTCAAACGGCATGCAGTGAGAACACGGTGCTGTGAGCTACAGTCCCACTACATCCTGATTCTTTCAGCATCCAGGCTGCTCTTATTACAGCTTACTTACCTCTCAAGTCTGCAGCTATTATTAGGCAACGTTAAAGCCGCCCCTCTTTTTCTACATGTCTATTTCAGGATTGCACATTTGCATAAGAAACTGTGACATCGTCTTTATTATTGTACATGCTTTTGAAGAAAAAAGAAATCATATCTGGGCTGCCAACTTACAGTAATGGCTCCATACACCATCATGGCACTAATCGTAAGCATCAGCAGAGAGATGGCAAATCCAACACAGGCATTTTCTGTTTGAGGAAGAAGAAAATACACTGAATAAATGCAGGCACTGCTTTCATTAGAGACGGCTGTGTTCCAACTTAAAAATCTCTTATGACTGTGGATGAATTCATATTCAAGGGGACAGCCTCCAGGGCTCATGTCTTTCCAGCTCAGTCTGTTCCTAAGAGCAGCTCTGGGGAGCATTAAGCCGCTCACTCTCAGCTGCGCAGCATCAATAAAGATAACAATGAGACTCGGCCCGGGATAATTAAACGCTCTACCTTTCATATCCTCTTTTCTCTCCATCACTCACTCTGTTGCTTTCTCAATTGTTCTGCCTGTTGCACTGAGCGAGGGCTACTGCAGTAATGCAGTCCAGACAAATTCCTCTGTTTTTCATTGGCTCAGCCAAAACAATGTGCCCGTCAACACCAGCCGTCTGCGGCTCCCAAAAATGTAAGAGCGGATGAGAGCAAAACTACCGTTGCAAACAAACCAGAAACTTCAAGGGGCTAAAATGTCAAATTTATCATAATAGGTGAAGGTGATACTTTAAAATGAAGTCAGTACGATTTTGTTGGCTAAGGGCAAAGGTGTGTCATTTTTATCCAAATAAAATAATCAAAATAGTCTGTTCTTCAGTTCCTTCTAAACGCCATGACTGCTCACCTTTGACCAGGGTTGTAAGGCCCAGCTTTCATGGCCAACCTGTACTACTTTCAGTTTACAGCTTTATACGGCTTTTTTAAAATCATGTGAAGCACATTTTGGCTCCAGTTATTTTTAGCCCGGTGAGACATTCTCATACTACCATTTTAAAATTCTCCAGAATGAATTCCTGCGCTGTTTGCATCCTAACTGAACCAGTGAGGCAATCCTGATACAACAGACATGTGGACATTTAAGGGCTGCCTTGGTTGCTAATACATTCTGGATTATTCCTAACAAATGTTAGTGGCACTTTAACATGTATTGCCAAAAAAATATATATCAAACACTAAGGATCACTAAAAGCAGAGTATTTGGAATATCTACCAAACTGTCGGGGGGGGAAGGGCTATAGTCCAGCCCTCAGTCTAATCCTAATTTAATACAATGGATCATTTTCAAATGTTTTTTTCAGGAAGTTATGTAACTGGTAAACCTGGCCTGTACAGGGCAACAGAGTGAACGCTGACTAATGAAGCTGCGAAACCACAGAGGGAGTACGACAAATGAAGTGGTCTGAATGTTAACATTGTTTCAGCAGACTGCGGTCAACCCCCGGTGCCCTCGGCGCTGGCATAATCGCACTGTGGGAAGGTCAACTCACAGCAGTGATTTCCCTCCTCTACACTGAGTCATTGCTTGAAACAAGAAAAAAAAAAAAAATCAAGAGGCTTTCAACAAGCCAACAAACTGCACTATCAGACAGAAACAACAGGCACTCAGACGGGCACACAGAGACCTCCACAGGTCAGGCACAGAGCCTTCTGTTTGGAAAAACACCTGCGGCTCCAAACAGTTCAACAATGTTTTCAATTTTGTATGGGTTTTTTTTTTTTTTTTGTTGAATACGGTTTGTTTTGGGAACTGATCTCCAAGTGGAAAATGCGTCTTGAAAGCAGCTTGTGGGAGTGAGCGGCTCCAGAGAAATAGTAGACGCTGCTCCTTCCCGAGTGCAGGGAGCATTTACACTCTGATGTTTCTGTGGTCGGACCACTACCGTCGCAGGACACTGCTGAGCTCAAAGACTAAGCACAGCAGGATGTTATGTTCAGGAATAAACACGTTCTCCACAGTGTACTGTGAGATCACTCTTAGGCAGATTGTTCCACTTACCAGACATCCTGTCAGAGGCAAAGTAATGGTCGATGACCTCATACTGCAAGTCGATGGTGGGAACGTTCTCTGGGTGGGTCACAGCCACGGTCAGAAGGATGCCCATCAACAGGTTGACCACCTGAAAAGTGATTGGAGGAAGGGGGGGCTTAATGAAAGCGGCCCTAACGACAAACATGTGTATGCTTATGAATTATTAAACATTTGAGTAGATTTGAAATCAAATTCCATCTTTATGGAAAGAAACTGGTCTATCTTTAAGTTCACACAGATGCTGAAACAGACAACATTACTGAGAGGAATTTCCTGCCCCCCCTTGCTCTGCCAAGGTCACTTTATCAAAGTGTGGGAGTGGAGCTGAGGGCAGAAACCATCCAAGAGCGCTCAATAACATACAAATAAAAACTGTGAAAAGCTTAGAAATAAAAGGTAAACTGGCTTTTTAAATGAATAACTACCTTAAGCAAAACCAAGGAAATGGATGAGGTGTAATCAGGGTGTAACTTAAGATGTGCCAACAATAAAGATAGCTTTACCATCTTTTTTCACTTTAATCATTACAGTGTAAAGTGGCTCATCTCTTCATAGGTTCTGGAAACACTGCTTTTTCCACCTTGGTTTAGTATAAACAAACAGCACGAGTCACTCTTTCAACCATGAACTGGCACAAGCTGCAGTCGTTTCTAACACAAGCAAGAAATATCATGGTGAAAGTTGTATGATTTTTTTTCTTTTAAGTATGTGTTTTTTTTATGCATTCCGAGTAGCCGTCATCACACTTTTATTTCAAACTGTTAGGGAGGGCTTTGCCTTTACAGATGTTTCTTGCATGATAATAATAAAGTAGGAATTATGTGGAAATGCAACAATGTTTAACCAGGAAGGTTAAAAGTGTCACATGAGCTGAGAAAGTGGAAAAATGACAGAAAATAACCAACAAGCGATGCAAGACTGCTATAAAGAGGAACTGAAAATGTCTACATGACCAAATAAGAACAAAACATTCAGCTGCTGCAACTAAAGGCCTGAACAACCAAAACAAACAAATAAATTAAACACTAAATTGACCTGGGATACTCATTTAATTATATAGGATAGCTATAAAACAACTATAAAGAGGTTAAGAAAAGGCAATTAAATGAGACAAACAAATTAAAAAGGGCTGTTGTTGGGTGAAGATGGAGACAGAAGACAACCACATAACCATGCAGCATGCTCTGTGACCAGCCTCCACATGCCAACAGCCTCTGAGATCCAACAAAACCTGAAATTAATACGCCCCCCTGGACAGCATTTGGAGCCGTTGAATACGTGTAAAGTAAACAGACGACCGAGGTTAACGTTAAGTAATCGAATACAGCTGGAAACCATTATGGGAGATATACCAGCAACCGCAATGTGAAGCATCTGTTGTGCTCTGTGGGAAAATCAAACGGGGATTAATTCAGAACCGTATGTGGGGGGGGGGGGGGGGGGGGGGTGCAGGAGACCGTAACAAACGGCCAGGAAGTCCCTTTCTGCTGTATTTAAAATATTGTTTTGATTAACATTGATCAGATGGACTATTTGAAAGCTGAATCTTTCATTTAAGATGATTTGACAACCGATATGCTGAAATGAGCAGGATGTCGGCTACACAGATGCAATGTCATTTAATATCAATTACGTAATATAGAATCTGCACTGGTAACGAATGGTTACTCGTTGCATTTTAGTTGTGCTTTTAGACAGGAACATAGAAGTTAAGCGAGTTGTGCCGATAGAAACACTCGAACGGTGAGCGTAATCGAAGCGTTAAAGCTAACACTAGCATCCCGTTAGCATTACACGGACAAGTAACGCTTATTTTTAGGGTCTGCGCGAAAGTCGACAAATTATTTCCTTGTATAAACACCACAAGACAAACCCTGTAACACCGAAAGCCCTGTTTTATAGGCTGAATTATGCAACTTTTGTGTGCTGACCTAACAACGATGCTTGCTAACGCAAGCGTCATGACCGCTGCCGAGAACCATTTTACATACCATGTACCATGTTCCCAGGATGATGGTCCCCGTTCGGACGTGGCAACATCCGCAACAGCGGGTGGTGTACAGTCTATCTCGACTAGGCTTAAAATGATTCATGTCCTCTACGAGCGTAGGGAGAAACATCTGGAGAGCTGGTTTGAGAAATAGCGAGATCTCAGCATCAACAGTCAGCAAACGAACACGGAGGAACGCCCACCACTTCCCTGACGACCTGCACACACCGTGGATGAAAACAAACGCTCTGACAGACAGGAAAAGGCGGAGCTTTCACGCGTGACTGACAGGAGTTTCAACCAATGAACGTGAAAAGACAAAAAAACTCAAAGCTTGTTTTCGTCGAAAATCATTTAAATTTATCAGATTTTTATTCACATTTAACAAATATATACTGCTAAATAATCACAGATAACTAAAGAATAAAAAAAATTTAAACAGCCATAATGAAACTGAAATAAAGTAACAGCATATTTTTTAACACTACAAAAATATGACATTACCATGTATATAAGAGGGTTTTAGTTGCTAATTCAATTATTAGGCAGAGTAACAAACTATATTTAATATGTGATTTAAAAAAGGAGAAAGATCTGACACAGCTACAGTGTTTCTATTACTGGCAGCAAGAATATCAGAATGACCTTGAGCATAAGATCATTCCAATGCTTTTAGTAAAAAAATTCAAGGTCTTCATCAAAGATATTATTGGAAGGTACTATTATTTGTAATTCACACATTTCTGTTTGCTGGTGAGTTCTCACGGGGATGGTTGGGAACAATTATTCTGGGTCTTCTGGTATTCAAATTAATTCTACATTTAAAAAAATGCTCCAATAAAGACTTTTAAACTGGCTAAAACGTTTATCCTCACTGCGTGAAACTCACTTGGAGACCGACATGAATATGTTGCAGGTGATGTTTCTCTGTCAGGAAAACTTTTCCAGGTTCTCAGATCTAGTTGTCTTCCAAATGTCAAGAACCGCAGAAAAAAATAAATTTCTCAGATTAGGTCGTTTTATGGGCATAACATTAACAGTAAGGCTGTAAGGTAATCAGCTTTGCGTTATGACTGATTTCACTGTTTAAACAGTGTCAAACTTTAAGAAGTTACTAAAATGTTTCCTTTGTTCAGTCTTATCAATCTTGTGGTTTCACTTACAGCAAATACTGAGATCCAGCTTTAGATAAACCTGTTATAACACAACCACCCTGTGCTATTTAAGTGTTTGTGTGTAAACATTCAAATACAGTTTAACTAAATATACATCAAATTTATTACACAAGTGCAGTGTTGTGTTAATGTATGATAAGAATTATGTAGAAAAGTAAAGTTTCCAAACTTTTATTCAGAACTATTCAATACAAAAATATAAGAAGATATTTCATTCTAGCAACCTGATATCATTCATCTGTTGACTTTTATGTCCAATATATACATGATTACATTCAGAGCAACATTAATATCAGTGATTTACTGCCTGTTTCTATCTGCAATAAAGACAAGTAATGAGGTTTTTTCGTCACAATGCACCTATGTGTAGCTTAAAAATTGCAACTCCCAAAATATTGTGAATAAAGTGGTTCTGAAAGGAGATTAAAAAAAACGAAAACCGTGTGGGTGGTGTTCAGTGGATAAGCATTGTGTTCTCCGCTATATATATATATTCATATTACTTAAATGTGACACAAATATCTGAATGGAAGCAATGGAAACTGCAAAATCGTGATTATCAGTTGATAAAATGCTACATTGGACATTCCTTTGAATCCTCCTCCAACCACATAGTGAGGTCAGGATAACATAATAAAGCACAGGCTTAATGACACATTGTGAAGAAATGTCCCTTTCATCTCTGGTCACTATTCTGCTACAGATTTTTCACAGCCGCCTCTACCCTGAGTGGAGCAAAGCAATCTTAGGCGCAAGTGAGAGGTAATCAAATAAAAGCAATCCTTCAAGTTTCTTCACAAATACCACAAAGAATATTAGAGAACAACACGTAGTTTTAAAAACAGTGCAAGAAAAACAATTACTCCACCTCCCCCAGAAGAAAAGGGGGAAAGGATGATTTACAGCAGCGCTATGGGGACAGAAATTGCCCATGGGTGTGAGCTGTTTCATTAAACCAAAGCTTCTCTCCTGTTGGATGTGTGGCAATCTCTGTGTGCAGCCTTTTTCTGGCATTGTTTCTTATCTTTCTTCTTCTGTAGGTAGATCAATATTGCTGACAGTGCTGCTCCTGCCGTCGCTCCTGTTACTCCTCCTGCTATGATGCCTGTGCACACACACAGAAACGATGAAGATGCAAAATGCAAAAATAGAGACACACTGATTACAACTTTGTCCAAATGCAAAACGCAAAACACCTGCAAGGATGTCCCGGTCACTAAGAAAACTATATCCGTTCGATAACAAAACCAATTCAGAAGAACTATCACTTGGAGGCCCGCCCGGGGGATCAAAGTCCAGGTCAGACGAACCCTAAAGCAAAACATAAGTCATGCCAGTTCCTTATTTCAGCTGATAAGAGTGTGTAACCTGTTAGAGTGAGTCATACTTGGAGAGTAATGGTGTTTCCTTCTTCTAAGTTTTCTGTAAACATGCGACCATCTTTGTTGTTGAAATCTTGAGGTGATACTGTAATCAGCAGCAGGGGACAGGTTAAACAGGTGGTACCACAAACAGAGAGCCGATCACTGAAGAATTACCTAGCTCTGACGCATCTCCTGAAGCCCAGCCAGAACCCTCCATGTCAAATCCCGATGCGTCTGAGTCCTCTGGAAGCAAGGAAAGCTAAATTCAAAGAAACAAAACGCGAAACAGACAAACAAACAAAAGTCAACACGGATACTTTAAAAAAACAGTGCTGCTTCCCAATAGTCATAAAAACATTACAACGGGTTAAGGACAATAGTGCATCAGATACTCAGAGGGCAGTAAAGAAATGTATCGGGTCAAAGATACAAAGTCCCAGAGCATTGACGTGAGCAATCTCTGACAAACCCGTAATGATGCAGGCTGACAGGTTCAAATAGAAATAAAACGTGGCCCAAACACTCCATCCATCTGCATGACTTTAAATATTTCTTGGGAAAATATGACTAAACTTAGCAAGCTGGGGAATGTCTTTCTAAGTCACTTTATGAGTCAGTCCTCGTTAGTAATGAACCGACACAACCAAATGCATTCACACTTTGACATTTACAGGCCAACCCCTATTGTGGTGAAAAGATGCGGTCTTGTGATGTTTTCCATTTCATTTATACATATATAAACATATGTCATTGTAACATTATAATTACAGTGACTCAAATACTGTGGTTAAGCACAGGTGCCTTCCATTTTTGTCTTATCCTTTCACATTTCAAAGCACGTAATGACTTTTTTTAAACAGAACATGTTGACAAAATTGATTCGGGGCCCCCAGAAGATCCCTGGTCAAACAGTGGTTATACAGACAGATATTTATTTAATCATGTGTTGTCTAGAAAATCAGATTTTTAAAGATGTTTTTTTTAGTCTGACAGACCATTGGGAGGTGGAAGGAGATTGTATCAATCCATGTTTCAGCTAGAAAAGGGGGAAAAAAGTAAATCAGTCATTACTGTAAGTTAAAGACCTTTTTGTTGACTTTTCGCTGCATTCAAAGTTCCATTTTGCAGCATGTTTTCCTCATCACTGAAGCAGGTAAAACAAAAATATTATTTGTGTGATTTGAAAAGTGCACGATTCAATTTAAAAGGATTTGACTTTTCCCAGTACAAATGGAAAAGCTTTTTCTTTTCACTGTGTAACGTGTCACGTCGATGTGGTTAAACGTTAGCACACACCGACATATTTCTGCTTCAGGAACTGTCCCTCCGTGACCAAAACCACCAGAACTTTCAACTCTGCCAAATGTCAAACACGCCACTTTAACTACAGTTAAAGTTTCCATCTCACGTTTAACTCTCCGTGGAACTTGAGGTAGGGGGGGGTTGTGAGTCAGCCTAACGAAAAAAAAAACACGCCACACGGTACATTTCTGAGTGGAACCGGTCGGTTGACGTCGGGAGGGATGATGAGAGGTGTGAGCACGAGACTCAGCTCGCGCCTCCAGATTTAATTCAGAGAATTTACGGGCGACCGGGACGACTTACCGACTCACAGACGGGGCAGGCTGAGAGCAGGAGCAGGAACACGGAGGCTGGCAGGTGGAGCTGCATTTTGCAGGTGAGCGTGGGCTGCGTCCCTCTCTCCTCCTCCCCCCCCGCGTCCTCCTCCGGAGCCGGGCGGAAGCGATGTGAACGCACCTCGATGCTCAGCAGGTAGCAGCTGCCAAACCCCCGCCCTCCATCATGATTACAGGGTGGGGCGGGATCACGTACGGTTTGTTTTGTTGAATAGATTATTATATAACCGACTGAGTAAAGGGAGAATAAAAACAGGTTTGATTAAAAAAAAAAAAAATTCATGTGGCTCTTTGGAGAGACAGTGATGGGGCTGGACATAAAATGGGCAGGAACAGGTGGCAATACTCGGGTCTAAACTGTAAGATCACTTCTCGAAAAGTGAAACACACAACGTATACACGGAGAAACAAAAGTTTTCACGTTTTCCGAGGTAAAGTTGGAAGACTGAGCTTGTTCTTAAAGTAATATATGAATGTTGGAATGAAATATTGTTTGTAAAACCAGCTCTTTGTGACATCTGTGGCTCCTGCCTAGAAAATATGGTGTTTATTTTGTTACTAGTTTATATATTGTGTGGTCAGTGTCACAGTATGATTATGCAGCATTAATGTATACTAATGAGAACTGGGGTAGATCCCACTTGGGGATGTCACAACAAACCATGTAACAAGGAACTTAAATATTTGGATATTCTTTTATAATACTTTTTTCTCTGTATTAACATCTGATGTCCAAAACAAAACCATTAGGACACATTTTAAAGTGCATATAAATATATCTATAGTATATATATATTTTTTTTGCAACCTGTCCAAAAATATAAATCTTCCTTTCTCCATCACCTTACAAGAGGCAATTTTAAGGATTACAAACACCAGATCATTTTACTAGTATTCTTTTCTTTTATTTCACTTGGTCATTAAACAGCATTTGATTTGACTTCTCACTGCTTAAGTATTATCCCCTCCTCCATAGGATACAAAATGTCATTTGACTCATTTCCTAATCACTCTTGGGTGCAAAGTATTGTTAAGATTTTTAAAATTACTTTAAAAGACTATGACAACAAACCCCACATGACAAAAAAAAAAAAAAAAAACACAACAAACATGTGAAATGTTAGAAGAACAGTTTAATCATACATAGTCACAATTCTGCTTCCAAAATGAGTTTGTTTTCTTCATCTAACATCTGGAAATGTACATAAGGCCACCTGAAAATGTACATGACTTTGACAGTGTGACAAAACTCATATGTTCATATTTATATAATTGACAATATTTTACATTGTTTTGCTTACAAGGTAGAAGCTGTTCCAAAATACAGCACTCTTCTGTACAAAAATAATTCTCGTCATATCTTGTGAAGTTTCCATGGTAGCAGAGAGAACTAAAATGTTGCCTCAGTTTTAGTTCAGTGTTTCTTTTTTTTCTTCTTCTTTTTAAACTGTCACACAGAGAGACTATCAACAGTGGATGTTAGAGCTTCGGTACAAATAGAGGCTGGCCTTTCCATTACAGATTAAAAACCAAAAACCATGCCAGATCGTGAAGCCATAAAGATTTTTTCTTTAAAATAACACTTGATCAAATAAAACTGTATACATTATATTCAAGGGGAAAGGAGTGATGAATATACACACATCTAAATGCACATTTGCCTTTTTCTCCCCAAAAAAGTGTAAAAGACATCCCATTTACAGCATCAACGTTTACAAATGTACAACTGTACAGACGAAATAAAAGCATCACTACAAATTTTAGAGCAAGGCCTGTCAAACACCACGACTAGACATATATTTTCAATTCAGCTAATAATCTTACACATTAACTGCACATATACTACATGTAATCTACAATTCATATGAAGCAAAGAAGCCGTCACTACGAGCGTTACTGGTGAATTGTATAGCTTTTGATGGCCCCACCGGCCTCCACCGCTGCACTTGCATATCCAACCAAATGAAAAAGGGAAAAATATTTTAAAAAACAAAATAAGCGGAACCATAATAATTAAAAAAAAAAACTTTCTACATCCCTTTTCTTTAACTCATTCGACTTCTTCTAGGTAATTTCACCTCAGAATACAAAGCTGGGATAAACTCCACCAAATATTTTATTCTGGACTGCTCTGACCTTCAGGCGGTGGGGGTTCCATCACTGCAGCCAGCCCCCCTGATTCAAAAGCAACAATTTACTCATACATAAAGATGCTATACATCGCTAAACTACTTCTACGCAAGAGATGATTATTCAGTACATAAAGATACCGTTTTCTAGGGCAGTGTTCATCTCAATCTACAAGACACGATGTTACACAAAACATGATAAAGAAAAAGAAATCATTCCAAGGATTAAAACCTGTCACAGCATGCCCACGCATACCCCAGTCCCTACCCCAAAATCCCCACGAAAAGCTTCCCCCACTATGGTCACTTAGATTTAAGATTAAACCTGGTTACACGTACGCCTGCTGTACAACCCAACCTCACGCTCTGCTTCTGCTAAGTTAACGGTGGCTTTTCTTCTCAAACACCCGGGTGATCAGCTGGATGAGGGAAAGAACGGCTCATAATGGGGCTTGATGAATGCAGCATCTCACGTTTGCCGCTCAGTGACTGAGAGTACCAAAACATGCGGCAGACTGTGAGCTGTCTGAGTAAACACAAGCTCCCATCAAGTCTGGAAAAGGAGGCGATGTGAAGATACAACTGGAACACTACCCTAAAGCACCGATCCCCAACACCAAGCTATATAATGGCTGAGAGAGCCTCTGGGTGGCTGTGGCACATGGTGCGCACAAATATACCGACCCACGCTGTGTAGTGCTATTTGAAAACTAATCCATCAGCTGCTTTGGCGAGGGAAAAACACTTTTACTGTGCATGTGATATACAAATATAAGATATTAAACTGCCTAGACTTAAATACAACAGCTGACATAGCAAGTCTGGTTAGAAAAAGCAAGTGGAATTGTGTTTTAAAAGGATCACTGTTGAGTTTTAGAAAGTCACTTGCTGGTGTTAATTGTAAGAATTGTAAATTTTCAGCAAATGTGTAATAAGTTCTTTTTTTTTTCTACAGAGAATTTACAAGGTAAAAAACTAAATGTACAAGGTCATATGAAAACCAGTCAAATACATCAATTACATCATTAACAACGGGCTTGTGCTTTACCCAGGGCAGAAAAACAAGGAAAAACATGACAGCTCGTGGACTGTGCGTCCCGAGGGCCTCACTGGGGACCGACTCAGGGCGAGTGGCAAGGGTCAGTTGTCACAGCGTTGTTAGGTGAAATTGACTTGCCGTTTATTTAAATGCGTCTGCAATTCTATCTTTTTTTTTTGGTAATTCAAACCCCCTCGAAAAACAAAGGGACGACAGTGTGTCAAAGGCTGACCTCTAAGGCTAGAGGAGGATTTCTAACTGAATGGGGGGGGTGGGGGGGGGGGGGCGATGGGGATCTGGATGGCAATGTAACTACATGAGGCCGTTTGTGGGTCCCCCGATGGGACCCAGTTCGGAGCCGCTCTTCATGTAGTACTTCTCCAGCTTGGCCAGAATGTGCTTCCCATATGTATACTTGCGCAAAGTAGCAATGTGCGGCCGGATCTGAAAAAGAGGAGCAAAAGAGAATCTAAATGAGTCTTAAAGCAAAAAAACTCAGTGTGTCTCATTTATATTTACAGTGTGGACGATGAAGAATGCCTTAGACTGATATCCAAAAACACAGAACTTAAAACATATTCAATGCTTAAGGTCAACATAAAAACTGAGACTGCTCAACCTGTAAATAGATGTTAGTAAATAACCGAGATACTATGTAATGACAAGCTGTATCAATGATCGAAAGATATTTAAACATTTTCCATGCATCACCCATTGGTGGTGTGAGGGAGGCAACATTTTGCTATGATGACACACACACACACCACACCTTAACCAGCTGGTAATCCGCACAGACATGTAAACAAAGTCATTTATTTGAATAGTCACAGTATCTGACATCACAGGGGATAGCAACACAGAGCCATGGCAAACAAACAAGTCCCAAACACACTTATTAGGACACCTCTACCCAAAACAGCGCATTTGTGCCATTTCATCACCAAGTCCATAAAAAGGAGTGGCTGCACTCTTGCCGCACGAAAGCTTTAACCAAGGAATTTTAGTGAAACTAAAACGCAGAAGCCAACTGTCAGCTCACCTTGTGCATGATGATTTTACGCTGAGCAGGTTCTGCCATGTCGATCATTCTTTGGACAACATAATTAGCATACTGGTCCTTCATCATGGTGTACAGAGCACTGTGGGGCCCATCCTTCTGGCAGCACACCTCATCTATCAGCAGAGCTCTCTCTGCACGCGATGAGTGGATCACACACTTCTCCACAACATTACTGTGAAAAAAACAAAAAAAAACCGAATATCATTACCCACAGATTATGAATGATCTCATGCCTGGTTTTAGGGTGCCTCCTCAAAGCACATCAACACAGCCTACCTTGCAAATTTATGTTGGCTAAGGACAAGAACCTTCCCTCGAACCTCTGCCACAATCTTGCTCTTATCCTCCGGCCTGCCATGTTCCAAAACGTGCTGGATGACGTAGTTGCCGTACTGATCCTGCGGGAGGCAGGGGAGACATCAGTGCAGGGCCATGCCGTTTCACAGCCACAACATGAAGTCACTGATTCAGTCAGACGCACTCTGATCCGATTGATACTCATGCAGTCATTTTCACCTCTGTTCTCAACTGGTGTGAGATATCATGCATATCTACAAGGACAGGCGGACGAATGAGTGACACCCCATTTGTAGCATTGGAAAATACCCTCACGTCATCACTGCAGAAGGTCAGACAAAATAGATGCTGCTGGTTTGGAGTGATGCTGACCAGACAAAAAAACCAATAGCATCTTTGCCCCTTCAGAAATGGGTGATAGACAGTTATGGGTGTGACTTTTGTGAGACAAGATGGAGACAAAAACTCACCTGACCAAGCAACAAATAACACTGTTCAAGTCAATCTTTGTTTAGTGGTAATTTGTTGGGTAGGTAATATGATCTCCACCTTTTCTTTCAAAGAATTTGCCTTTCAATTTATTTACTGCCAATCTGTTTTAACCAATCCTGCATCGTGCCACTTTTTGGGCTCTAAGGTGCGTCTACAAACGACTTAAACCCACTTGTGACCACTTTGTCAGAGAGACTCTCAGAAAACCAAAACAATTCAGGTGAAATCCAGTTGAAAAGGAAAAAACAGATTGATCAGGAAATACTGCAGGCAAAAGAGCGATCAGACAGAAGACAAGCGTGTGCCTTGTGAATCCCGTGTGGCATAAAGCAAGAGTGGGGAAGAAGACAGGGAAACAAAAGGCGGCTCGGGAGGTTAGGAGATGTTTGTAGAGGGTGGGAATTGGACAACTAAATGTTGTTAGACTCTTTGAAAAAGAAGAAATGAGGGGGAGAAACAGGAAGGGAAGACGGGGACATCCGCGAGAGAGAGGCAAATTGCTCTGACCTTGAACAGTGCATCACGGGACACTGTATAATATGTTTTGGGTGTCATCTCCAATGATACGCCTTGATATTTCTAGATGGAATAAGTGAGGGGGCAGGGTGGATGTTTAAATAATCACATGTCAGATGTAATGACAGCTAACAGCACAATTACATTCATCCTTACACTTTACACTTAGCAGACCACAGATACACAGGAACAATGAGAGGCTAAAAATATGAAAACGCTCAAACATGAATGGGGAACATGCAAATACACAAGACACTCTGTACAGCGATCACCCGCGCTTTGCATACAAAAAAAGTTACATCTGCAGGAATGCGTGGGCTTTGAACTGGGACAGACAGATGTGCTCACCTGGCCCAGCTGTTCAGAGTGCTGATGCAGCTCTTCCAGGATAGGCAGAGTCTGCTCCTGAGTGCAGTGCTCCAAAATCCTCTGGATTACTCTGCAGCCGTAGGGATGGGTAGATAGCACAAACACCTGCAGAGGGATTGAGGGCAAGAAACGATCCACAAGATGAGGCGACAAGTGGGTTTCCACTGCAGGTGAGGTCCTAACAGAAAGATGTGCCGACCGGTCGTGACGTCATTTGTGTGCGACGCAAGCAACAAGACAACAATGAAGAGCAAAGTTGCTGACTAATCAAAACATTAAATGCCTTACATGACGATGTCTCCAACTCTGGGTTTCAACATGGCTGACTAAGCCATTCATTCCTCACATTTTGAAATCTTTCCATAAAAAGGCAATAAATGTCAGAACATGTGTTTTTTTGGGTATAAACTGGACCAACTGCACTGCTTAGTGAGGGCGGTCCAACACAACACGTACACTAATCATTTTCTCACCTGTCCTTGGAAAGCATCAATAATGAACTGCAGAGCCTGGGGCTGAACACATTCGATGCACTTCTGCACCACATGGTTTCCATTCTGGTCCTTCACACACTTCAAGACATGGCCATCCAGCTCCCGTACAATGTCGCCCTGCAGATAAACAGATGTCACCATGTTTTATAGAACCAAGTTTCACAACAACTGAAGAAATATAAAGGAAAAAAAAACTGCTAAAAAAAGAGAAGTGAAAGCTCACTTACAATTACCTGCTGATCTGAGGAAATGGACTCCAAGGCTTTTTGAATGACCCTGCAACCATACATTTGCAAAGCCAGAGGGAGAACATGTCCGCGAATACGAGTTGCAAGAGCAAGCTTCTGGTCTGCGCTTCCAAACTGCACAACAAGACAAATGGCTTTTAAACGACTTTAGAGAAGCAAAAATAAGTGCCTAAAGTAGATAATATGGTGAAGCATGATACATTAAATTGAATTCCTCAAACCTCAAAGAACTTCTGGATGACATAATTCCCAAACACGTCAGTCATCAGTTGATATGCAGCTTGCAGAATCTCTCCAAACACCATCTGCCTCTCAGCAGGAGTGGCCCGCTCCAGTTTCTGCTGGATAAATCTGCAATCACAAAGCAACGCAACAAAAGAGATGAAGGGAAAAAACAAACATCCACCTTTGTATTTAAAGCAAGAATGCAGGTTGCAAATACCTGGATCCATGCTGATCTTGAGAAAACTCCACCATGTGTCCCGGCAGGTCGCGGAGTTGTAGATTTGGGAAACGGTTGTTCCTGAAGTCTTCCAGTAGACGGCTGCGCCCAGAAGGCATGACATCAGAGCGGCTGTAGCGCGGCCGAGACGGAGGGAACAGCTGACTGCTGGAGTTGAACAGACTGGATGTGCTGCCGGCGCTGCGGTATTTGGCCTCGGCTCCGGGAGCGGCAGAAATGTAACGCCCGCTGCCATTTGTCAGGCCACCTTTGATGATACCAAGACCATTAAGCTAGGACAATGTTGTGAATCAGAAAATAACATTCAATGAGATTTTTTAATTTTTATTTGATGAACGAGGTCTGTGCAGAGCACTGAAATCCTGCTTTGATTTGTTTGCCTTTCCCCCTCTTGGTGCATTATTTACTTTTTCAAACAATGCGACACCCCCAACGTGTTAACCTCCGTTTAAATTCCGTTGGCCAAAATAAAATGAAAAAAGCTCCAGAGGAGTTGTACATTGTTTTCTGCTGTCATTCGACAAAGCAACTAAAGTGAACTGAATGCAGGGATCGTTTCTGAAGCTTACCTATGTGAAGGCTGGAGGACGATCCATGAGACGACGGCAGAGACGGCGGGGGAGTCAGTGGTGAGTGACCTGGTGTCAGGCCAATGGGACTGGGTGAAGATGAGTAACCCAGGCTGTTGTAAAACGGCTGTCCAATGGGGGTTAAACTGCTGCCACCTCGTTTGTATAGGTCAGAACTTGCCAACAAAGAGTCCCTGCGAGATACACTGCTACTTGTTGAGCTAGATACTGCAAGGACGAATAACGAGGAGTTAGTTTGAGAGAAGACGGTTCATGCTCACATTAAAAACAATACCACTAACAAATATCCAGCTGATTCAAAATTAAAGTCAGAGACATGATGTCTTCTTAGTCAGATACTATTAAGCAGGAATAACATGCAACATATGATCTGGAAACTGAAACACGCTGTCTTTGGGTAGCGTTTTGTTCAGCAGCTGACCTGAAGAGCCAAAGCCTCCTAGAGCAGAGCTCAGGCCTCCTCCCAGAGAGCTGCCTGTGCTGCCGAAGCCCAGGGAGGAACTCGGTGGTGGTAGTCCAGCAGAGTTGTGCGAAAAAAGAGAGCTGCTCTGAGAGGTGTTGGGTACAGATCCAGAGCCATAGAATGAGCTTGACGGCAGGCCACTGCTGGGTGGGGGAGCCTGCTGCTGCTGTGGCTGAGGTTGAGGCTGAGGCATGGAGCGGTACAGTCCATTGGCTGGCGGGCCAGACATGTTGTTGCCGGAGCCAGATGCAGACACTGCTGCTGCTGATGGAGAGGTTAAAATCAATGACTGGCATTTCCTTTAATACCGACTAAGCTCAGCCTTTATTATTTTGTAAGCAATACAACTGGGTTGGTTCTTACCAGCCTGTGCTGCAGCAGGGTTGATAAGAAGAGGGGTCTGGACTAGACGGACAGGCCCACCCAGGCCTGTTCGGGCACCAGGGCCCATCACCAATGCTCCAGTCTGATCATAATAGGCAGCAGGGGCTAATACCTGATAACCTGATGTGAGAACAAAAAGGGATATACATTACAAATACATTTTCTGCATATAAAATGGTAGTTTAAAATGTTCCATGTATTCAGTCGTTAAATGTTTTGCGTTGAACAGTCACATTGTGGTTACATGAAGTCATCTACTCACCAGGCATTCCTGCGTAAGCCAGGGCAGGGTTTGCTGCAGCTGCTAAAGATTCCTGCTGACCCTGCTGGCTTTGCCCAGGTGTAAGAGGTCGCTGACTGTTTCCTGTGCGCATCACCTTAAGAAAAAGTCCAATAATATACTTTTAAAAATATAAATAGATTTATCTTAGTGCATTTAGCAGATGCTTTTATCCAAAGTGACTTACAAAGTGGACACAATGTTACAGTTATCATCAATCTGACAAACTCTCTAGAGGAAAATCCCTAGTCAGTCAGTCATGATGGCAAAGAGGGAAGAGGGGATATAGAGATATGGGTAAGAGTTAGGATAGGAGATGCTCTTTGAAGTGGTGGGTCTTTAAGAGTTTATTGAAGATAGACAGGGACGCTTGATTTATAAATGAAGGGATGCTGTCACACTTGTAAAACAAATTTCTTCACAACAACTCATTGTAATCCCCTGAATGTTTAGGAGTATGGGACAAAAGCTGACGTTTAGCAAGTATAAAATAGACTATTAGGCCAGAGCACATTCTAGTAGTTTTGTCATACAATATTTACAAGACACATCCATGACAAAATACATGAATAACACCGACCTGTGGTTGGCCTGGCCCTGGTCCCTGATTGGATGCTTGTTGATTAGCCGAGTGGTTGGCAGTAGATGCAGCCTGTTGCTGAAAAAGATTGGCTGGGTACACACCCCAGGGAACACCGTAGTACTGTGGAGGAACAACTGTGGGACCTAAGAACAAAGTGACAAAGTTACACATGCTTGAAAAGGGCAGAATAGGATGTATCTTAGGATGCTGGTACAAAAGAATCAGACATGTAAATGCTGGAGTTCCACAAAAGCTTACATTGAAAATCCAAACATAAGCAAATAGATAATTGAAAGGGATGAGGATATGCTGTATGATCACCTCCAAGCGTGGCTGCTGCTGCCAGCCCAGCAGCAGTGTAGGGATCAGTTCCAGGGGGGGCAGCATTAATGATGTAAGGGTTTGGCACAAAAGCAGGAGTGAGGCCCGCTAGGTAATAAGGAACAGTGATACAATTAATTTTTCCGTAGTACGCCTCATTTGCCCATTTGAAAATCTATAACAGAAACTCTTAACAGCCCTTTACACTAATATTGTTAAACTGCATTACACCATATGAAATACTAAACACACACTGGGATGAGCAGCCAGTCTTACCGAGATGCTGCTGCTGAGCTGCAGCCAAGGCATATTGTTGTTGCTGAGCTGCTGTGAGCTGCTGAACAGTCAGGGGATTAGATCTTTGGAACAACTGTGAAAAAACAAAACAAAGGATCACAATCTCAGTCACACACTCATTATCACATCTTATCATGAAGTGTTCTGTGCTGTAACAGACCTGCTGTTGAGAGCTGTAGTCAAACAATCCAACAGGAGTTCCTGAGGAGTCCACCTGGATCTGGTTTCCATAATCAAACTGAAGTGACTCCACACCAGCTTGCTGCTCCATACCACCCATGTTCTGGGCTTCTTGATTCTGGAAATCATCAGCAGGCATCTTGTTTTGGGCAGGATTTTGTTGCTGGAGAATGTGGGGATGGTGCTGTGCCATCATCTCCAAACCGGTCTGACTGGGACCCATCCGCTCCACGGCCTCAGTGGGAGACGCTTGACGGCTTCCAGGAGTTGGGCTGTGAAATATCAAAGTAGCTCAGCACTAGTATGCATCAGAATGTCAACAAACCTTTGCCAAAACCAGCCTAGAACACCGATAAACATTATAACCTTTCCATTTAAAATATTTCCACATTGTTGACTTGCTTCTGAAACTTGTCTCACAAGCTCACAAAAAGAAAAATGAGTTGAGGCTCACCGCTTTAAATACGATACAAGTAGTGTCATCAGTGGATTAAAATAAGTTGTATTTGCATAAGTTTGTTGGTACTTACATCACACTAAATCTATCTATAAAAATGTTACTTTGATGGAGAGCATTTAGATGCAAACATAATTACTGGCTAATCTCTTGCCTCAGAGAAGCTGACCTTCTGCGACATGAGCATCTGACTGAACAACTTGTTAAGGAACACAGCAAATACATAATGATATAGAGAACTGGATAACTGACAATTCGCCTTTAAGTGTCGATATAATCTCGACTTCAAAAACTGCTTATTGAAAATTTTCACCCTGAATTCTGTGTTTCAGAAACTGAAAAATATTTGTATGGTCATTGCAAACTGGGGCAATGTAACAAAGTGTGGAGTAAGATTCTGTAGAAACAAACATTTCTATATTTTACCACTTTCTCAGACAAACAGCATCACCTCTGACAGCCCTAAAAAGAAAATAATTGCCATCATTTTAACCTACTTGAAGTCTTTGCAGTCTCTATCCATGCCGTTTAGTAAGCCTCTTCCATTGGTCTTAGTGGGATCACCGTCCTCTCCCACCTTCTCTGGGCTCTTATTTTCTTCAAAAGGGGACACCTTCTCCTGGGCATCACCCTTATCTCTACCATCTTGGTCAGCATCGCTTCCACCCTGTATCAGAAAAAAAACAAAACAAACAAACAAAAAACGTTGGAAGTTGGAATGATAAAGCCCCCTCCCACTTCTGTACTTAATAACAAAAGAGTGCTGACTTACATAACCACCATTCCTGTAGCGAGTGTCCATCTTATCACCTGGAGAGGAGCTCAGGACATATTCCACCATGCTCACCCCCAGGCCTCCACCTTCAGAGCGAGGTGATAGCACAGAATTGGCATCCCCGTTCCCATGGAAACCTTGGCCTGGCCGCCGTTGGACCATAATTGGCTGAGACACTGAATGGTCTAAATGAAAAATTGCACGTCACACACCATGACAGATGAGGTAAACTCTGTGAAACCCAGGCTTATGAGCAGCTGGTCATTAAATGTTTCCTGATCTTCCTCTGAGTCACCACAAAACCAAGACTACTGCACATTCAAGGAAAAGTAAAAAGAATAAGTATAAAAAGTAAAAAATGATTTTTACTCACGAGATGATCCCCATGCATTGTCCCTCCACTCCTCTCCAAGCAGCATCCCTTTTCTTCCATCTTTGGCCAACTCATCAGAATCCCAGAGCTTTTTTGCAGGAAGAAGCTAAAAGTGCAAACGAGACATAAAACAAAACATGGATTCTTTAATAGGTACATCTTAAAATTGTGTTACTATAATAAGAGCCTCTATACATGTTATATGTATAAAGGCTAAATGCAGAAAATCTTATGTGCCACCAATAACATTTTAGTTAGAATATGAAATATCTAATCTAGCAAGCACATGCTGGTATGTGTTCATACACAAAAGATTAAAATCAGGTCTGAAATTGTTTGTGTGCATCTGTACACATGTTGCTGTTCTATCCAGGAAAACACCAAACTGCAGTTATAGAATCAAAACATGCCAAAGGCTTGCATATATTCAATCTAACTTGATGCAGAACCAGTAGAGATGAGAACCAACAAGATTATCAAAAACACATTACCTCTCCCATCCCCCGTGACTCCAATGCAAGAGCCTGAAAGTCATAATTCATTTCATCCACAGCTCGGACCTAGAAGAATACCGAATTGAGAAAGGCTTTATGGGAAATAACTTAAAAGTAATTAAAGCAATTAGACATTAATGATGGTTCAGCATATATTATTGCATCAGGCATTTGTAAGAACCTTAAATCCAGAAAGTCCATTAATGAAAAGAAATCCAAACTTTAAAAACTGTTTTCAGACTTTAAAATGCAAGAGCTAATAAAATCATTTAAAACCATTTAAATCAAAATGGTTCCTTTATTCGTTTGCCTTCTGTGACTGAGAAGGGTGCCCTTCAAGCAGTGTACCAAATATGGAACGACAGAGAAAGCCCAAGTTGCTATCATTGAAGGATTGAACGAATTAACACGTACAGTATAAATGCCTAAAGTTATTTATTAAGTGTTTTTTGGAGTCGGAAACAGATGTGTTGGACAATTCCATCATTTAACAATAGTTACTTATTCAACAGAAAGTAGCTGTCCAAAAACAGGTACAAATAATGACAAATTTGGGGTCTTCTGTGATGAAACATGCTAATGGCTGTTTGTATCAACATAAAGATTGACATCACTGCAAAAGTTGTTTTATTTATAAATGTTCGGTACCTGATCAACATGGTTAGCATCTCCAGTAGGCCAGCGATGCTTGCTGGGTGTGCAACCTACAAGTTGCTCCCCAGGCTGTCTCTGAAAGAAATATCCAACTGTGGCGTCATCCTGAGATCTCCCACTGAGTGGAGGCTGCGGTGTACCTGGGGTAGGGTTAGAACTTCTGTCCATGCCCTGTAAATGTGGTGCTCCTGGAGCCTGCCCAGCTCCTACTACTGTGGCTAGGGGCCCTCCAGCATGAACGCGCACAACCCCAGCCTCAGGAGCACCATTTGCATGCAGCATCCCACCTCTCGTCTCCTGCCAGGCCACGTCATTCATACCTAGGATGCTGCATGGAACGCTCATTCCACGGGAAAGCCTATACAAATGGAAAAACAAGAAAACATCACCGTTTTCATTTTAAAATTAGTTTGTGTTAAAACAATTTTTAAAAAATCTATAATGATGAAACATATGTAAAATTGTTTGTCAGTGGGGCTGTGATCACAAAAATCCATACATGTAACAGAAGTGGATCAATGCATTAAAGATAAGCAGCATGTCCTCCATTATTTGTTTATATTTGACAAGCCATACATCAAGGCGACATTTACCAATATCCTGCTGTGTTTTCCTAATACAGTAAATGTCCACCTGATACATTTATGTTTTTAACAAACCTAAATGCCTATTAGTATTTTTTTTAAAATAGAACAACTGATAATTTGTTTAGAAAATGATTCTGTGAATCCTTTCAATGAAAATCAACTTCTGATTTCAAGATGGAGTTATCCTTTCAATTGACCTAACCTGTTTTGGAATTATGCTGACCTTTACACAATCACCCAGCAAAGTTATCTATATGATGATATTCTTGATATATGCCACATCTATCCGATTTAATTTTAGAGACTTTTATTTTGATTAAGAAGTCAGTAAACAAATTACCACTAACTGAGCGGTTTCTGTGAACTAGCCTTTTCTCTTTATAGAGGCTGTAATTAACAACATGTGACCGTCATTGCTCGAGAAAAATACGGGAACAAAAAAACAGCAAACAATTCTTCAGATGAGCCTTGGAAGTTCAGCTGTTGAAGTGGGCCTCGTCAGAAGATTCAACCATGGGAACTCTACAGTTTAATTGTCTTCGCCAGATCAGAGCTAATGCTAACTCAAAACCCATGTCTGTTTCAATCTAATTAAATTAAAAGTCTCATTTTTTACAGTAGGATATTGTAATAATACCCATTATTGTCTAAATGTACTGGTTTAAAGATAATCAAAGCAAGCCACCTTTAAGATAATAATGGAATACATAACCAATACTTCTGTTTAACGTTGCCCATAAGCTAATAGGTTATAACATAGCTAACGTTTCGTTAACATTGCTTTTGCGAAAATTATAGTAAAAGACCCCGATAGATGTAGGCAGCAAACATTGCTGGGATTAACCGTCAAACAAATTTGTAGAAATAAAAGTACAAAAAAAAAAATCCAACATCAACTTCTGGTGATTGTTGAAAATCAAAAGTGCAAACCTTTAGCAAGCTGGTTAGCTGTTCGACTGCTAATACGGAGGCTAAAGCAGACGTTGGCTGGTAGATATCTACTCAACAATATGTCTAAGAGGCGATGGTGGCAGGTAAATTTAGCGTCTATCCTTGCTTTTAGACGCCATAAATACGTACATGAGCAAGAGCAAGACACAATTAACTGTAGTTAAATGTTTCTCATGGGAGTGAACTTTAGCAACATCCAGTGCTAATCAGCTAATACTAACGACAGCGGCCTGTTGTGTTTATCATTTTCTGTTAAAGATCAAAGTAAACTTTGAAACAGGGCTTTTGCTTAAGCTCACACAATAGACAGAAACAAGCATATTTTTCCCCACGAGTACAACATACTTAGCTTGAAGATTTGAAAGAAAACAAAAACGCTGAAACCATGGCAGCTAGCGCTGAGAGCTACGTGCTGTTGTTCGAGCTAAAACAGCAGCCAAACACTCAGCGGCTAAACAACATGGCCCCCTCAAGTTCCAAACAGAGGGGCCTTAACCGCTAAACAAAAGGGGAAATACTCACACCGCGGCAACCGCCTTCCAAGCATTCACTTTACAAGACTCGTGTTTTTTTGAGAACAAATAATAAGAAATACTCACGCCTTGTCGTGTCGAGAGAGGGTCTGTGCTTGTTGCACGCCGTCAACCCTATTCTATTTTGTTTTGTTTCCTTGGACAGAGCGGTGATTTAGCAAGGCTTGATAGTCACAGCTAAGAGTTTTCCTACGCTAGTGCCCCCTCCCTGTAAATAGCGTGAACTACGTAGACATGCGTGTACCGTTTAACAATAAAATAAATAGTGTCTGTTTCACACCGAATAAAAACGTTAAAGAGATTTAGAACGTGTTTAACAACTCGCATTTCCGCTTTTATTTATAATTAACTATATGTATCCCACCGGCCCGTTCCAGAGAAAAGCTGGATGATCCATACATATGTGTCAGCTTTGATCAATGTTTATAGAACACTGGCTAGTTATGTGGGGGACAAGCCAGGAAGACAGGTGACTAGATTAACTGACGTTTTGCTTTATAAACGAGAAGAGGAAATCATATTGGATACAGTCTGAAACCGAATGGAACAAAAACTTCGTGATATGTCATTATTCTGTGGGATCCAGTTAATCTTGGCTGGTCCGGAGTCGGGTGGGTCCTCGTGGTTTATGACCCTCCTCTTCTCGGGGAAAAACCGATGAGATCCAATCACTTCTTCCTCTACAGACTGTGATCTCACCTCCCTATTTCCGATTGGATTGCTATATTTAGGAAACCACCCTATGCTTTATAAAGAGAACACTGAAGATTGGTAAAGGATTCTGGAGTTTTGACGGTAAAAATTTGCTACTGGGCCGGCAGGGCGAAGCCAGATTCGTTTCACAAAGAGATCGCGAGTGGAGAGGTGCGGCTGGACGACAGGGGCGCCACATCTGCGTTCTGGACGCGACGTCTGAAGAGGAGACAGGAAATGGCACCGATGGCTGACATACGAAAGAAACTTGTGGTGGTCGGTGACGGCGCATGTGGGAAAACGTGTCTACTGATCGTCTTCAGCAAAGACGAGTTTCCTGAAGTGTACGTCCCCACCGTGTTCGAGACGTATGTGGCGGACATTGAGGTGGACAACAAGCAGGTCCAGCTGGCTCTGTGGGACACAGCTGGCCAGGAGGACTACGACCGGCTGCGCCCTCTCTCCTACCCGGACACTGATGTCATCCTCATGTGTTTCTCCGTGGACAGCCCGGACTCGTTGGAGAACATCCCCGAAAAGTGGGTCCCGGAGGTCAAACACTTTTGTCCTAACGTGCCTATCATATTAGTGGCCAACAAGAAAGATCTGCGGAACGACGAGAACGTCAAGAACGAGCTGTCTCGGCTGAAGCTGGAGCCTGTGAAGACAGAGGACGGCCGAGCCATGGCCGCGCGCATTGGCGCATATGACTATTTGGAGTGCTCTGCAAAGACCAAGGAGGGGATCTGGGAAGTGTTCGAAACGGCAACACGCGCAGCCCTTCAAAAACGGAAAACACCCCCAGAAGGCTGTTTCAAATGCTGTGTTTTGATGTGATTCAACCCTGTCTGGAAGGCTTTGACGCACAGACAAAAGCTTTCTTTCCACCGGGGCCTGTGTCTGGACATGTGTGGGTTGTGACCGTGGTTTGGACACTCCCTCGTAAACAGACGCCCTTGATTTAACCAAAACCAATGACTGCTCGCTGGTTATTCTGAGCACACTGAAAAAATCATCTGATCTCGATGTTTGTGTGTGAAATGCTATGGTTACAGTGTTCTTTGTGGGTCACATGATCCCAGTATGACCACAAATTATTTTTTGGGGATGGGAAATTGTACACCACCCACCCCTCTTGCGTACACAGCCTTGCCAAAGGCCTGCTTGCTGGCTGAGACTCACTATGGTCTTGTTTGGATTAGTCACAGCCTTTAAGCTTTGTAATAATAAGCGGAAACATTGCACTGTAATTTATGTCCAATTTGTGTTAAAACATGACTAGAATTAAGTTTGTGAAATCGCACAGTGTCTGTTCACTACAGTATTTCACAAAAAAACAATGTGTATTTTATTTTCTGTCAAGTTTCAGCTGAAGTTTTACACCAGTTTGGGATACACAAGGCACATCTTAGGTTTACAGAAAATCCGACATGTTTTCCTTAAAGTTTGTTTACTGTTTCGTTAGTTGCTATGGGACAGGACAGATTTCACCCCTCGCATGTTTCACCGTCTTGAAAAGGGCTAAACATATTGTAATATGTGTTGCCAGAGAACCCTTTTCCTGTTTTCTGAGAGGGCGTTTTTAGTTGTGCTTGCACTATTATTTTACAACTCATTTTCAGCACATACAGCAGATGAGGGCAGCTGTTTCAGAGAATGACATATTTAATCTGTGACAATGAACACCTACTTGACATGTTTTGGTAACGATATGGTTATGTTGGCAGAAGTGTGATGGCTTTTCTCAGCAATCCATATATCACTTAAATTGCCTTTTTTGAGCCAACGGCACATGCTGATTTGGGATTTAAGTCATCTGATGGCAATTGAACCCTCTGTATTTTGTCTGTCATGGTTGAATATTGAAAAGACTGTCTTGTAGAGGATACACTCACTTGAACATAAGGGGTTTCAAGACTAAATGTGAAGAAAAACGTATTTTTTCTGTAAAAATATTTTAAACTGACTTGATTAGCGGAGAAATCTACATTAAAAAAATCCTGGTGTCTTCCATATGACGGTGAATGTATTTCTATGATCAAAAACTTTAAGTGGACAGAAATGAATGAATCTGACTTAGCCATTCATGGTTGTGAAATAAATTCAGCTCATCTGTGGCTAGGCATGTTGCATAACTGTCCTATTGCATGTTGGTGGGAGTGCTTGTTGAAATGACAGCTATGAACATCAATTACAGACACTGTAGCTACACTAGTGATCCGGGTCGATTAACTATTCGACTTGAAATGGTCTCTTGAGACACCAAACATTAATTTCAAACATGTATTTTTTTTCTGTTGTTGAGGAATAAAACACAGTGAAGATACTCTCAGTTTAAAACAGTGCATGCTTTATAAATCCACCCAGACTTACAATGGTGTAAAAGTCACATTCATTCTGCCTCCAGTTGCTGGGTTTTTTGCTGACTCACAGGACAGGAATGCATTGTGCTGTAGTGGTTAATTTTCCCACACTGACCCCCCTCTTGTGCTTCTGATTTGCAGTGTTGTTACATGGATCACATGGTGAAGTTTCCCCCTATTTTATTTAACTAAAACTCAGTGAAGAAGGACACTGAATTAGCCAAACTGTTCTGTTTGCAAAAGACTTTCTATATAAGAGTGTTTCATTTGAAACAATGGAAATTTTGTGGGAGACAAAACAGTTTGGAGAAGGGGAAAAAGTGGGGCTGTTCTGGAAACGCCAATAAAAAAGAATCAATGCTTGTATGCCTTCCATTCTTTTGCTTGTTATTCCACACACACACACTCAAATCATGGTCAGCATGCAGTTAAGAAACAAATATGTGATTATGAATGGTATTCATTGTAAAGTTGCAGCTTATAGCCGCATACTTTAGTCCAAAACTTTACTTTAACCTTCACAAGCAAAAATAAAGCATGTTGGCTTGATCAAAGTACTAATGTAGTATTTACAATTTTTTTGTGTCAGAGCTACATTTTTTTCTGTTTTTAAAGAAAAGTTAAAAACTGTTTCCTCTTTAAAAGTGACAGTATTATCATTATTTATCATTTATTAGTTTTTTTGAGTCAAGACAAAGGCATGAATGTCCCAGACACTATTTTTACCTCATCTAATTTTAGACCTGAGGAGACCAATGACAAATGGGCATATGGCAGAGTTACACTGGTGGACTCTGTTCTGTGTGTTTGCAAAGAGACACATTTGGAGATGTATGTGCAAATTTGCTCTCTCAATTTTCAAAAGACTGAGAGAAAAAGGTATTTGAATTACATGTAAGGAAGACTCAGAGATAAATGCAGTACAAACTGTATTTATTGATACCCATTTTGTTTTTTTAAATAGCACAAGAGACAAAGGAAACACAGTAGGATTATAACAATTTTCTACTGTGTAATAAACAAATTATTTGGATGACAGAGACAGGCATGATGACAGACTTTAGCGTGATATTATTTAGTTTTGTAATGAGAATACATTCACTTTTATTTTCTTATTGTTAAAAAAGAAATTGTTACAAACACCATCTTATCTTTTTGGTAGTCATGGTCACTTAGTTGAATCTAGCAACAGCTGGGAAGGGGATGTCAACCTCTATCTGTCTTTCACTTACTCTCACATATGGTTGAACATTTTGACTTATTTCTTTCAGGCTCCTGATGACATTGTTGTGGAAAGCGTTAATGCGTTTTACAGATGAGTCAATCCAGGACTGGATGTCAGCTCTAAGCTGTTCAGTCGACATGTCACCCACAATGCTGTAGATTTTATCACTCACAGATTTAAGATACTCCACAATGATGTCATGGATTTCTCTAACCTGCTCAGCTAGTTGGGCCACTACACGGCTGTTCATGGCATCATTGTACACATCATTCAGAATGGGTAAGAGGGTGTCTGGGGTCTCAAATTTGAGAGTCTGGAGCACCTTCACACTATTCTCAGTGAACAACTGGATGAATGCTGATACATTGTTTATGATATCCTCCAGCTGGATGTCTCTAAGTTTCCTCACTGTAGCCACAACACTGTCCTGGATCTTTCTCACAGCAACAAACAAATTGTCGAGAATTTCTCTCCCGCTAACAATGTGCCCAGAGCCTGGGACAGTGAATTCAATGGCATTGAACTGATCGAGAACTGCTGCAAACACAGGTGAAAAATACCCTTCAATCTTTTCAGCAGCCTCCTCAACTACATCTACCACGAAAGAACTGCATTTTTGGAAGATCTCAAGTCCAGAGAGCCTCTGTTGATAGAAAGGAGTCTGGAACTTGGTCTCTCTCAGGAAATTAACAATTGCATCAAGAACAAGTTGAGATTTCTTTTGGTATTCTTTGAGAATGGAAATGTTCATTTCCACAACATTGGTCAGAACATCAGAAGAATTTATAGAAGCTAAGTTCTCAACAGCCCTTCTGAACATGGCCTTGCCCTGTCTTTTTGCCCTTTCAAATGAACCCTTGAGAATTCTAACAAGCCTGTTGATTTTGTTGTTCATCCTAATAGCAGAATCAGACACCATATCCATGATCGTGGGGACGTGCTTCTTCAGTTCCAGCATCATCTCATATGGCATTTCCATATTCCAGGTTGTCTGGAGGTTCAGCCTTTCCAGGTCCATCACAGCCACCTTAACACCAAAGATATCGATGTCCGTTGTCGGCTCAGTCTATCAAAAAAGATAAACATGAAAAAAAAGACACATTATAAAATGTAAACATTTTCTTGGATCTGAAAGCAAATCAGTATTCAGATATTCTCTTACCGGGTAGCGACCATAAACTCTTGCTTTCACTTGTGCGGGGTGCTTTGTCTGCATCTGAACAGCAATGTGTCCTGCGGATGGTGAGGACATGGATACAACAAGGCCGTCCACTCGATTTCCAGTCATTTCCTGGTAGATTTCCATTGGTGCGTGAGGAAGATTGAGCTTTGCTGCGTTTGTGACAGAGGTTTCCACATTTTCAAAACCCAAGATGATGGTGCTCTCATGCTTTCCTTCCAGTAGAGAATGTTTTACAGATATGATGGAGGCCATTTTGAAGTCACCCTCTGCATTTATGTTTGTGTTGCCCTCAATCATTCCTGTCAGCAGCTCAAACTCAGAGGATGAGGAGGCATCGAGTTTGACCTTGAGGCCATCCTGGTTGAGGATGCTGGCATCACTTTTGAGTGTGATCATTGATGTTTTGAGTAGGAATTCATGGGTCAGATCACCCATCACGGGGATCTTGATGTTCTGAATGTTGGGCAGAGTGATTTTTGGGATGGTCATCTTGCTTAGGGCAGATGGTATGTGCAGGGTGGGGATTGTGATAAGAGTGAGGTCGGGCATCGGAATTGTGAATGAGGACATCTCAACATCCATCACTGGTACTTTATAAGCAGGGACTTGAATGACTTTGGGCAGCTCAATGCTGTATTTTTCATATTCAGCCTTTGCTTTATCAAAAGATGAAGACAGGATGGTGGCAGCCTTGTCCTTGCTGATGAGTGCTTTCTTGTGCAGGGCCTTGATGTTGGCATTAATAGCATTGATTACTGGCTCCATCTCAATCTCAATGGTGATCATGTCAGGGTTCTTGATATACTTCAGCTTGGAGTTGATGTCAAATGTCTGCTGAGTTGTGATCAGTAGGGAGCCCAGGCCAGTGTCTTCCCACAGGGAGAAGTCCTCCACTTTTGGTGTTTTCATGCCAACAAATGGCACATTTATTTCAGGAATAGTGACGGGTTCCCTCAGCACATCAAGATCTGCTTCCCCACTGATTTGGGAAATTATGTTTATTTCTCTTTGGCCATTGTCCATGGAGAAGTAATGGGAATATTTGTACTGGTTGAGTCTAGCCAGACCTGTCCAGCTTGCTTGTTGCACCTCAGTGTTCAAAGTGAAGGCGATGTCATTCTGAAGATCCACTTTTCCAGACAGCTTGAAGGGCAGGAAAAACTTGGTATTTCCCTTGTTCTTGGTATCAAACATGAGCTCTGTGGGTGAGATCAAAGCAAGGGCAGAGTTTGACAGAATTCCTTCAACTTTTCCAGTCAGCTCTGTGCCGTGAGTGGCAGTGAAATCAATCTTCATGTCTTCAACCTTTGCCTGAAACTTGACCTCTGCAATGCTGTTCTTAATAAAAGGAGCTTCTGTCTCAGCCTTGGCTTCAATAATGACATGACGGAAAATGCATATGTCAGCCACAACATTTTGGTTCATCTTGAAGTGTTTGCTGCCTGTCTCTCCATTGAAGGTGATTTTGGCTGTGTGGAGGTCCATGACCACTTCCATGTCACTCTTGTGAGTTGCCTCATCAGAGAAGTCCTGAATGTCATATTTTCCATTAGCCAGATTGTTAATGGTCAGATGGATGTTGCCTTCCTCCAGTCCAAAGACACTCTTTTGATTTATCATTGCCTTGCTGAAGATGTTCATGGGTGGCATGTTAAGGTCATGCTTGTAGTTTGTCTCTGTTGTGGCAGAAAGTCCTTTTTCTATGGCAAAGTTAGCATTATTCACAAACTCTGCAACATAGAGTTCAGTTATGGCTTTTCCAGTAGTTTCAGCAGTGCCTTGGGCTAACAGGCCACTGAGAGTAATTTTTCCCTTGTGGTCAAGTTTAAGGGATGACTGATCAACTTTAATGCTCTCAGAAATGGACAAGTGTTCCATTTGGGGCACCTCAAAATGAGCACTGGCATCCAGAGTGAAGTCAAGGACTCTCAAAGTAGACTCAGCCTGTGAGTTGAGGTTAATTTTGAACTCTGGGGTGACTGATGTGGTTGTTGTGTTCTCCAGGTCAGCGGTGGTCCTGAGGTTGTAATGGGGTGAGGTAACTTTCAACTCGCCATACAGTTTGCCAAAACAGGGGATCTTGCTCATCTCTGCGACTTTCTCCTTCAGCTCCACAGTGAATGTGTCATAATCAAAAGATCTGAGCTTCTGGATCATTCTCGTGAAGTAGTCACTCATGTCATCAATCAACTGTTTGAAATCAAAGGAATACAGCTCATCAACAAGCTCCTTAATAGGCACCATCAGTTTTCTCAGCAAAGGCTGGATGTCAATTGTTTTGATGGCATTGAATGTGTGCTGAATCTTCTCTCTGACTTCATACTCCTTCATGATTTTTACAATCTCATCCATGAATTCCGCAATCATTTTCTCAACCTGGTAGCTCGAGAGAAACTCTTCAATTTTAGTGTAAATTGCATTAAACTTGTGGGGGATGTTATATTTTGTAATCAGAGCTGTCACAGTTTCTTTGATGTATTTCAGCAGATTCAAGACTTTGTCAGTTGGGAACTTGGCTGTCAGGCCGGTGATGAATTTCTCCACAGGGGTGATAAATTTCCTCAAGTCTTGAACAAAGAGGTTGAAGTCAAAATTGTCAACGACCTCTTTCAGTTCTGCAACTTTGCCCTGAAACTTGGCACTGATCTCATATCTGTCGTTGATATCTTTCAGCATATCAATGCTGTGGTCCATCAGCTTCATCACTGTGGTCTTCATGTTTTCAATGACTTCAGGCAGGTGTTCAATGAATGGGATTTGGAGGAGGTGGCTGTCACTGTTTTTGTCATATTTAACAAAACTGGAGATGGCATAATTTTCACTGGCCTCACTGAAGAAGGGAGTAGATAGTTCTCCTCTCATTTCAATGCCCATTCTTTCTGCATTGTTAAAGGCACTCATTTCTTGATCAAAGGTGTGCTCGTTCACTGTGGATGTCATCTTCAGTGTGACACTTTGCTCTTGAAGACTCAGCATGCTGTTGAACTTGTTGTCTATGTTAGTCTTGATAGCGGGTCTGCCTTCCATTTCATGGCTGGTAGAAGCTCTGTACTCAAATGACTCTGTGAATAGCATGGGTTCTGCTTTCAGGAGGAATTTGCTGTAAAGTTCACCACTCTGCTGCCCAAACAGATACACGGCACCATTTGAGTTGAAAATGGCATCAATGTTGAGAGTGAACGGTGCAGCAACTGTTTTGATTGTGCTGTCCAGGCGAAGAGATGGTGAGTTGAAGTTAGCTATGTTGTTGAACTTCACAGAGAGACCAGCAATCTCCATGTCAGTGGAATGTGTCATGTGGGACCCAAGGAGCTTTCCATTGGTGTTGCACTTTGAAGACAGAATCATGTCAACAAACTTGATTTCATAAGTGTGCTTGAGCTCTTCCTCTGAATAGGTTCCCATCAGTGTTCCAGCCAGCACCACGTTGTATGGCTCTGCCCTGAACTGAGCATCATTTACAAAGTTGACTGCCATCACCTTCAAGTCGTTTTTCACAATGACTGAGGCTGTGAATCGGTCCATGGTGACTGTGATGTCATGCATGTAGGAGTTGCTCTTGTCAAGGAAGTTGTCGGTCTTAGACTGAAGGGTGAGAGATCTCAGTGTAAGAGACAGTGAATGGCTGTTTTCGGTCCTTATCTCACTGAAAGACCCAACCATGTCGTTGGAAAGGACTAAGCCATCTTCATTTAGTCTGAGGTTCACCCTGTTTCTGCCATTGATGTCAAAGAGATTACCCTTGAACATGCTGTTGAGATAGACTTCTGTGCTTGCTAGCTTTCCCTCAACGCTGAACTCAGCATTGTTGTCTGTGATGGCTCCTTTTGTTTTAAGGGACAGCGTAGCACCAGAGGCATCAACTCCACCATGGAAGATATTCTCAAATGTCATGGGGCTGTGCTGGGCAGTTGTTGTGCAGCTGGTTGTCAGGCCATTCATGTTAATGGTCAAGGTGGCTTTGTGGGAGGCAAGGCTTGAGAAGATGTTCAAGGAAGCATCAGCGTTGATCTCTAGTCCAGATGGATTCAAGGCTCCAGTAAGCAAAGAGTAGGCACGGTTCTGTGTATCATCAGCTTGGTTTTCTATCCTCAAGGTGGCCTGGCTTTCAGAGGCAGAGAACTCCAGCTGGTTACGCAGCATCCTCTCTTCAGCCTTAGTCACAGAATCAGACTGTATGGTAAGCTTGACATCTTTGTAATTAATGACAATTTTGGTAGTGTGTTTGATGGGGTCAGCATTCACATTGGTGTTTGAGTCAAACAGAAACTCATCATTTTCATAGGTCACCTTAATCTTGTGCACAAGCTTCAGCAACTCAGAGTTAAAATTCAACGTGCTATCCAGTTTAGCTTCTTTCTTGGCTGGCTCAGCAGAAAAGGTACTGAGATAGGAGGTGGTTGCACTCAGAGGTCCAATAGACACTCCTCCGTCTGCGTTAATGTCTCCAAAGAGCATGCTGGAGTCAAGGGTGAGCTGGGTGGTAATGGTCATGGAGGTGTCCAGACCCATGGGGGAGTTAGCTTGCATTTTGTAGCGACCTGTTGTAAGTACTTTGTCTGTGACAGCGATGCTTTCCAGCAGACTAAAACCTGTGCTAATGAGCATGTGTTTCAAAGATCCTTCCAGTGTGACCTCAATGGTTTCTTCTGTGGTGTCAGTGATTTTGCTGGCTCCTAAAATAAAGAGAGAACATGTATAATAAGTGCTGACTTCTGAGCTCTTTTTGTGATGTTGTGTAACAAATATATTAATATAAATGTATAAAATTCAACTTACCTTCAGCTGAAAAGGAGAGAAGTTTGATTGGACTTTCAGCCATGATGCTGAACTTGGTCATGTAGTTAGGGGAATTTACAGTGTTGTTACCAGCAGTAATAATTCCCTCCCAATCATAAAAGTTACTGTTGACCTTGGTAGACATTTCCACCATTCCAATCAGGGGCATAGTGAGCTCATATTCAGCTGGAATGGTAAAAGCTGGGATTTGTATCTTCACAGGGGCAAGATCCATTTGCAGCTGAGGCACTGAAATGTGTGGGGAGGTGATGAAAGCAGGTATCCTGAGCTCCTCAGATGATTTTCCTCCAAGAGGCAGAGGGATACTCATCACAAAGTGATTCTGGTTGAACTGGTATATGGCTGTGCTTTCACTGATGAAAAACAAGAACACACGTTAAACTTGTGAAATCACTTATTTTAGGGGACAAACAGATCATTTATACAAACTAAATCAAAAGTACTTACAGATTCATGAACAGTTTTTCAGGCATTTCCAACATTGCAATATTTTCCCTCAGATTCATGAGATAAGGAACTTCAGCTGAGATCTTGTTCATCCAGTTGTTGCTGGCCTGAAGGAAGAAAAAACATTTACATTTATTCAGAGTGTAAAATTGGAATGGAAACAAGATATTAAGTAAGTGTAAAAATTGGTTATGATTTTTTTTACCTCAACTCCCTTGTTCAGGATGTGACGTAGTTTCATGTCAGTGTTGACAACCTTCTGATCCATGAATTCCTCTGCAAGCTGAGCGAGCCTGGTAGTCAGGGCGTCGTTGTAGTACATCTGAGTTCCGGCATTCATGTTAGACATCAGATAAACTTCAGCCTGGTCTTCACCTGATGTAAAAAACATATATTCTTATATTTTGTGATTTTTATATTTAGGCTTGATTGATGATATTTGCAGGCTGTCGCCATGACGACATGCATTAGTTTAAATGTTGTTTTTTTTCATTCAGAAGTGTACCATATTTGAAGCTGACTGCCTGAATGGATGAAACCTCTGCGAGCTTGATGTCACTCTTGATCTCCATGGTGAGTCCATCAGCTTTGGTCAAAGCAGCACTTATGGTGGCATCAGTTTTGAAAGAGGGAACTTGAAGCTGAACCTGGACCATGCCATCAGTCATGGCCTGAAGCCTGTAACATATAGAAAAACAAGTGTTTAGAGTTTGCATCTAAAAAAAATGCATTTGTAAAGTGACGTACCAAGCTTTAAGTAAGAAAATTTGAACCTCATATATAAAGGATGACTTACTTGGCACGTCCGATCAGAGTCAGTTGGGGCACATTTTTGTTTGAGATCTCAAAAGTGAGGGATTTCCCCTTTGAGTTGCTGTCTGTCATGCCGATTTTAACTCCAGCCTCAACATCAAAGTCAGGTATTTCAACCTGAGTGGTGAATACATTTCTGTTCCTGTTGTATTTCATGGTGGCTGTAGCTTCTGTGGGCTTAGCACCTAAAGAATCGGGGGGAAAAACACTATAGCTTTATTCTGAGCAACACAACACAAAGCTTTGAGAAAAAGACTTGCATAATTTATTTTTCCAAGTATTGAATGTCTTACCCTCAGCCTTCAGAATCATCTGCAGAGAGTCAACCTTGTGGCGGCCCTCCTTCCCCTCATTGAGTAGTTTATAAGCAATGGTGGCTGTGTACTCAGACACCTCTTTGGTAGGCTTGATATCAACAGCATACCTACAGTGAAATGACATTTCTAATAAGTCTTTCCATAAATTGATATTATATTATATAAAGCATCTTATACATAAGAAAAATGCTTAATTTGTAAACAACGACTTACATGGTCTCGCCATTCAGAGGGAAGTAAGGAGTAGTCTTGTCACCATCAGCATAAAGTTTTGTGATGCAGTATCTGACTCCAGAGAAGAGAGGGCTGCAGTCTCCTTTGTCACCTTGTCTTTGTTTAATCATTTTGACTTGTCCAGCACCCACAATCTGCACTTTATTTCTATCAATTAAAAAGAACAGCAGAATTACTTAGATGTTTTAGAAATTTTATAGAACACATCACTTAAAAGATAATAAATATTCCACTTCAAAAAAGTTTGTATTTGTCACCTGATCCTGAAGAGTTTTGTGGTGCCCTGTGGGGCAGGGATGGTGAGCTTGACCTGGTTCTGTTCCATGGTGACTTTGGCATTCAGCTTGCTCTCATGATATATGTTGGTGTGCATTTCAACAGTAGATACAACAAATTCGGGAATGTTGACTCCCATCTGAGTTGTAAACTCAACTCCAATGGAGGGACTGAACACCAACTCCTTCTGTTCATAAAATTAGAAATTCAATTGGTTGTAGTAAATATCAGCAGCTGTCACATGTTTAACTGATATATTCAAGATTTTTGGTAATAAAACAGCTTAGCTGTACCATGTCTGAAGCAATGCGAAGACCTCCTTTTGCACCAGGAGTGAAGGTGCCAGACAGAGCAAATGTCAGAGGCAAGCCAGATGCTGTTGGCATGAGGAATTTGTTGTCCATGAAGATGTAATGGGCAAACATCTCATTGTCAGTGCTTGACATCAGATCGGCCATGACCTGACAGAAAAAAACAACAGTTTAGCCATCATACTGTCAAGATAAAATTGTCTCAGTATATTGTGATAAATTTGCAGTATGGGGAAATACCTTGGTAGGAATGAGCTTCTTGATAATGCCAGCATACATTGCAGCATTTTCAGTCATAAACTTCAGATCGGTGCCCTTGATGTAGCCAAGCTCAGCTCCCATGATCCTCAGGTAGGCCATGGCCTCTGGGGATTCATGACTCTGCAGATCTTTCACCAGCTTGTTGAAGTTACGGACAATTTCTCTCATAAGATCTTCAGGAACCTTGGAAAAGTAAGACAGCATGTTAGTTGTGGTGGAAATATTTCAACTAACATGAAGACTGGTGTTTAAGATGAATATTGTCGCACCTTTTGTCCTTCTGATTTCAGAGGTGCAACCCATTTCTCCAGAATTTCTTTGATCTTTGGTGGCATCTTGTCCTCGGCCCAGTACAGAGCCTTGGATACAGTGTCAGGGAAGAAGCCATTCTCTCCAAATAAAGCTTCGATGGTTGGCTCAAAGCCCTTTCCTTCCATGCCAATCTGAAAATCAGAATAAGAAATTAAGAAATTTGATCAGAGTAGGCTTTATTTTAGGGGAAGATAGTATGACTTAACAAACTGACTAAGTCCAAACTGCTAAATGTCATAACGAGACATTACACTAAACATACCTCCCAAATATCCATACTGTAGCCAAAAGCGTTCAGGGTAGTCTCAAGCAAGACCTCTCTTGGAAGCTGGTTGCTTGGATCAAAAATGATGTTGCTCTGAATGCTGGCCTGCATGTTCTCATGTGCCACACCAAGCTTGTAGTTGCGAGACTTTGTGGTATAGTCATTGTGTGTTGAAATATCAGTTTTCTCCAGGTTCTCCAAGATTTTTGCACCAATCCTGTTTTAGAAAGTTATATCAAACAATTAGATGTGCAATGAAATCAGCAATTCTTAGTGCAAAACACACAGAGAAATTATTATTTTTTTCTCACTTTACGGTCTCTGAATCCGTTGAAGTAATTATGTTGTAGATGTGGGAGGACACAAAAGCCTTGATCTGCTCGTTCTGTTCTTGGCTGAGCAGCTTCTTCACAATCTCAATGTCACTGTCCTGGGGATTCCTCATCAGAATCAGGTAAGCTGCCAGGCGCTTCTGCACTGCACCCTTGGGATACTGGCTGACCCTCTGGAGGTTGGAGCGGACCTGGACAGAACAACAACATATGAATAACTTTCGACAGTCACATTTTGTCATTGTGGTCTTGGAGAGTTTAAACCGGAAAAATAGCGATTTTTCCCTTTACATCCTGATTTAAGTTACCTCATCTGTAATGGACATGCGCCGGAAAGCCTGGATGGCAGCGAGCTGCACGGACAAAGTGGTCGCAGGCTGCCTCATGCACTTCAGCAGGGTGGTCTTAATAGCAGAGTCAGCAGCTTCCATGGCATCTCCCATGTTACCAACAACCTGCATTGGATAGCACAGCATGTCAGGTATATAATGGAAATGGAAGTAGCACAAAAACACATTTTCATGAGTGGTGTTTTTTCAAAGCTGCTAACTTACCCGTAAGGTCAAGAAGGTCAGGTCTTTGTCTCCTGCACAGTCTTCACCCAGAAGGGAAGACATGAACTCATAGACAGCAGTGATCTCAGGGGTGACTCCTTCAGACTTGTACACCCTGGAAACCAAAATCACAAAAAATGAAAACAACAGAACTCACTGCACTCACTAAAGACTGATTTTTCTGCAGATTGTATTAACTTACCTCCTTGCTACATTGCTCAGGGCATACATGATGGGCTTGCTCTGCTTGTATTGAGCCATTGCCAGCAGGTCTTTCACCATCAGACGAGATGGGTTGGGCAGCAGTCCCAAGGCGTAGACAATAGCATCAACCTCAAGAGCAGAATCGTCAAAAGTACGGAGAATCCTCAGCATGGCGCTGGTGCATTCTGGGGTACCACACTGAACCAAAGCCTGCCATGTCAGAGGGCTTGAGATGCCCATCATCTCATCTGCAGCAGTGCTCAGGATGTCGGCGTTCAGGCTGCGGAGCTCAGAAACCAGCTGACGGAAGAGGCTGGCGCGCTTCTCGCCCTCGGTGGTCTGTGACAGTGTGTTGATCTTGTTCATTGTGGTGATAACAGCGTCCTTGGTCTGCACTGGGGACTTGTCATCAGTAACATCCATGGGCAGGTGCTTGAGGTTGGCCTCATCTGTGGAGAATTACAGCAAAAACAGTAAGATTATTGAAGTGTGGACATGTTTTACACACTGAATGATATTTTCTGTATTTTAAAAAAACTGAGGAACTTACTGTGGTCAAAGATTCTGTCGTTGATCTTGGCAGTTTCTTTCAGAGTCATTGTCTGCTTCACCATTGCAGAAATTCCATATTCATTCCTGTTTTTAGAGAGACGAGTATAAAATTGTTCAAAGTTTTCTATAAAAACAAAAAACTTATGAATTCTTTCATTATCGTAAAACCTACTTGTAGGAAAAGGGCAGGAAGATGTGTTTTTCTGTGCAGGTCCCACTGGTCATGTGCTTCTTCTGGTTGTCAAACTGGTAATTGCAGGTCTGAGAGCTGCTAATCATCTTGGACAGAGGGTAGTTCTGATACCAAAAAAGACAACAAAATGATCATTTGTGAGATGATTGGGTAATTCAACTTATTGGAAAAAGGGAAATCTATTGTATGTACTAAACTTTTGGTATCAAATTAGATGAATGCTTGATTTCGTTCTTTATAACATAAAGAAATAGCCTATTTGCTATTTTGTTTCTGTGATGAGTGGGTGTGTTTTCAAATGGAATCAGATTATGACAGTATACTTTTTTTTTCAATATCTCACCATGCCAGAGATAAGGGCCAGTGGACTAGTGCTTTGTCTGCGGGCAATGAACCAGTCACATTTGGACAGATCCCTTTTGACAGTCACATCAGTGGCGATGTCCTCTCTGGAGTTGACGGAGAAATCGGTGGCGCACACTCCGTGAACTGTAGGCTGAAAATGATGGAAAGCCTGGTCAATACTTACACAGTGTTTCTTAAAAAAATTGTTGAAAGAGTCCGTATTATGAATGTGCCCTCTGTCCTTTGTTATCTCCCTAAATCAAATAATCAATTGACTTGAACCATCACCCCGACATTCTCAGAGCAGGTGATGCCAATAGTGAGATAAACCTATCTAGGACTTTGACCTGTAGCTGAAGATTTCTACACCGGGGATCATGATGGTTCGGGAGTGAATTTATCACCTGTGACTGGGACAGCTTATCTGCTCATTGTGCAACTTGCTTAATGGTACATGACAACACCAAAGACAAAGTCAAGCTCCACTTGGCCCTGATTTGTTGGCAATCATAAGTAATGAGTAAGCAACTAAAATGACAAAAACATTTCTGTACCATTTCTTTGTTATTTTCCTCATCCATTTCAGGCACCATGAGAGCAGAGACGATTCCCCTCTTGATGTTCAGGATGTTGATGGGCTCGTCATCCTCAGGGTACAGTTTGACCTCAGTCTGTCCTTCCACTGCAATCTTCAATGAGTTCCTGTTGACACAGACAGATCATAAATCACGTCTCATTTTTATTTTTAATTAGTTACGGTGCCCCGTAACTAACAACGGTTAGAGGACTTACTTGGCCATGGCAGCTTTGAAAGCTTCAGCTTCAGCAGCAGGACGATACACTGGCTTCCCTTCATCATCCACCTCAAAGATCTCACTCAGAGAGCACTCTGTTGTGTGGAGAATGAAGCTGCATGTCTGGGGCACATCGACCTCAACCTGTGCAGAACATTGAAATGGTTTGTTTGAATTAGCATTCCTATTCAGGACCGTTAAGGGGTCCTTTTTGAAGTAATGCTAGCAAGCATAGAGACTCACCGTGCAAGAGACTTTGGGGCCGCTCTTTTCCTCCGTGGCTCCATTTACACTGTTAAAGGTCTCAGCTTCATAGTTGTACACAAACCGCCTGAAGTTCTTGAATCTTTTAGCCACTACAAATAATTCAAAGTAGGGATATGTCCATGTTAATGGATACACTTTAATACATTAAACAATTAACTGATAAGACATATGTATATTTTATTAACAGAAATTTTGAATTCTAAACATTTATGGAAATCAAGACATGAGATAATGACCCCAACATTTAGACCAAACAGCTTATAACAAATGGAATGTCTTTATCAAAGTAATGAAACTCTGGCAGTAATGTGACGTATGGCGCACAAAGCTTACTGTCACTTATGTAACTGTTAGATTTTTTCAGATTATATCTTTATCAACATACAGAACATTTTATGCCCACCACCCCACCCATAAACAACAAAATGTCTGATTTACAGAAAGTAAAACAACAAAAATGAATAAACAGGGATATCCAAAATGCTGTCTTTATGAGGCTTTAGATTTTTTTTTATATCTACTAATTGTGACTAGATATTTAATACATTTCAAGCATTAGTTTCTTGGACAGAATAAAAAGTAGGATCATAGATAATTTATTCAGGGGTAAAATTTTGGAAAACTTGCACGACAGATTACTTGTTGTTTAAAAAATCTAAATAAAATTCCTTTAACTCTTTCTATGCCTCATACATGAGATCAGTCTTCTATGTCTTTAAGCAGATAAATAACATCTTATAAAAATGTTGGCCAAAATAAAACAATCACAGCAAAGAATTTTAAAACAAGAAACTCACAGAAGCAAACCGGAGATTCTTCTTCAACACTTCCCACATCTTGCTCTGTGCGGGATGACAGATTTTTCTTTTAAAATTGCACTAGACTAAACTCAGGACAACACAGCATTAGTAGAATAATGAAAATCTTATTTTCATTGGCGTTTATTTTTCCAACGTCTAGCACCAATAAATGTAACAGTCACGCAGAGGAGAGTCCCATCGTTTTTACTTAAAAAACACACTTTACATTTTCAATAAGCAACTTCATTCTATCTGAAATTATTAGATCAACATGAAAATCTATGTTCTAAAATCTGTCTCAAAATAAAAGAATCATACTTACGGGCAAGTGTGGATGTGCCCAGGAGCAGCAAAAGGGAGAGCTTGATACCCAACATGATGGGCTTAGGTAAAGGAGAGTCTCCCTCTTTCTCTGAAGACTAATTTTCAGGCTTGTGTATTCAAGCTTTTATAGACCTCCTGTCTTACTGTAGGTGATTACTGTGACCTGTAGATATGCTGTCCTGGTTCCAAAGTCTGAGCAGTCCTTGTGGCAGGCCAAAGGTAAAAAGACATGTCTGTCAGCACTGGGTGGGGGCTGTCAGCATTATTAAGTTCAATTACTTTTGTTTTGCCATTTCATGTCTGCAGATATTTGGGGGTGGAAAGTTGAGAATGCCAAAGCACACTCAAATGAGAATTGCTTTTTCAAGAAGAAAAAGGATGTTTGATGAGCCTTTGTTTGAAAAAAAAGGGGTTGCAACTTTTCTTTAATCACATCAGCGTCATATAAAGCCTAATATGTCCTCAATCACTAACTTTTACTGCTTGCTTGTTGTGTTCAAAGTGCAGCACACAAATAAAGAAATTAATTAAACTATTCTTTCCACTCTTATTAGGCTATGTTTTTCTTTTCAATCTGTTTCTTACAAATCTTTAATCCTCACATTGATTCATAGATGCGATTTGAACAGTTTCAAAGTTGAGGTCTTATGTTGTATAACACAGCTGAACTAGTATGATAGGGAATCCCACACTATACAACTCTTTACTGATAGTTTCTAGGACAAAGGTAATGTTGTGGTGTACATGTAAGAATCCTCAAAAACGACAGTAAAACACCTTAAAGTTGGTTGCCCTTTGCCCCATGACTCCCCAACAGTCTGAAGTCTGAAGCCTCTGATGCAGAACTGAAACCTGAGTCACCTGGTACCTGCCTGCACAGTTTTATCAGCACGAATTAGAACACCTTGCTGAGTGTTTTATGACGTTTTTTAGTCTGTTCAGGGCCATGACATTTATCAAGAACCATAAGCGTCAGTGCATGAAGGGGGAGCCTGCAAAACTTTGGCCGTCATGGAGCATGTTCAATGAAAAAATGGACAAAGGACACTGGGGTGAAACTCACCAAGTAGTTTTACTTGGTTTAAGTAGTTTTAGTTCTGTTATATATTACAATGGTAACAAGCAAAATGCTGTGAAGGTGATGGATATCCTAATATTTTTAGATGACTTTCTGTTGATTTTTCTTTTGTGTTTTTTGTAGGACATTTTGTATTTCTTTTGCTATCTGTCTTTTATTTTCCCCAGTATTAACCATCAGGTTATTTGCTCCACTCATCTCTGTTCATTGTCTGTGCTGCTTACCTTTCACTAATCTATTCTTCAGTCTTTAAGCTCCCTGGTGTTCCTCAGTCCTTCACCCTGTTACGCAGCAACGTGCATTCTTGTTCTCTATATGTCCCTGCCACTGGTTGTCTTGTACGTTCTATGGTATTCTTTCTCAGCCCTGGTTCCTTTGTTGATGACTTGATTTTTGACATTTGGTGTTTCATATCCTGACTTGTCTGTGCCTGTATTGATTGTGTACAGAATCTGTTGTCTACACTTGTGCAGTAAGACTGTTTTATGAGCTTGTTCATCCTCTTTTGCTCTTGAAAGTTAACCAACTATGACTTGTTTTCAAAGCCTGGCCAAATGAACGTAATTGTCCAATAACACGGTGGAGGAATACTTTTAATAAAACTTTGTCACAATGTTGATATTTGTCTTGTTCTCATTCACTCATCACAAAAAGTAATTGTTTAGAGCTCTGTCATTCACTCTTTGAACCTTTTGAAGATTTTTTTGGTGTGAGCCACTTCAGAATAACTTTAGCTGCAGAGGAAGTGTTCATATGAAAATTCATTTCCCTTCTTTTGCATGCCATAGTGGAACTTTACTGGAAGCTGCAATGACGAATAGTGAAGGCTGAACAACAGGCCTGTTTCAACAGGAAGACCTTTTTGCTATTGTAGGGAAACACGATGGCTAATTTAGTCCAGCACACACACTCCCTGCAAAAGCTAAATAAGCCAAACATTATTTCCATTTCCACTATTTCCAATGGTCGGTAAGCTTAGGGGACTATTGTTTCACTGAAAACTTGGTCAAATCCTCTCAAAGTCTATGAGGGGAATCCCACTTCCCTAAACCACTTTTCGCCCTTTTTTCCATTTCCACACCTCCTTTTGTCAACAAGAAATTATGAGTAAGGGATATATAGTAAGGGATAGTATGAGCGGCCCTGCGATGGACTGGCGGACTGACCAGGGTGTACCCCGCCTCTCGCCCATTGACCACTGGGATGGGCTCCAGTTCTCCCAGAGACCCCAATAGGGAATAAGCGGTAATGACAATGGACAGATGGGTGGATCTGTATAAGATAGCTATTTATGTGGCTTTAGGCCACCTGTTGGGCATAAAGATTGTATGAGAGGCCTCTAAAACAGCCCAGCAATAGGGAGCACGGTGAAGGACTGAGATGTATTCTATGTAGGTACAGCATACATAGAAAGCCAAAATCAAGTGGTGGAAATGCTGTAAAGAAACAGCTGTAACAAGTACGAAGTCCCAAAGTCGAAATGTGGTGGAAAATGACAATAAAATCCCGAGGACATTTTACATCCAAAGTGTGACAGTGGTACTTCGAATATTTGTGGCTGTGACTCCAACACTGGGAGAAAGGCTCCGACATATAATCTTACTGCTGATGTCTTCTCAACTAACCTTTCACCTCATTTGAGGAGTCTGGGAAGGCTGTTTGATCAAGATTACAAAAGAAGTGAACTCAAGATAAGTCAATCAGACACATAGAGACTGTCCTATGTTGAGCAAGACTGACATCAGCACCCAGCAGAGCAACGACCGTATGTTTTGCAAATGTTACAGGCATGGAAGCAAATAAGCTTGATGAATCCCTCATGGTGGGATGTAGGTGAACATTAAAGTTTGTCAGTAAAATTGAACATTTTCACAGTCTCAATGCTCACATGTACAGGACATATGAGATAAGAGCTAAGAGCTTTCCTGTAACTATGTCAGCGAGGTATGTTATTCAACCAATACACAAAACAATATTCAGTGCCATATGTCTTGAAATGCTTCTGTGCTTTCACGTGCATTTTGAATCATGATTAAAAATCATCTGTTTTTTCTGTTTTTCTTTTTGGAAAAAATTATACATTATTTCTCAGAATTATTTTTCTGCTGCATTGTTTCATTGTTTTTGCTCAAGACCTTAAGACAAATGTAAGGCAGGTGAATTTCAACACAGGGGTCACTCAGTTGTGCTGCTAGAAAAGTAATAGGTCATCAACTCGACAAAGTTCACTGAGTTTCAGAAACTGTCACTGTGCGTTTACTGCAGTGGTCCAAAAAACAATGTGGATCCACACGTGTAGCATTGTCACTTGTGGACTTTTGATGTGGTTTCCTCCACTTTGAATGTTATTCCGATGTTTTTTTCTTTTTCTTATTTATGGTGTCTGTATATTCTTTCATGCTTATTCGCTTTTCTAAATTTGAGTTGATCTTTCTCTTGCTTCTCAGTGTTCTCAGCTTGTTTCCTGTTCCTTGTTCCTAGTATCTGTTCTTAATCTACAGTCACTGGAGTTTCCCCTCCAGTGTGGTCATCTGCTCCACCCACTACACCTGTGCTTTTTCTCCTCAGCTGTCTCCACTCTCTCCCTGGTGTCATTACTGTGTGTCTGTACTTCATCAGTTGTCACCAGCTGTCTGTGTGGCTCCTCTTTTTTGCGTGTAGTTCTTTTTCACATTTAGTGTCAGATTTTGCTGCGATGGACTGGGAAGCTGTCCAGGGTGAACCCTGCCTCTCGCCTGTTGTCAGCTGGGATAGGCACCAGCCAACCCGTGACCCTGTTGGGAATGAGTGGTATAGAAAGTGGATGGATTGATGTTTATTTTAGTTCAGATTTAGATTTTCCAGCATGGCTACAGCTTAGATTTGCGGACCACAGATCCCCATAGTCTCAGGCTGCACACTGCTAGGTGCTAGGTACTCCTAGGTGCACTTCCTGTGACAGAAGAATTTCTTAAAGCAAAAAATCGAACAAAAAAAGCTCTGACTAAAGGAAACAATTAATATGAAATGTGGTTTTATTTATTTGAGTTTATCATTGAGTTAACATTTCATAATCTAAGTACAAACAACACAATTAAAGCGTTGTGCACATGCAAACACATACAATGGAAACAATGGAAGTTAAAGTTTGCTGGGAAGACAGTTCATCACACACATTTTTGGCAGTGGATGTATGAATTGAATGGAGTTGGGATTAAGGTAAGCATACATAACAATCAAGCAAGTGGGAGAGGAGCAAACGTTTGGCCAGCTGGGGCTGGTGATGCACATAAAAAGTCTTCATCAAATAACAACCGTCAAGAGCGTGTGGTGCTGTCATGGAGCAACTGTTTGAGAACAGTTGGAGAGATAGCTGAACTGTTTCTGCACCCACGAGCACAATAGCAAAACACGTCGGTCACCTGATGTACTTTGTGAACTCGTACAGGCACATAACTCTGGTTTCTGAGGTACAAGTATGTCCAAAGTCATAAATGAACTTAAGGAAACCACCATAGTGACAAGTCTTGGACACTTAAAGATACGATACGAAGTTATTGTTTTTCTAAACCCATCCTTTTTCATAACTGCTTATTCCCAGTCGTGGGGGGACGGGAACCTAATCAAGCAGTCAACGGGCAAAAAATTTGGGGCCCTGGACAATATTTTGTGTAGGACACACACAAGGAGAAAATTTCTGCCTCTAGAGCAATGTATTGCACTGTATTTATGTATGTTTTGTTACATGTTTTTTTTCTGTGTCTGTATTTTTAAGACATTTATAGTTTCTTGCCCTTTTTATTCAAACAGTACTCTCATAATTTTTTCAGAGAATAAAACATATAGAAACACTGAATAATAATGTCAATAATAATGTAAATTGTTCTTTGTTTTGACGAACCAAAGCAGACCCTAAAACGGTACAAAAGCCAAAATTTGTAGGCTGTTTTTCCTACCATGTGGCTGATGTCCCATTTATAACTAACTATTTCAAGACAAATGTTATCAAGTGGTGCTTATAGGAGGGCAGTACCCTGAAAACATTGCCTTACATGTTTGTGATGACAATCTTCAGCAGTACCTGATAAAGTGTTCCTGTACTATTCAGAAAAGGCATTCATATCATAGATCAAAGGTTTTTTGTTCGAACAGCAGCCCATAAAGACTTAATCAGAGGGGAAATTTTGCATACAAAGTTCACAATATGTCAGCCCTCATGAGAATTTAACAGGTTCATGTGAAAAATAATGCTGCAGTGACCTCCTCTGGTTAATAATAGGCACTGCATTTGAGGGTAAGCGTGCAGATGATTTACTTTTGAAAGTAGTTTTTTTTATTGAAAACATACACTACCGTTCAAAAGTTTGGGGTCACATTGAAATTTCCTTATTTTTTAAGGAAAAGCACTGTACTTTTCAATGAAAATAACTTTAAACTAGTCTAAACTCTAAAGAAATACACTCTATACATTGCTAATGTAGTAAATGACTATTCTAGCTGCAAATGTCTGGTTTTTGGTGCAATATCTACATAGGTGTATAGAGGCCCATTTCCAGCAACTATCACTCCAGTGTTCTAATGGTACAATGTGTTTGCTCATTGGCTCAGAAGGTTAACTGATTATCAGAAAACCCTTGTGCAATCATGTTCACACATCTGAAAACAGTTTAGCTCTTTACAGAAACTACAAAACTGACTTTCCTTTGAGCAGATTCAGTTTCTGGAGCATCACATTTGTGGGGTCAAATAAACGCTCAAAATGGCCAAAAAAAGAGAACTTTCATCTGAAACTGGACAGTCTATTCTTGCTCTTAGAAATTAAGGCTATTCCATGCGAAAAATTGCTAATAAATTGAAGATCTCCTACAACGGTGTGTACTGCTCCCTTCAGAAGACGGCACAAACAGGCTCTAACCAGAGTAGAAAAAGAAGAGGGACCATGTTGCACAACTGAGCAAGAAGATAAGTACATTAGAGTATCTAGTTTGAGAAACAGACGCCTCACAGGTCCCCAACTGGCATCTTCATTAAACATCTGTCAACATCTACAGTGAAGAGGCGGCTGCATGATTCTGGGCTTCAGGGCAGAGTGGCAAAGAAAAGGCCATTTCTGAGACTGGCCAATAAAAGAAGAAGATTAAGATGGGCAAAAGAACACAGACATTGGACAGAGGAAGACTGGAAAAAAGTGTTGTGGACAGATGAATCCAAGTTTGAGGTGTTTGGATCACAAAGAAGAACGTTTGTGAGACACAGAACAAATGAAAAGATGCTGGAAGAATGCCTGACGCCATCTGTTAAGCATGGTGGAGGTAATGTGATGGTCTGGGGTTGCTTTGGTGCTGGTTAGGTGGGAGATTTGTACAGGGTAAAAGGGATTCTGAATAAGGAAGGCTATCACTCCATTTTGCAACTCCATGCCGTACCCAGTGGACAGCGCTTGATTGGAGCAAATTTCATCCTACAACAGGACAATGACCCTAAACACACCTCCAAATTATTATTATCATTATTAAACTATTTAGAGCAGAAGAAAGCAGCTGGTATTCTATCGGTAACGGTGTGGCAGCGCAGTCACCAGATCTGAACCCCACTGAGCTGTTGTGGGAGCAGCTTGACCGTTTGGTACGCAAGAAGTGCCCATCCAACCAATCCAACTTGTGGGAGCTGCTTCTGGAAGCGTGGGGTGCAATTTCTCCAGATTACCTCAACAAATTAACAGCTAGAATGCCAAAGGTCTGCAATGCTGTAATAGCTGCAAATGGAGGATTCTTTGACAAAGGCAAAGTTTGATGTAAAAAAAATCTTATTTCAAATACAAATCATTATTTCTAACCTTGTTAACATCTTGACTCTATTTTCTATTAATTTCACAACGTATGGTGGTGAATAAGTGTGACTTTTCATGGAAAACACACATTTTTTTGGGCGACCCTAAACTTTTGAACGGTAGTGTACATGGTAAATGTTTTACTAGTTTTTATTAGTTCCAGTGTCAGTGTGTATTACCATCTAAAAACTTTTACATCACAAGTTAGAAAAAAATCTTAAAAGTAAAAAGGTAAAAAAAGAACACATTTTAGATGTCAAATAAATTGGATCTCCAATGTGCATTTATATATTTGGAGTAGACCTATAAGCCTCTTTTGCACTGATATAGTTTACATTTATCAACTAAAACATACACTACATTTAATAATCTGGAGCCGCGGATCCTGAGTAATGAATCTTGGAAAAAGACCATGAAATATGGTTAAAATCTAAACCATGTTTTTCTCATTTCAGAGCCGCATCCCTTCCTCTCATGTGCAGATTTTTCCCTTCCTCTTTGGTATCCTCTGCCCATGAGGTGTCAGGTGACTGCCTGTTACAGGTTTTTGCTGGAATAAGAAATAAGCGAATGAGGTCTGAGGTTAAATACATTGAATGGGACAATGACCCAAAGCTGCTTGATTGGCTTGTCTGGGCTCAACAGAATGTCCTCAGACAAACTCAAACCAATTTCTGTTTTCTCCTGGAAAAAATGCTCTCTTTCTTATTTACCTATAGGTCGAACAGAAATCTTCTATGTGCTGGAGGCTAGAAAAGTATAGAGCTTCAAAACACCAAATTCCCAAAATATAAAGGGGGGCACTGAGGCGTTTTTGTCACATGACCAACTCATGGTACTAACTATTATTGTATTTTTTCATATAAGCTAAATGTCACAATCCCATGATAAGAAGACTGAAGTTGAAACATTATTTTTTCTGTACATTATGAAAATGAAATACCGTTTTTTTGTCCATTTTTAAAAGAAGAAACTTTGTCTTTCAGCACTAAACTTTGAACAAAACATTGACACACAAAACAGCTTTTTGAATTTCAAATGGCACCTCCTCTGGAGAAATTAGCAGTGTGACAGTTCTCATTTATCCCCAAAATCTCTCAAAACATTTCCACAATACACATGATCACTTGACCATCCAACATTCAAATAAACTCCACTAATAATCACATGTAAGAAGTTAAATAGTGCATTAGTAAAAGTTGGTGAGAATTCTAAGGTTGTCAATCTGAAGCAGCTGATTCTCTTATACTTTCCTCCTTTTATTTGAGTTTAGGTAGCTTCTGTCATTCTCTTTTTATCAAGGCAAGTCAGATTATTCAGGAGAGGGATGATAGTAAGAGATGGGAAGAGAACAAGAATGATAAAAAAAAGTATCATTCTTTTTTATCTAGCTCAGGTATGGATGCTTCGGGAAAATTGATATTTTTTCCCAGTGTGTATAAGTTCAACATGTCCATGCATTTGCCTGAGATATTTGAAAACTACAGCAGTCCTGACAACCACAGAAAGAGAAGAACCCATGGTTTCACATTTGAGAGATATTGTGGTCTGTAGTGCTGGTCAAAATAGACATTACAATGGATGGAGTAAAAACGGTTGTGTAGCAGCATGTAAAATAACTGCAGTAACTGTCAAAACGCAACTCTTGCTTTGTTAGGTTGGACAGCAACTTGAAACAAGGAAAACACAGTGAAGCAATAAATCCAACTCAAAGAGAGTTTTTTAATAACTTTTATTTTTGCTTCTCACTCTTGGTTGTAAGATGAGTATTGTTTGCTATTACACAGTCAATGCACAGAGCAAACCATGACAATTAATCATAGAGCAGTTGCTTCTATGAAAAAAGTTTGATAAATATTCTTAAATTGTCCATACTTTCTCTAAGTATTCCTCCAAAACAGATGGTATAGTCTCATGAAGACTTAGCCTTCAGTCTGTTGATATTACTTAATACTGGAAATGAAAGGGAAGATTGATTTCTAGCTTTCCATCTGTAACCTTCAGGTAGTCTTGCACTTCCTCTGATGTCTCTGTCAGAAAAGCATTAACTGCATTACTGATCTTGTCCAGCACTTTAATGATCATGTCCATAAGGGACTCACACATTTTGTTGATGTCCTCCATACTGAAAGCAGGGATCTGGTCAACATAGTAACTAATGAAAGAGACAGCCTCACGATAGAACTCATTGACTTTGAAGAGCACAGCATCTAAATAGTCAGATTTGATTGAGTCAACAAATTCCTGAGTTTTCTCAACAACAACCTTCAGAGTCTCACTCATCTTTTCCAGCATTGTGTCAAGACTTTCCATGTTTTTGACAAAATCCACCACTCCGTCAAAGATCGTTTTGACAGCCGTTTTGACCTTATCAATGATCTGGCCTCCAGTAATAGCATCACCAACTGGCATTTGTAATTTGATTGTGCTTATCTTTTCCACAAAATAGCTGTAATACTCTTCCATGTTGTCATGGACAATCTGGATAGCTACATCTAGCATATTAGCAATGCTGCTGGTCAGCTTATTGAGGAGTTCAGGGAGAGTGGTCATCTCATCAGACCCAGGTACCTTGAAATATGTCTCCCTCAATACCTTAATGATTGCATCAAGGAAATTCTGGACATTTTTCTGGTACTGGACAATAGTGTTCCTGAAGAAAATTGAGAGTTGACTCATTTCAATATCATAGTTGACTGCAGCATTATGAGCTTCTCTAATCTGGTTAATAACAGAGTCCTTGAGCATCTCCATGCTACTTGTGATTTGATACTTGTCAGCAAATGTTTGAACACTAGAGGTGATAGATGGAAGGTTAGCCTTGAGCTCATTGAGAATGGCCTCAGGTGCCTCCATATTGTAGATGATCTGCAGGTTTGTCTTATCAGAGCTCTTAGAAGATCGGATGACCAAGACTTCAACATCAGCATCGGGGGCCGACTAAATGAAGGGAAAAACATTTTAGCCACTTCTCATTAACAGGTTTTTCATTTTACATTACAAAGTTGAGTGGTTTATAATACTCACAGGGTAACGGCCAAAGATTCTGGCATTAACTTGAGATGGGACTTTGCCACTGATCTGGAGGCCAAGGAAGCCTCCACTAGGAGTAGAAACTGAGGCACTGATGGCATCTCTGTTTGCAGCATATCGAAGGTTCAAATCAGCAAAAGCAGGACTGGTGATGTCGACATTCATTGTGTGGCGAGAGACACTAGCAAAAAAGAGAGCATTTTATATAAAAAAATTAAAAAACATTTGAACTTGTTACTTGATAGAAATCACATATGCATTTATTCAATTACAGTGAACATTTACCTTTCATCAGCTTGACGTTTTCTCCTAAACACAAGAAAAATATATTATTTGTGTCAAACTTCAAAAATCCAAGGAAACCATGATTTTTTAAAACTGAATGTTGCTACGCAGACAGGATATACTACCTCAGTGCTTGAGCAATGACATGATTAACCTCCACGGTCAGGTCAGTATGTTTCAGAACAAGCTTGCTAACCAAGTTCAGAAGGTCATTCTCAAAGTTTGCAGTGGTAGATGCTATTGGAAGAGAAATAGATTGTGAAATTTTCCTTGCAAAAATCTAAAATAATAGATTATAGAAATAGGATTTTTGTCTACTTACCATTGATATCGTATTCTAAGACCACGATGGCAGAGGAAGCAGATGACTTGAATATGACCTTGAAGACTGGAGCATTGCCTTCTACTTCAGCCTCTATATTTGTGGTGTACAGTGGGCTAACAATGTTGGCTTTGATAGAGATTATCTGTTTGGAAAGAGTCACATCAGCAGCAGCCTTTTTGTAGATTGTGAAGTCACCCAGGCTGCTTGGCTGTTTCATATCAATCTCAATGCCAGCTGTTAATGAGGAGATTGGTGCAAAGTCAATTGTAGCTTGGGCATTATGCTTCCCATTGGTACTGAAGCTGAACAGGTTCACCTCGTTGCTACAGGTATGCTTTAGGTTTGCATACACACGACTCATGGATGCTTCAATGGCCAGGTTGCTGTTTACATCCATGGCAATGACTTTAGTTGCACCTTGGTTGATCTTGGTATCAGCAACAACTTTGAAAGTGGAGCGCAGGCCATCTTTATTCAGGTATAGATTTTCCTCATTATCCAGAACTCCAAAAACTACATAGTTTTCAAACACTCTGCCATCCATGTTTGATTTAATGGATGATTCCATGGACACATAATCAAAAGTTCCTTCCAGCTTCAGACTGTGATCTACCTCAGCCTTTCCATCAGCATTGATCGTTGGGATGTTGAAGTCACCCTTCATCTTCAAGGTGGAGTGAGCATTTGCTTTGGACTTGATGTCTGCAATTAGATTTTGCTGTGCTTCCAGGTTGAGTATAGGCAGGGTAATTTTTGCAGTTGTTGCCACAGAGAGAGCAGATTCAAAAGTCTCAGTGCTCATGGTGATGGTGCTCTCATGATTGCTTTCAATGTGATTATTTTCAAGGGACATGGAGTTGGCCAGCTTGATTCCCCTTTGGGTGGTCAGACTGGTGGTGCCATCGAGTTTGGCTTTCAGACTCTCAAACACAGAGGCAGTGGTGGCACTCAGACGAAACACAAGATCATCCTCAGTAAACAATCCAGCATTGGCATTCATGTTGATGATGGCTGACTTGAAAGATAGGTCTGTGATTAGATCACCCATAGAGGGAATGCGAATCAAACCCAACATATCAACAAGTGGGGCAGCCTTGCTTTTCTGGTAAGTAATCTTGGCATCTACATCAACTGTCTGCTCAGTGGTGGTCAATATGTTCTGCAGTCCAGTCTGCTCATACAGGTTCAGATCACTGATAGCTGGGGTATGGAAGTCAATGAAAGGCAGATCAATCTCTGGGATGCTGATGGGGTATCTCAGGAAGTCAAGATTGGCTTCACCATCCATAGCAACAAAGATACCAGCTTCATTGTTGTTATTGTCAAGAGTGAAGTTGGTGAAGATTTTGTACTGGTTGAGACGAGCCAAGAAGACTGTGTTCATCTTTTGGCTATCAGAGTTTAGGTTGACCAAGTAATCATTCTGCAGATCTACTTTAGCAGTCAAGGATTTAAATATGTTGACCTTGGCATTTCCTTTGTTTTCAAATGCAAGAAGGAACTCTTCTGTACTGAGTATAAAATTGATGGTGTTGGAGATTTTTCCACTGTCTGCACCATGCAGTTCTGTGTCATGGTTCACTTTCAGCTCAATCTTCATATCCTGACGGCTACCACGCCCAGAAATAACAATGAGACTGTTCTTGATGGCTGGAGCTTCTGCCTCATTGCGGACATTGAAGAAGTAGTGGCTAAATGTGGCAGATTCAGCTGAAATGAGCTGTTTCAACTTTAGGATGGGAGAATCTGTGTCACCACTGAAAGACAGGCTGACAAGGCTTGGGGTTGCTGAAAACTCAAACTTGCTGTCATGGTTGCTGTCATAAGCATTAAACTTTCCTTTGCCTGTATTGTCAGCTGTTACGGTGAGAGTGAAGCCCTGTTGACGTGCAACAGATTTCTGAGAAAATGTAACCTCACTCTTGACTTCGGCAATTGGGATGTCAACAATATGAGTGTAAGTTGTTTCAGCAGTGGCAGTTGCTCCACTTTCCACACCAATAAAGGCTGTGTTCATAAATTCTGCAGTGTAAGGGGCAGTAGTAACCTTAGCGGTGGTCTTAGCTTGGGCCTGAGCTGAGAGACCATAGAAATTCACAGATGCCTGATGTTCAACTCCGAGAGCAACATGGGTAAACTTGACAGTCTCTGCAAGGACAATACGTTTCCTTTTTGGCAAGGCAACACGAACACTGGTTTCAAGTTTGTAATCAAGCATTTCCAGACTTGAAGATGTGCCATGGGAGGTAAAGGCTCCAATAAACAAAGGTGTTATTGCAGTCTCAGTGGAATTCTTGAGCTCAGCAGATGTCTTGATGGTATAGATGGGAGTCTGGAGCTTGATCTCACCATAGAGTTTACCAAAGCAAGGTACCATGATCTCATTTGGAATGGTTGGCAGCTTAAACTCTGGGACTTGAAGAGATGTAACAAGCTTTTCCACAGGAACTTGTGGGATGTTTGGGAATTCGATCTCTGGAAGAGTGAATTCTGGCAAGGTGATTTCAGGCATTCTGGGGAGGTAGTTCAAAGTCAAGTCTCCAAAGAAAGCATTCACATCAAGGATTTCAATCTTAAGGTTAACAATGAAATCAATAAGAGCAATGATTTTCTGTTTGATGTCATCAAAGGAAATTGTGGTGGCTTTCACAGTGTAGACACCCATGATGGTAAATTCAGGGATGTCGAGCTGAGTTGGGATTTCAAACTGCTGCAGTGAATCCATATCAAATTTCATTGAAGGCACCACAAAATCTGTGAGAGGAACGCTGAAGGATGGGATGATGATCTCAATTTTCTTTAGTTCAGTGAGGAGGGCATCAATGATCTGCTGAATCTCACTAATGATTTTCTGCTCAGGGAAGATTTCCTTAGCTATCATGAAGGCATCATTAAACAAATCAGTGATGGCTGAGATGGCCACTGCATAGTATTTACTCACAGACTTCAGGTAAAAGGTGAGCTCCGGTTTGAAATCCAAATTCTTAATTTCTTCTTTTATGGAATCAGCAAATCTCTCAAGTGGATCACACACGACCTGTTCAAAGACATCCTGGACAGTTTTTATAGCATCTGCCACTCTGATTTCTCTCAGACGCTCCACAAAGCCTTGAATAGAGGACAAGACCACATTGGCAAATTCTCGTGTTGCCTCAAGTTTCTGAGGAATCTCAAGTTTTCTGATAATCTCATTCAAGTAACTTGTGTACGCAACGATAATTTGATTGGTATAATCCACAAATTCATTGTAATCCAGAGACTTCAATTTTTGCACAGTGGTTTCAATATGACTGTTAAGTTGTCCAATTATGTCTCTGATCTCAGTTGCCTTCAAGTAGTTGGTAGCATCCTGGAAGATTTGCATGAATTTGGTGGGAATGTCAGCATCTTTTATGATCTTGATGGCAGCCTGGATGCTTTCCTCAATCTTGAGCTGTTTAAAGAGTTCCACAGTCTTTTCCAAGACAGCCTGTATCTTTTTGTCAACTTCAAGTTGCATGAACAAGTCTCTCAACTTTGCATAAAATGTGTTGATCTTCCCAATGATATCATAGTCCTCAAATGTTGTCTTCAAGCGATTAAGTATATCATTGAGAATATCTGTGGGAATTTTAGCCACTAAATCTTCAATGACAGCTTTGTAATGGATGGAAAAGAAAATTTTCTTGACATCAGCAACAAACTCTGACACGTCAAATGTCTCAATAAATTCTTTAGCCATGACTACACTTTCCAGAAGTTTTGCTTTGATTTGATACTTATCATCAATATCTTGCAGGAGTGCAATACTGCTACCCTTCAGTTTTTCCAGGTCAATCCCATTGATCATCTGCCCTATGGTATCAATCACATACAAGATTGTAGACTTGATGTTAAACGCCTCGTCAATGAAATTCAATACTTCCTGGACCTTCTGAATGACATTTTCGGGGAAGTTGCTACCGCCAATTGTGTCCTTGATCATACCAGCAAAGTTTTGGATGTAAACTGCAAGATCAGCCAGAAGTCTCTCAACAGTAATCTTCAGATTGTTCAAAGAAGCCTCCACGTCATCCATGGAAATGGCAAAGTTTTGGGTTAAATCAGTGAAGTACTGCTTCAGCTGAACGACCTTGCCTTCAACATCCATTTGAGCAACAAAGTCACTGATGTGCTGAGGCAGAGCCTCAAGTCTTGCCTTTACATCCTCATTGTTGATGAAGTCTTGCAGTGCTTCTGCCACATACACAACAAATCCCTTGATGCTTTCCATAAACACTGGTAGATTATTAATCAAAGGGATGTGAATCACATGACTATCTGTGTTTTTGTCATACTTGAGGAAGGCTGAGATAATGAACTCCTGTTTCTCTGTGGAGGCTGTGTCAAGGATATTTGTGAGGATATTGCCAGAAACCTCAACTCCAGTTCTCTCTTCAATGTTGTACACTTCAATGTCTTGATTAAAGGCATGATCATTGATTTTAGACTTGATTTTTAAACTGGTCTTCTGCTCCTGAGGTGTCAGAGAAGTGTCCATTTTGTTGTCATAGGTTGTCTCAAGAGAAAAGCCATTGTCAAGCTGATGAGTCACAGATGCTCTGCATTCATGTGAGCTGGCAAAAGCCAAGGGTTGTGCTCTGAGGAGGAATTTGCCGTAGAGTTGGGCACTGTGCTTTCCGTACATGGTCATATCTCCATCAGCGTTAAAGATAGCATCAACACTGACATCAAAGGGAACAAAGCTGCAACGAATGTTATGGTCAAAGCGCATTGGTTGTGAGTTAAATCGGGCATCATTGCTGAACCTGGCAGCAAGGCCAATAACTTCAAGTTCTGTGTTTTGGTTCATCTGAGTGCCAAAAAGTTTTCCGATGGTGCTGCACTTTGCTGTACCACTCAAGTCAGCATAAGCAATCTGGTAGGTGTGCTTGATCTCCTCTTCGCCAATCATGGCCTTCATGTTTCCAGTCAGGTCCATCTGGTAAAGCTTTGCTTGCAGTTGAGCCTCATTAATAAAGCTAGCAGTCAGGAGTTTCAGGTGGTTGTTGACATTTGCAGAGGCAGTGTATGGTTTTAGGTCAAAGGTGACATCGTGAGTGTAAGAGGCATACTCACTTGCACTGACTTCAGCCTTTGAACTAAAGTCAAGGCCAGAGAGGGTTACGGTCAGGGTATTAGTATTATCAACCTTCATATCATACATTGCAGCCTTATTTGTAACGGATAGAATACCCTTTGTAGCATCAAGTCCAGCATTGAAGGTGTTTTCCAAAGAGAGAGGGCTATGGAGAGTTGTTGTTCCACTTGTGATCAATCCATCCTTGTTCATTTTCAGTGTTGCCTTGTGCATTGCCTCATTCTCCAGAAGCTTCACATTGGCATCACAGTTTACAGCCAGGCCATTACCATCAAGAGAGGTGGTTAGGAGAGAGTAAACACGGTTTTCAGAGTGGTCGCCATTTGTCTCCAGCCTGACAGTGATTTCACCAGCACCAACGGCAGCCTCAGCCTGGTTGCGAATCTTCATGCCAAGAGCAAGAGCACTTGCATCACATTTCATGGACAGCTTATTTTCTTTGAAGGCAAGTTCAGCTGCATGAGTGAAGGCGTCTTCAAATGCATTGGTGTTAGACACAAGTGAGAATTCACCATTAGCAAGTGATGCTGCAATTACATTGTTGGCCTTGACAACTGTGGAGTCAAACTCGACACGAGAATCAATCTTTGCCTCTGGTCTGAATGGAAAGATAGAAAATGACTGTACTGAGGTGGTCTTGCCATAGATTGGCCCGGCCTTGAACATGCCCTCAAAGTTGTTGTCACCAGTCATCTCTTCAGCATTAAGTCCAGCCACACCTGTGTGCTCTAGTTTGATGTCAAGACCAAATGGACTTGCAGCTTCAATTTTGCTTATTGATTTCAGATTGATTTTGTTTGTGATGACTGCATCTTCTTCAATGCTAATTTTGGCTTCAATAAACTTATGGGCCAAAGAACCTTTCAACTGGGCCTTGATAGAATCAGTGTTTGCCACCATTCCAGTACCTAAGTGGTAAAAAAGAGGAAAATATAATTGAAGTCATACAGCTTCATAGAAACAACTTCAAAGCAACACTTTAACAGCAATGTAACATATCTGCAAATGATTTCAGTCTCAATATAATAAATTACTATTGTGAATTATTAGTACAGTGTTATGTATACCAAATAAACCATTAAATATATCCTGATTTGTCACAAAAATCGCATCAGCGCTATAAGAATTTAAAAGCTTTTGAAGTAGCACACACTCTTAAAGCTATGCCGATTAATATTTCAAGAAATTCAGTAACATGATTCCTTAAATTATTTTTTTTGTGTTAATTGGGCCGGATACTGGCTTATCCATGGCAGTAATGCACAACAGATTATAAAAAAACATACAAAAAGTAAATAAGGGACAAATTAAAGTGCAATTTTAACACATCTAAAGATTAAAATCCTGCACATATTACATTTCTTAAAATGTACCAACACAATGAAATACCTTCAACTGCCAGGGAGAGGATGTCAATCGGGGAATTTCCTTTCAAGTCAAACTTAGCTGAGTAACTTGGTGGTTCAACAACATCTTTTCCAACAGATAAAGAGGACTCCATGTCATAAAGGTTGCTTGTGAGGGTAGCTGAAAGGTCAGCTTGGCCAAAGAGAGGGATGGACAGAGTAAAGCTCTCTGGGACAGCAACGTTAGGAATGGGGATCTCCATGGAGACAATTTCAAGGCCAAACTTGGGTAGAGACACGCTAGGAGTGCTCAGAGCTGGTGGGAAGTTGAGCTCTGCTGTTGACTTTCCTCCAAGAGGCATAGGAATAACAATTGTGAAGCGCTCATTGTTGAACAGGTACTCAGCCTTGGCCTTGCTGTTTAAAACACAGAAATGAGCACATTAAATTATTTTTGTGTGTATGTGTTGGGGGGCTGGGGAGTGGGGATGGGGCGTCAACCAGTTTTAAAATTTATGATGGAGTTATCACACTTACGTGCTTAGGAAGAGTTTTTCAGGCATGGCAATCTCAGGCATTTCGGGAAGCCTGAAGTGCTGCATGTAAGGGAGGACTTGAGCTCCATAGTTATCCATGTAATTATTTGCAGCCTTAAAAAGTCAAAGAAGCTCTGTTTTATGTCTGCTTCTAGTATTACCAAAGGAAATCTCAGTGACTTAAGAAAAGAACTATACCTCAACAAACTTCTTGAAGATGTGACGGACTTTCATATCAGTCTGCCCCACCTCCATGTCAAGAATGTCGTTGCCATACTTCTCGATAAATTCACCATTTGGCAGGGAGGTGGTCTTGGTGTTCACATCAGACTCTACCTGAACCTCAATCTTGCTGGTATCTGGAAACACAAAACAAAACAATAGAATAAAATAAATGAATTCAATAGAATATGTAGAAACCAACTAATCAGATATTTCCTCTTGGAAATATTGAATGGTTTGGCGGGTAATAAGTCTCACAAAAAATGAGGTAACCTGCGTGATAAATCATGCATACTATTATACGATTTATGCATTTAGGAGTTTTATCCAATAATATACATGTGCTTTATATTAATGAATTAACTGAATCGAAAAGGTTTGCAAAAATCAGCTATCTTGTTAATTTCCAGATGTCAAACGCAATTCTCACAATGTTTTGCGTGTTATCCAGAATTAACTATCACATATAAAAAAACACTGACTTCCTAAATACACTACCATATTTGATCTGAATCTTCTGTTCAGAGACAGCATCCATAAGCTTGATTTCACTCTCAAGTTCCAGTTCGAGTTCTTCATCGTGTTTCATGTTAGCTGTGAGGGTGGCGTCAGCATTGAGCGAAGGCACCAGGAGTTCGATTTGCAGCATTCCTTCCTTCATGGCCTTCAAGCTGTAAGGTGATATGTTTGTTATTCAGCAAACTGTGGACCAGAAGTGCAATGTTAATCCTATTTAGTCAAGGTTCATAACTGAGTTCTTACTTGGCGCGGCCAACCAGGGAGAGTGTTGGGATGTTCTTGTTTATGAAGTCTAGAGAGATGGCGTGAGTTCCTTTGCCCTTGGTTTTTGCATCAACACCAAGTCTTATTCCAGCCTCCACATCATAATCAGGGATCTGGATGTCTGCGGTGATGACATTCTTTCTTCTGTTGTATTTCATGATTGCTGTGGCTTCAGTTGGATCTGCACCTGTTGATTATAGTTTGAATAAGTTGGAGTGCCTCTCCAAACAACCAGTGAAAACATGGCAATAATTAATTCAATTAGACATTACCCTCAGCTCTTAGAATTAACTTCAGAGAGTCAACTTTCTGCCGCCCTTCTTCTCCCTCTCTAAGGAGTTCATAGGCAACACTTGCTGTGTACTCGCTGACTTCACCAGTAGGGTGGAACTCCACAGCAAATCTGTGTTGAAAATTTAGTATAATTTATGAATTATTGACATCAATATTAATTCTCACTGGTGGTTCATAAAGGGCTGCTTACTTGCTGTCTCCTGTGAAGGGGAAATAAGGAGCCGTCTCGTGAGAGAAAGCATCAGTGTATTGCAGAGAACTGCAGTATTTCATTCCAGCAAAGACTGGAGTGCACTCATTAACATCAACTTTGTCTGTCACCAACGGAGGGATGGTCTTTACTTCTGATCCAGTCACTGCCACCAGGGTGTTTCTGAATGGAAGGCATAGCAAAGTTTAAGTATTTACTTCTTAATTTTAACTATCATATGAAATTTGCATTTACGTTTTATTAGCTTACGTCATTTTTATGAGCTTGGTAGGCTTTGTTGGAGCAGGAATGGTGAGCTTGACATGGTCACGTCCCATGGAGATTTTGGCAGTAATTCCACTCTCGTGGAAGATGTTGGTGTGCATCTCCAATCCAGAGTTGACATACTCAGGGAGATGGGATCCAACCTGAGTGACGAACTCAATGCCAGCGGATGGCATGAAGGTCACGGTGCTCTGTGCAGATGGGCGGTAGAATGGTTAATATTTGTTTTGAGGCAGTGGGAAATATAACAGGTGGAACTCAAATGAATTCATGGATAGCTACCATGTCACGGGCAATCTGAAGTCCACCTTTGAAACCGGGGGTGAAAGTGCCAGACAGTGCGATCCTCAGAGGGACACCAGTGACGGTAGGAAGGAAAAATTCGTTGTCCATGAAGATGTAATGGGCAAAGATTGTGCTGTCTGGGCTGGTAAGCAGGGCCTTCACTACCTGTGGCATTGATAAAACAAGCACATAGATAAGTCAGTTGTAAATACATGCTTTGTTTAATCTTAGGTAAAGTTTTTTTATACCAGTATTAAATACTTGTCACTTACTTCATGTGGAAACATCTTCAACATGCTGTCAATCATCATGCCAGCAGAGTAGGTCATCTCTTCGATATCATTGGTCCTCAGGTATCCCAGCTCATTTCCGAGGAGTCTGAGATAGACCATTGCCTCTGGAGACTCTGCAGCTTTCAGATCCCCCACCAGTTTGTTGAGATTATTTCCAATTTCCTTCATCAGGTTCTGGGAGGCCTAAGAGAAAATAAACATAGTGTCTAACCAATACTTGAAGAGGAAGAAGAGATTATTTTAGTCTGATGTGTTTAAAGCAGGTTGCTCTGACTACCTCTCTCTTCATCCTGTTCTTCTTCAAAGCAGGCATGATGTTCTGCAGGATCTCACTGACTGAATCTGGCATGTTGTCAGAGACAAAGTACATTGTCTTCAGGGCAGTATCAGGGAAGAAACCGTTCTCTCCGAACAGGGCATCAACTGTTGGCTCAAATCCTTTTCCCTCCATGCCAATCTGCAAAGATCACATGTTTTTTCCTCCATGAAAACTCAAGATACTAACAATAATACTACTTTTGTGGTTGGACATTTCTAAATGTTTACCTCCATCATGTCTATCTCAAAGCCAAATGCCTTCAGAGTCATGTCAAGCATGACCTCCTTGGGCAGGTAGCTGGTACCCTCAAAGATCATGTTTCCTTCCATGGATCCCATCTTGTAGTTCTGAGAATAGCTGATGGGGTGCACCGTGGAGCCAATCTCGTTAGTCTGCGTTGCCTCAAAAATCTTCTGTCTCAGTCTGTGAGAAAAAACAAATTAAACAAAATTAGTTGATCACCATTGGTGACAAAATCCAACCCCAACCACCAACTAATCAGGAAGCAGCGTCACTTATTACTTACTCAGAGGTCTCAGGTCCGGTTGAGTGCCTAATGTTGTTGATGTGGGACATGACAAAGCTCTTCATTTGTTGGTCCTCTTCACTGGACACAGCATTAATCAGCTGCGTGAGCTCACTTGGCTGGGGATCCTTCATAAGTACCAGGTATGCAGCGATACGCTCCTGCACAGGGTTGCTTTTGTCCAAAAGCACCTGCATTAAAACCTCTCTGTCCTGTGACCAAATGAGTAAAACAAGGTTAATTGAAACACACAGTGGATATTCTAACACCAGCTATCCAACATTTCACTGCTCGACCTACCTCCTCAGGGACTGGGATCTGCCTGTATACTTGGATAGCAGCTTGCTGGACACTCTGTGAGGCGGCGGGCTGCTTCACACACTGGATCACTGCATTTCTCAGAGCAGGGCTAACGGGTATCACAGCTGGAGCCATGTTTCCAATCACCTATGAAGAAAAGAGAGGTATCAATTACTTTCCTATATGCCTTGGAAAAGGTCAACTTTAAGTTTGTGTCTCATTGAATGGCATTGTTTGAAAAAACCTTGAAAAATTGCCTACTCTCAGTGTCATGAAGGTCTTGTCCTTCTCTCCAGAACAGTCGCCCAATTCAGCAACCAGGAACTCAGCAACGGAGTGAATCTCTGGAGTCACCTTTCCTTCAGCTTTGAAAAACCTGTTGAAGTTAAAAACGTTTCTCAAATTAACCCTGTTTGACTGTTTTTACACAAAGTGAAAAGTCCTGGATGATTTTTTTTTTAAAGGGGCTGAAAACTCTGTGTCATTTACCTCTTAACGACATTGCTCAGAGCATACATGATGGGTTTGCTTTGTTTGTATTTGGCCATCTCAAGCATGTCATTGATCAGGAGGGCGGAAGGGTTGGACATGAGTCCCAGGGCAAAGATAGTCGCATCAACCTCCAGGGAGGTGGTATCAAAGGTCCTAAGGATTTGCATGATGGCACTGCTGCACTCAGGGGTTCCACACTGGGCCAGAACCTGGTAGGTCAGGAAACGGGACACACCGACTGCCTCGGGAATGGCCGGGCTCAGGGTTTCAGTTTTCATTCCACGGACCATGGAGACGAGCGCATGGAAGAGGTGGGCCCTCTTCTCACCCTCTGTCTCGGGCAGAGTGACCAGTTCTCTCAACAGATTCAGAGCTGCCTCTTTATCCTGGACGGCGCTTTTGTCCTCCACAGCTTCCATATGAAGATACTTGACATTGTCATCTTGAAAAACAGAAAATATAGGGCAGGGATTAGATAGTGTTGGCCTAAGAGGTCAATTTTAGTGCCCAGCAAAACATTTGAACGAAATTGAGAAATATTTGATCTTGATTTAGAATTCTGTTAGAACAGCGCAAACATGCCACATTTTTTATTATATATTTTAGGTTAATGAGCAGCAAATTCTACCACTCAGAAGACTTAGTTTTATGAGAAAGCCATGGCTGCAGCAGACCTATGCACCGTTCCAAATTATTCTTAAAGTGTATAATTAAATTCCAAATGTGCATATATATTTATATTTTCAACATTTGAGATACCACCTTTACTTTGTTTATCAATCAATGAATGAGATTTGAATTATTGAATTACTCTGGTATTTACTTTGTTAGTTGTGTTTTTTTCCCCGCATCTTAGTGAGTAAAACCAAAAATATGAGAAAAAAAAGAATCAGCAAAAAAAAAAAAAAAACTCACTGCGGTCAAAGACTCTGTCGTTGTGAGGAGCCATCTCAATCAGAGTCAGCTCCTGTTTTCCAACATTGGTAACTCCATATTTTCCTCTGAGGTGAAAAGGACAAACACATTTGACCTCTTGTACAATGTGGCCTTACATGACAAAGCCCCATATGGAGTCTTGCACAAGGTCAGACTTACTTGTGTGAGAATGGGATGAGGATGTGGTTCTCAGTGCAGGATCCAGAGGTCATGTGCTTTTTCTCATTGTCAAATTTGTAATTGCAAGTTTGGGAGCTTTTGACCAACTGAGCAAGAGGGTAGTGCTGGAAAAAGGCAACGATGCTTACTTTAAATAACAATCAAACTGCATCTGAGTGCATTATTCATTCTGCGACAAAAACCTTTCAGGTAACCACTTTAAAACACAATCTTACCATGCCTGTGATGAGTGCCAGGGGGCTGTTGTGATCTCTCATTGGCACAAATTTATCACATCTGGACAGATCCCTGTTCAAGGTGATGTCAGTTGCGATATCCTCTCTGGCATTGACATTGTAGTAGGTCTTGCACTTGCCGTGGATTGTAGGCTAAGATGACGACAGTGAAACAGAAGCAAAGAAATGAACACTTTTCCTTTTTTAAATGATAAGTGTACATTGATCGTGGTTTTAAAATTGGAGCATTTTCATGATAAGACAGCGTACCATGTTCTTGTTCTTGTCTTCCTCAATCAGAGGCACAGCCAGGGCAGAAATGATACCCCTCTTGAAGTTCAGGATAGTTGTGGTCTCCCCATCCTCAGGGTACAGCTTCACATCGTACTCCCCCTCAACCACGACCTTCAGAGGATTTCTGAACAAAATTGCACAACATTCATGTTAGTTTTCAGCGCAAAGGCTCTCCAGAGAGGTTTTTGTTTCTAAATTCTTTCTGATTGTGTCTTTTCCACAGGGTACCTCTCCATTTCAGCAGCAAATGCATCAGAGCTGGCAGCAGGACCGAACACAGGGTTGCCCTCTGCGTCCGAGTCCACCACCTCACTCAGCGTGCAGCCGGTGGTGCGCACGATGAAACTACATGTCTGTGGCACTTCGATTTCAACCTGAGTAAGAAGGCAGAGTTTAGTTTTTCTTCAGCTGCGATACACACAGGATGTAACTGGATGATTTGAGTTTCAGCGACTCCATCAGGGAATAAGCGGTATTGATAATGGATGGATGGATGGATGGATGGATTGTGAAATATATTTGCTGTACCTTGCAGGAGGCCTTGGGTCCGTTTTTGAGCTGTGAGGCTCCGTTGATCGCATTCAGAGATTCGGCTTCGTACTGGTATTCATACTTGTGCAGGGTCTTGTACCTTTTGGCCACTAGAAGACATTAAAGAAAGATGATTAAAAAAAAATCAGTCCAGTTGATTCATGTGGATGGGATGTCATTCATATTAAACAGCATGATCACAGAAAATAGAAACTTACACAGACACGTTGGATGTTCTTCTTCTTGAGCAACTGTTCAAAAAGAAGTATATTACTATTTATCATATATTATGCAGTATGATATTAATTACAATGCAGCAACAGCAATTAAATGCAATATATTCTATTCATAGCATCAAAAGAAATGCACTAAAATGTACTTGGACACAGTTATGGAAGACATAATCAGTTATTTCACACATGCTGAAGAGTAACACATATTTATTCTAACATTGCTCTATCAAAAGCTAAAAAAAATACACCTCAGAAAATTATTTAAAAAGATCAAAACCCCATAACATGGTTTAAAATGTTTAAGATATTAGTGCTATAGATGGTTGTAACTACTTACAAGTTAAAGCAGATGTGCTGAGGAGCAGCAAAAGGCAGAACTTTGAGTCCCCCATGATGGGTTTCTTAAAGCTCTCTCCCTTGGGGTTGGCGAGTACTCGGTTGAGACTGAAGTCTCAGACTGAGCTCGAGCGTTTTATACTCTCAGCTGGTCTCTGTCAGTGAACTGGGAGGCACAGAAAGAGCTTTGAACGCTCAAAGTCCACTACTTCCTCCGCTGTGGAGGGACAAAGGCAAAAGGTTTAGAAAGACACTTATAGATCCAAGCTTATGTACTAAACTGATAAATTGTACTGAGAGGATTTATCCTTTTAACTGGTTTGCTGATGTCCTTACTCTATCTGTTTATTCATTTTTGTTTATGAGTTATTGGACTGCTTTTTTTTAATCATGCATCGATACAAATATCCATTAAAAGTTGTCTGCTCAGTTTTACAGGTTGAAATATTTAAATTGAAATATCTTTTAACAAATGAGTGTTGCACATATTATATTTAGATAACAAGAGGAGGATGGCCTTTATGATTAAACAAAAAAGAAATTTATGCTGAAATGTTATGTGAAGCAGATGAAGCCAACAGCTGCAGTCAGAATTAGGTCACTGATCGACACACATTGGAGAGCACAGAGTGATGAAAGCATGATCCCAACACAAAGTCCCTCTACTGTAGATAGAAAAAGATAAACTTATCAGCTTTTTTTGGCTATTTTTTTTCCATTTATCCATCAGATTGTATTGAGTGAGTTCTTTATTGCTGGTTTGGCAATTTTATTTCTTGAATTATCGAACAGGCAGCGTCAATTCAGTAAAATTGCTGTCAGAGCAAGAGTTTACACTGCTTTTTAATCAGTTTAGCCAACATTTACATTCACATTTACAACCATTTTTTATTAGTATGCAACACACATTTAGATGTAACTGTTTATTTTATTTTAAAAGTGACTCCTTCTAATATTTTACATAAAAGTAAGAATAGTTAGAATACTTACAGTTTTTTTTACCTGGTATAAGAGCTTGATGCTTGCCGTTCTGCTACCAATGGCCAAAATGAGTACAAAGAAAATGTTTGCCAAAGTTTTGGGGTTTAGGAGACTGAACTTTGATCAACAAAGATTCAAAGGTCTGCGTTGACTTTGACGCGCTGTTTGACTTGGGGCTGCAGCTCGCTCTGTGGCAGAGGCAGCACATGTTGAATAAAGAGCAATAACCTGGCATAGCTCTTTTATTTGATTTTATATAAAATATTCAATTCTTTGGATGTCTTCTTCATCCGTAGTTTCTGTAATGCATTGACTTAAAAAGTCTTTGAATGCAGTATTTTACTTTAGGTTTCATTTAAAACTGCTTGAAATACTAGCTTTACATGTTTTTCACGCTCTTTGCTGTCCATTATGTTTTAGTTCCCAAGGAGCAATGCACAGCACCAAAATTGTGAGAAACAGTGAATTTTATTTAATTGTGAGTACATTCAACATTACTTTCTCATACCCGAGTTTCTAGAAGCATGCTCGGTTTAATGTTTAGTCTCTTGTCTACTTAGGCCCCTTTTAAAAGGACCTATAGACTCCAATTGATCAGCTCGCTAACTACAGCCAGGCGAAATACTATTGGTTCACCGTTGATCATGTCACATTTCAGCTCTGATTTGTGCCTGCCTCCCTTTCCATCTGCTTGCTTATGTCCCAATCCCTGCACCTGCATCATCATCCTTAATAAATCTTCCATCTTTCACCCATTCTCTTTTTTTTCCCTTCGTGCCAAAGGGATTAAAAAAATTGTGGCCCATTAAAACAATGTGTTAGTTAAAGCACTCATAAGATTTCTGCTTTAAGGCAAAGATGCTGATGTTGCCAGGCAATAAGCTGGAGACAGTTCCAGCCTTCTTTTTCATACCACAGTATCAAAACCACAAAGACGTAATCTGGAAGAGGGTTTGGGATCAATGTGCTTCACTCTATAATATATTTTTGTGTTCATGAAATTCCAGCAGATCACAAATGCAGCCAATTTAAACGACAGTTTAAAAAATACCATCAAGCAGAGTTAGGTTGCTTTCCTTTTACAGATCTAACGTCTGTGTCCTGGCCAGCGTTATGTTGGTTTCCTTGGTTATATGTAAACACAACACAACACAACACTGTGGAGATTTTTCGCTTCTCGCTTGGTTGTACCTCGGGGGTGGAGGACAGCCGCTTTTAGAGTGACCTCAACTGCAGATTACTGGCAGACACTGATTTTTTACTCTTTTTTTGGAATGCTGTTGTTTATTGTGCAGTGTGTTGATGTTTAGGATGAGGTAAAGGACTGCGTTGTAACTGGGATCCCACTGGGTCTGCTGGATCCATTGAAATGGATGCAAATCACACTGGAGTAAAGGCAGGTTTGACACTGCTGCGTGTAGCAAAAATCAAATGATGCAAACTGTTGTCTTTGACCACAACAATTAATAATGGAGTCAAGAAAATGAAGCACGAGAGATCAACGCAGAGTTGTTTTATCCAGAGTTCTTCCCTTAGAAATTGACTTTATAAAATGTGGCAAGCTTTTCTTTACACAGGGCAGCTTTAGCACACAGAAGAAGGGGTTCAATTTGCTACAGTGTAAGCTGGCCTCTTTAATAACGTCATTTGTGTGAAGAAAGCAGCCCGTTGCAGGTTAAACTGGACTCTTGACTGATCCGTTAAACTGCTGTTTCATTTGTTTGCTATTCTTGTAATCAGCTGTCAGTCAAATATTGCTGATAAAAATTTAACCAGCAGAAGAACTTTCATAAGGAAAAGCCAAAAACAGGGAAAACAAGACTACAACGATGACGGTCCAATTTTTTTAACTTGTAGATAGCTACTAAAACAGAAAACAGAAAACAGAAAACTTATATTACAGACTGGACTCTCTTTTCAAAAACACATCTAACTGCTGTAATCATGGCTGTTATCTACATGTAATCTGTAAGAATTTATAGATTTTCTTTTGTGCTTTCCTGTCTCCAGATTTGCCGTGTTTATCGATGCACATGTGGCACAGCGTGTACTGTGACAGCAATTTGTACTTTGTGCTTGTGTGGTTGAAAAAGGGGTGGAATCTGTCCACTAAAATTGGAAAAATACAAACTTCTTGCTTGTTTTTCTCCACTCCTACAGTAAAAAGGACTATATCATTTGAAAAGTAATAGGTGTAATATATAATACTATGAAATAAATCTGAAATTTATATAAAACGTTTTTTAAATAGAGAAAATGGCATTGGTCATCGAAATCAACCAAAATTTGTATTTTGTTCATTTAATTTGGAGTAATGGCTTAATGTGTAAACAGAAGCTATCAAATTTAGTACATCAGTATTTACACCATGTTTTGACACTACGACCCCAAATTTCCTGGCATGAGTTGCACACCTCATAGCTAATATTTAATTTGTGTTCTAACAGAAAACTATTCAGATGCTTAAAGTAAGATGTTGTTTTCCTGCATAGCATTAGGAAGCATCTGAATGTGCATTATCAACTGAACTAAATGAACTGACTTGATTTGATTATCTGGAGACATCTCTGTGCCAGTGGACACAGCTTTAAATCAATATTGGATGCCCATGATCTTTGGGCTCTCGGATAGACCTGCATTAAAAACTGGCATGATTTTGCTGTGGACCTCATTGCTCAGGCCCAGGAACCCTTCCAGAAATCCTTATCTCAGAACACAGTTCACAATGTCATCCACAGATGGAGGCCAAAGTACTACCATGCAAAGATGAAGCCATATGTGAGAAACAATCCTGTCATCTTGTGTGGAGCAAAGCTCATTTAAAAAGGACTGAGATACAGATGGAAAATATTCTGTTGTCAAAAAAATTCAAATGTTCCAAATTACAGACACTGCATCTGCCTGACTCAAAATGTATCCACATTATTATCAGAGCTCAGCTCAAAAGCCTGCACTGATGGTGTGTCCATGGAAAGGACTTGCACGTTTTTCAGTAATACAAGGCTAAACTGCCTACTGCATCCATTACAATGACATGGTTCTGTAGTAGAAGTCTCCAGGTGTTAAACTGGGCTGCCTGCGGTTAAGAACACCAGCCCTGATCTTTACAGAGACTGAACATGTGTTGATGACATCATGCACCAGATGAGAAGCGTGCATATTAAAAGTCCCATTGATAACTGGATTTCACAACTTAATTAATCTGATTTTCCATTTATCAGCAACTACAGAAATAATATAAAAAGACTATTCTGCATAACTGCCAACTGCATCATGTATTCTCCTACAGTTTATTGACCTATTAGTCAATCTGGTTTAGCAAACACTGGCTGAAAGTCCAGACACAATGAAGTCATGCACAGGGTATCACTGTGTCATAAACATGTTAGCTAAAAGCCATATTGTTCTCTAGCTTTATCACGACCTAGCAGATAGCACTTTAGACCAAACTTAACAGCACTGATAGAACTCTTCCATGAAGACAGTTCAAAGTTTAGACATGCCAGATAAAACGAACATTCACATGTGCAAAAATCCATTATGCATAATTGGCAAAAAGAATTCTGCACACAGTGACTGTGAGAGACTCTTACAGATTCTAAAGTGCAATATACATTCATCCTGAATATACTCAGATTATTTCTGCCCAAAAATGTGAAGCAAGAGTGATGCAAGTTTTTTTATTTTAGGAACGTAAATGTAGCAAAAAAGCAAACTTGTATTTCCCGATTAGTCTTTACAGTAAGAGACACTAATTCAACAAGTCGATTAGCATTATATCAAGAGGATTTAGAAATTGCCAAAGAAAACTGGGGATTGCCACTGATGTCCTTTCATAGGTGCCTCTCAGCTGGCCGTGATGAGGACATTTCCTGTTAAAGAAGACAAGCATGTTCACAAATGTGGTTATGCTTACATGAAATTGATTCCTGCATCTAATACAACACACATAAATAATACTTTAATGCAAGGAGTTAAATGACCCAATAACCACAAAAAATCTTTCCCTGCTTAATCCAGTTCAGAACTGAAAGTCCTGAAGCCTATCACAGCTGCTATTGGTCAAAAGGAAGTGCACTCCCTCAATGCTTGTTTGTCCATCATAGGGCCACAAAAAGTTATAATGA